AGACAAAAAGAAATGATTTTTCTAGTTATTAAAAATAAAATAGATAAACCATCATTAAATGAGTATGATAGAAATACATACAAGATAAGTTCGACATCGACCACTTATATAATGAACTCGTTTCTGTGATACGACAATTGTCGGTGTAATGTTCTGCTGTAAAGATGATGATTGACGAGTCATAATCTTTTGAGTAAATTGATTTTACTCCTCCCGTGCTGATTAGTATAAAGAGAAAAAAAGGAAAGGGAAAAAGCAAACCCACATGCATATGTACACTCAAGAAATAGAAGCAAGTATTGACCCAAGGCAAATTAAGTATATGAACTGAAGAATTATCTTAAAAGTTTCTTACTGATCGACGATTTGTTATTGTCCGTTCTTTATTTGCTTGTTCTTGTTCTTCAAACAATTTTCGTCGTTGTTCAGTTAAACTAGTTGAGACTGGTGTTTTATATTTCGATGGATCATCTCTTGTACTTCCATTTGTTGTTGATTCAAATGCATTTTTTAATTCTCCAACACGACTTGATGTTGGTCGATCACTTATATTTGCTATAAAACTACCTGAAGTATCAATTGATTGTTGCTGTTCAAATCTAGCACGACGCTCATCAATAATTGATGATGATGATGATGAACGTTTTGGTAATTGTGGACGATCTTCATTGATATACGATTGTGAAATAATTTTCTTTGCTGATTCACGTGAACGAACATTCTATAAGACGAAAAAAAAATTTTTTTTATTTATAAAAATTTTTTTCACAGAAATTATAAATCATAACAAAAGAAGAAGATTGTCTTTGTAAAAGAAATAAAAAAAAACGATCATTATTGATATAACATGCAAACGTGCAAGAATGTCTCCTATCTCAACTTACATCATCTAGTACCAAACTTTTCTTATCCTGTTTCGTTTCATCCGATGATGATTCTCGAGATACACAAACAAGAATCTCTTTGACAGCATGATGTAATGGACAAGATAATGCTGCTTTATCATATCTAGGTATTTTTATTTGAACTTCATTAATGTATTGTTGAATATTTGTTGGAACAACAAGTACTCGTTGTGCTGTATAATTTCCATTTATTTGTTTTCCAAACTGTGATATATATAGGGAATAGGGGGTTTCTCTCAAATTCTCATGAAAAAAACGAAATTAATTAATAAAACGATTTTTTTTACCTGATCATATCGTTCATCATCAGATGTTGGAGTATACACTTCTTTCAATTTTTGTCTCCAATCAGAATCTCGTCTTGGTCCAGCTTCGCTAATGATTGTTGATAAACCTTGATATGTATTATCACCAGTTATAACATATGGATCTGAAACTTCTTCTTCGGATGTTTCATCTCGTTGTTGTTTTGTACCAAAAGTTAATGTTTGACGTTGATTAAATGGTGAACGACGATCTTTATGTTGTTGTTCAAGTTCAACTTGATATTCTTCACTAACTACATCTTCACGTTCTTGTTGTCGACGATCAGAAAAATGTGTTGATGGTGTAACGATACTTGATATACGATCATAATTTGATGATGGTACTCTCGATACTGTTGCTTGATTTGTTGATGGAATTGGTGGATATTGACCTGGACGTACACGATCATAATTTGCTGATAATGATGGTGGTGGTGTTGTTGAATTAATTCTTGTACCGATATGTTCACCATGAGTTGCAGATTCAATATCACGAGCAAGTCTTGAATCATAAACAATTTCTGTTGTATAAATATCTTCTGAAGACCAATTACGTTCTCGTGGAGTACGTTCTAAAGAAAAATTTAATGTATGAATAAATACAAAAATTATATATATATATATTTACCAATATGTACTGGACTTTTAGATGGAGGTGGTGTTCTTGGTAATCTTATATGAGGAGTAGATGCAATCTCTTCGTATGAATGACTTTCTGGACGTTCAATAGAACTGACAATAGTTGTTTTTGTTGGATCAACTGTATGAGCAGGTACACGTCGATAAACTTCTTTAACAACATCATAACTTTTATGACCTTTAATACGCTCATTTTTTTCTTTATATTCTTCTTTAATAACATCACTTTTCACACGTTGACTTGTTTCATCAAAAGTTGTACGCAATAATCTATTTGTATTTCTATCATATTCTTCTGTACGACGTATACGAAATTCTTCACTCCATTCTTCAAAAACAACTTCTTCACTTGATGTCGATTTTTCATCTTCACTTATATGTTGAACAATTGATTCACGTATAACTACTTCATCATTTTTATTAAGATCATTTGAGCCAACATCTGATGTTAATAATATGCGTGCTCGTTCAAGATTCGGTGCATATTCAACAGGTAGATGTTTTGGTGGTAAATAATCGGAATTTTCTCGTGATCTTGTTGTAGCAAAATGAAGATCATCTCGTTCATCTGTATAACGATATCTATCATATTGATCTATTTTAGCAGCGACAGTATTATCCATGGTTAGTTCTTCTGTAAAACTACCAGAATGTGTTGGACGAACTAAATATATAGAAGAAGAAAAATTATTCATTACAATTTATTATTTTAATAATAAAAATAAAATCAATAAAACCGCTTTTCTATAAACTCATTGAAATTAATGTGTTGTCCTTCTCACATTCATTTTTATTCGGTTTATTGATCATCAATATTATACGGCATTCTTCTTCCAAGATATAAAGAACATGTACATACATATATACACATTCATTGAAAGAGAAACCACACAAACGATTGTCTGAGTGTTAGCTTATGTGAAGCAGAAAAGAAAGAGGGAGGAGCGAATACTTGAAAATTTCAATGATCGATGATGAAATTATTAAACCTTGTTCACGCTCTTGTTTCGTAACTCAATTGACTCTTTATATTACATGTGTATGTGTGTGTGTGTATATGTATATAAAATATAGTTCATTTAACACATGTATTCTAATTTGAAAAAAAAAAGAAACTAATTATTTTATCTTACTTCGATATTCTATAGTTAATCTAATTGTAGCACCGCAAGGTGTCGAAGTATTTGATGGTAATTCAATTGATTTATTCATTGGTAAAGATGATAATGTGTTCATTATTTAACAAAAAAGAAATTTCTGATGATGAGAAACTTATAAGCACATAATGTGCATTTACATTTTGTTTTAAAATTCTTGCGTAAAGAAAAAGAAAATTGAATATGTGAGTAGGAAGAGTAATAATAACTAGTAGTCGTTGTTCATCGATTGAAGAGTAGCATGAAGTAAAGGTATATATAATAAAAAAAATCACTTGTCTTATCAGGATTTATTGAATGAATGTAAGAGAAAAAGATCGAAAGGTAGAATGATAAGAGACTACTGTTATTGGTACCATTTATCGGTTGTTTTATAGTGTGAAGAAAGAAGAAGAAGATGTGATGGTATCTTCTTTAATAGATTTTTTTTCATTTCCACATACCTATCGGCGATTGATTACTTTTTCTTTTTTTCTTTCTATTTCTGTGGAATTTAATAACAAGAGAGAGAGAGAGAGAGAAATAGAAAAGGAGATGATTGTTGTATTTGGTAAAGTTCAAAACTTTTCTCTTTCAACCGTCATAATCGAATTGATTCTATATTTCACCTTCTCTTCTCTTGTTTCTCTTCCTTCTTCTCACTTGATCGTGTGCTATACGCAAGCAAACAAAAAACCAAAATATCGTTCTCGAGAGAGGGTAATGGCAATATACGAATCATTTAAAATTTTCTAATTCTCCTTTCGCTCTCTCGCGCGCGCTCTCCTTTCACGGCATTGCTCGTTCCGTTTTCTTATACAGGTATCGCTCAGTGGCACTCCTACGCTTTCCGGCAGACCTATTAAAAAACATTGTCGAGTCTCTTGTATATTGGGACATAAGAGCAATCATATCAACATAAGTATAGAGGCGTATTTATTTTCGTGTTATTTTTATATCGAAACAAGAAAAATAAAACATAGAAAAACCCTATTAAGAAATATTTGGTCCATATCATACTCATTTATTTAATGATGCATTCCTAATTGCTTTGTTCAAATTATATAAATATATAGAAGAGAGAGAGAAAAAAAAGAAAGAACTATCAAGCTTTACATGCATGTATATTAAGAGATTTTTTCAAGGAAATTCTGTCAGGTATTCGTACATCCTATATACATAACGACCTTGCCTTTTGTGCACGTCATTTGAGCTGCTTCATTTTTCTTCTCTACGAAATATACTTATAATGGAATAAGAATAACCTTGAGCACTCATAATAATGATGAAAGAATCAAATCAATGTTGGAGAGAAAAAAAGAGAGAGAGAGAGAGAAATAATAACCTTCAATTATAACTTCTTTTCTTCAATTTGTCTACTTGACTTAAAGATTTAATTTTATCAAAAACAACAAATAGATTTTATATCCATAAGAAGAAAAAAAAAAAGAAATGTTCAATATCATCAAGTTTTTTATATTGAGAGAGAACATGAAATAAGACTAGATTTAATCATATCACGTAATCCTCTCTTTTTTTCGAACAACTACTATTTTGTTTAGTAGTAGTCAATAAGAAATTTAATACTCTCTCTCTCTTATCAACACGATTTAACCAATATCAACCTCTAGTAGACAAAACCCTCACATACTTAAGGATTATTTTGATGGCATATACTCTGAACAAATATATATATATATATAGATGCATGATCAAGTATAAAAAAAACACACCATCGAAACTTATTCTCAATTTCAATAGATGTCTGAATGATTAAAATGAAAAATGAAACTACTAGCAGGCTGTCTTGATCATACACATTTAAAACAAAGAAAAAAAAATGTACAGCAAAAAAAAAAGGACAAGTTCATATGAAAAGAAAAGTGAAGAATAAATAATAATAAGTTAAAGTTTATATTATTCTTTATATTTTACAATCTGGCATTTCCACCATCTATACAGTTTTATGACTTTATGCTTTTACTATTCATCATTACTGATAAAGAACAGAAAATATTTTACCTTATTCTTCTTCGTCTTCTTAAAAAAGGTCTGTTAAAAGAAGAAGAAGAAGAAACCCACCAGCTAACGTCATGAAAACTTATATCGAACTGAAAATGAGGACAACACGTTTGTTTCGTTCTTGTTTTACAAGAAAAAGAAATTGATAAGTATAAAGAATACAAAGAAAACGAAAATCGATTTTTTTTTCTTCGAATAACACTAAACATATTTATTCCTTTAATAGGATTCTATATTTTCTTTTTATTAGTTTATAAATACATACAGATATATACTTTGCTTTGTAAAAAATGTGAAATGCCACTAATAATAATGATGTATTATATCGATAATATTCTCAGCTTCGTTGAAATACTAACAATTCATATATATATATATATGTATATTTCTCTTTTTTTTTTCGTTCGAAAGTGTATACCGATCGCAAACATATAAACTGTCGTCCTCATACCGATGTTTCGAATGATTATTATTACAACCAGTATGACATAGAGGTATTATTTTTCGAGATGAATCAGAAAGACGTGCGTAAGTAAATGCCGAATAAATGCCTACACATTCCTATGAAAAGTTTTTCTTACCTTTACGCATTGATGGTGTAGGCGTGGCTATATTAATTTCAACATATTTCTGTTCAGGTAAACGTTCTAAATTATAACTTTCTTTGCTTTGTCGAGCTTTTTCAGTTCGATCAAATGATGAATTTAATGGTATTGGTTCAATAGATGGATTTGTTGGTAAAATTGTTACTTCATTTACTTCATGTTGAATATATTCCTAAATGATAGGTAGAAAAAAAAAATAATTATTCTAATTGTGAAATGAATTTTTTTCTTTACTGAACAAAAAAATCAATAGAGGAAGTTTTCATTTTATTGTGTTAGTATGGGTTCTCTTTTGATTTTACAATCCGATGACCTTCTCAATTTGTACTACTTAATCATTTTCTTTTCGCCTTTCTATGTACATACAACACTATACTAATAAGCCTACTCGACCGTTGAATTCATTTCATACATATAGAGAATGATGACTATCGTTCATATCGACTCTTATTAACTGTTCTTTTTTTTCGAAAAGATGAAGAACAACAACAACAAAGGCAAGAGGATTGTGTCTCGACTCGTCGTTCACTATAGACAGATAAGACATAGTACTTATTCTTACTACTCAGTATATGTATGTGTGTATGCATGTATAATGATGATAATAGAGAACAGGAGATATGTTAGTTGCCCCTTGGCATGAACAGTAGGGTCCTTTCACTCAGTTCATAGGTTATAAAGAATGAATATAATGATGTTGGCATTTAGAAGGGTTCAGTATGTAGAAATAAAGTATCATTTTTGTCGTCTTTCGTTTATATATATGCATGCACGTGTGTTTGTTTGAACGAATATATGAAAGATGGACACTAATCGGGACGTGCATTATTTTAATTGTTTTATTTCGTGATAAAACAATAGTCTATTACTATGTGTATGTTTTTATTTATCTAAAATACCTCACACTCAACTCATGATTTATTTTCTTCGGATCAATAATACATCAGAATGTATTAATCAAACGAAAAATTTTTTGTTAGAATTTCTTACTTTATCTATGTATTTAAAGATTATTCATCTAATATTATATGAATATATAAAAGTGAAGGTTTTTCTTTTTTAGGTATGGTCAAAATTTGTTTGATTAGATAAAAAAATGATACAATATATAAAAGTATTTTCTTCTAAAACTAATTGACAAAACAAAAATGAAGGTGTTTAATATTAATTATTAAATATAATGTTACATGTTAGTAGATTAAATCAGTGCAATATATATGTATATAGAAAAGAAAAGCATGCAAAATAATTAATTAAAAGCAATAGCATGTTAAGAAATTGATTAGTAGAAAGAGAGAAAAAAAAGCAAGAAGCATAAACATGCAAAAAAAATAAGTAAGAGGTTCGAAGTTTCTTAATAGAATACTTTGTGTAACACTACATTGATTGTCTACGAGTACTTTTTTTTTTTTGATCGAACGAATAGATAAATATGCATGCAGGCGACCCTTATATTTATTTGCTGCATTGATATATTTTACCTCAATTTGTATTGTTGTTGATAGAATAACATCTGGTAAAATACTTGATATTGATTGTTCATCTTCATGATCAATGACATTTGGTGGTTCATCAATATGAACAAAAAGTGTTTCGGAAAATGGATATAATGATTGAATATGATAATGTTCGATGTAGGATGGTTGTTCATATTTATGTGATAGACTTTCGAGATCTTCTTCATTATCTGATTGATTATTGATTTGTGCAATGGAAAATATTTCGTGTTCATTTGTTTTATATTCATTTGATGAAATATTATCATCATTATGAACAATTGGTAGAGGAAGATTTGACGGTGAAGAAAAAATGGGATATTCATTATGAAAACTTATTTGATAGATCGATATTTCATTAATTAATGGTAAATGAAAAAATGCTGGTTCAAAAAAAATATTTAATAATTCACGTTGATGTTCATCAAAATTAAATAATGATATATTGTCTTCGAGTTCAATTATATTTTCTTTCGCACAATGAATATTTTGTTCATTGTGATCATAATTAATTGTTAATAAAAAATCATTTTTATCTTTTTGTTCATTAACTATTGTTTCGAATAAATAATTATCATCAGGTATTGTATTTGATGATTGTATTGTTAATGTAGTTTGTATTGGTGTTGCACAAACAATAAGACCACCACCATCAACACTTGTTGTAGTCGAAGTTGTATCATTATCTTTATCAAGTGAATCAGTTTCATAGTCACTTGTAGGTGAACAATGACTAGTGATAACAGCTGATACAATTTGATTCATTTGTTGTTCACTATTTGTATTTAGACTATTCGATTTTTCTTCTTCGAACCTCTCACCAATAGAATAAGCATCAGTAGCAAGAGCAGAAACAACAATATCTACACACTCAGTGTTAGTTTTTAACTCTACCTGTCGTTGTATAGTTTCAAGATTTCTTTCAACTGTCCATTGTTCAACTAATTGTTCATCATGTGGGAACATTGACGATGTAAACCATTCGGTTGGTAATGCACGACTAAAATATGAATGTTCTTGTTCATAACGTTCGATAGCACGTTGTGTACTATCATGATTCGATCGTAGTGATGTCGTATATGATAAAGAGATTTGATCAATTAATGGTAAATGTTGTTCAGGTTCAAAACTATCTTCTAGACGATTTAAATATGAATCCATATCAACAAGTGATGATGTTTCTGAATGTATTGGTCGAATACGAACTTCAATATCGACTACAGTCGGCGGTGGTGATTGAATATGTATTGATTCGATTAATTGTGGATTTGCTTGAGTTGTATCTATTCGATCAATATGATCAGGATGAATTGATGATATTGTTGAATAATCATGTTCATCACTTGATGATATTTGTTGTTGTAATACACGACAGACTGGTCTTGATTGATTGATTTGTGTGGTAGGTAGAAGTTGAATTCTATCTGAACTTTGAATATCTACATATTCATGTGATAGACTAGGTTGATGAAATTCAGTAACATAATTATCGGATTCTTTCAGTGACTGTTCATCAACTGCAGGTAATATGGATGGTAAATATCGAAGTGGTGTTTGTTCAGTTTGAAGTTCAAGATTTTGTTGTTCGGGATGATATTCATCAGAATATTGTTGATCAAAGGCGCGTTGCCATGGTGGATTTATCTCTTGATTAGTATGAGGATAGTTTAGTGTTAGAAAAGCGGTAGAAGAACGAGGATTCTCTAAATTATCTATTTCATTAAAATTCAGATTTGTTGTTTGTTGATGACGTAGTAAAAAAGAATCATCTGATAATGATGATGCATGTTCATCATTCATTTCTAGATTAGTATCAATAGGACGACATAAAATGTCTTGATTATCTATTGATCGTTCACTTATAAATGAATCTTCATATGATTCATTCGCATTATTATGAACTGATTGTAGTTCAATATACGAATCAATTCTTTCGTAAGTATTATCATGTTGATGAGAATTTGTTTCCATATGTTCCAATATTTCTTGATTATTATTTTCCATACGTTCATAACGTTCGCGAGCTAAAATTACTTTTGGTGTATTGACTTTAGCTTGTTCATATTCAGTATTTGATAGATATTGTTGTTGAGCAGTTTGTTTATTCGGTTGAATTTCATTTGGAAGAGATTCAAGTTGTTCATCTATCCAATCGGTATCGTAAACAATAATCGGTATATGATTAGCTTGTTCAATTCTTTCAAGTGTTCTTTGATCGTAATCTGTATCTGTTACTTGAGTAGCATGCTGTTCATGTACAGCAGTAGTAGCAGTAGCCAGCTCTTCGAGCAGCAAAGCCGGTATATTTGTCTGAGCAAGCTAGAAGGATATATATGATGCATATATTGGAATTGGTGAATATGTAAAAAAGCATTTTTTTTTTGGTACAGATTATGAAAAAAAAGCACGAATATGTTGTACGAATGTGTATAGAACATTAAAAGCAAGAAAAAAAGCTGTGGTAATGAATGTGAAATAATAATAATAGAATTATTTTTGTTTTTATTTATGAGACCTTTCACCATAGTCTACCCTTTTTTTTAATTATATATTATTTAACCAACACCTGATTGAGCATATGCCTAACTCTTTCTTTCTTTCTTTTTATGTACTTACCATTCTTGGAGCATTCAATGGTCGAATTGGTTTATTCAATGATGCACGTCCAAGTGAACCATCATATGTAACTTCATTTTCAAGTGCTATTTCTTCATGTAAACCCATAGGTTCTACATCAATATCCTTAAAAGAAAAAAGTTATTAATATTACATTAATTTTATCTCCAAAAAATGTCTCAGTATTTTATATTACTGTAGTTATATGTAATTGATCATGTTGTAATAGTGCTGGTGGATGATGAGATACTGGTTGTGTAATATCATCAAGAGACAATAAACTATGACGATCATATTCAATACGAGCTGAATCAAATGTTTGTGGTTTTAAATCTTGATCTGAAGTAAATGATGATGTTTGAGATATAGGAAGTTCATTCTTTTGCCCTAAATAAATAAGATGAAAATATATTTCATTATAATAAGATTTTCTTTGAATTTTTTTTCATTTGCAAACAAACAAAACCTAGCATAGCAGAGCAACTCACATATAACAGAAGGAGGTAAAGTAATATATATATCAATAGGTGGTAATTCTAACCGTTTATTTTCAATATTAGAAGAAGAAGATATGAAATATATTTTATTTACTTACCATAATTATAAATTGTACTTGAATCAGGATGTTTAGGTGTTTCTAATTGTTGAGCAATTTCTTCTGTAGATCGAACAGTTTCTCGTTGATCATGTCGAAGTGGAATAAAAGGTTTCGTTTGTTCATATATAGTGTCAGTTATATGACTTTGTATTGATTGATGTTGTTTAATAGGAGAAATTTCTCCCCATTTTATATAATTTTGTTCAGCTCGATTAGTTGTTTGAATATCTTGTCTAACATCTGAACTAGTTAAATATTGTTTTGTAGGAATCTTTTCGATATGATCTTGATCGATTGTTTCATAAATAACTGGTTCATCTGTATGTTCTAATGATTGAAGTTGATCTATTCTATGACTTGTAGTAAGTCGTGTATGTTCTTTTGTTAAATTTGATGATGGAATTTGTGTTGTATGTTCAAGTATTTGAATTTGATTATCATGAACAGGTGGAAGATTTGAATAAGGATCTGTTTCAACTTGACGTAAAAGATCTAATGCACGTACACGTCTTCGATGATAATCATCTTCATGTAAACTTTCTAAACGTTGTTCTTCGGATGCATCTAATCGATTAATACGTGATGCATTTAATATAACAGGTTGTTCACTAGCTTGTGATGTATCCAATGAAACAATTCCACTATCATATGGAACTTCATTTAATCGATTTCGTGATGGTTGAGGTATATTTGTTGTTGAAATATTTTCAAATACAGGAATATCCTGTTCAACTTTTGCCATATGTTCAGGAATAGGAGTTATTAATTGTGTATGTTGACGTTGTATTTCCTCTTCAAAATGACGTGTGACTTGTTCATGTTGTTCATCACGTAATTGACCAATATTTGCAGCAGCTAATAAAAGTGGTTTTTGTTCAATGTTATGTTGATATTGTGTTTGTTCAGGTGTTATCATAATCATAGCATGATCATAATCTTGTGGAAGAATTTGTAGACGTTGAGCTTGTTGTGCTAATAGATTTAATTCTTTAACTTCACCTTGATTTAATGTCAATATAGGTTTTATATTAACCATAGATAAATCATAATTTCCAGATTCAGTTTCAACACGATCAGCTTGACATATTCGAATTATTTCACGTGGTGGTGATGGAGTATAGATTTTAGCTGGAGGACGACGAGGTGATACAATTGGAGATTCAATCGATGTTATGATCTTAAGTTGAAAAAAAAAAGTTTTAGTTTAAAAAATAGGGTGTCTTCAGAGTTTACCTGAACTGATCTTCGTATACTTGGATCATAATTTTCATCTTTATGAAGTACTTGTTGTGAGGAAGTTAATGCACCATCAATAAGATCATCTGTATATGGTTGAATAACAGTACTTTGAATATGTTCTTGATGAATACGAGTTTGAGTTCGATTGGAGAAATTTGGAGGTGAGACAGTAATTATACGTGGAAGTTCATAATGATCTGTTGTACTTGTTGTAGTAGTTGCTCGTAATTGTGTTGTAGGTTGTTTAATAATTGAAAAAGTTGTTGGTGGAGCAATAATACCAATATGATGAACAACATCAGCATTACCATCATCAGTTAATGTTCGACGTGCACGACCCATGACAACATTGCTTGTTTGTACGACTGGTGGTCGTACAACAATATAATCATTACGTTGATCATCATCAAACGATTGAGTACCTGATTCATTTGTACGAAGAATAGGTGAACGTGTTAAATCTATTGGACGGCGTTGACGATCAACTATTGCATTTATTGGTAATTCAATAATCGGTGGTTGAACAGATTTTAATACATTACTCATATCTGCGTCAGATGTAAACATTGGTGAAGTAGTAATACCAGCCATTAATTGTCCTTGTCTTTCTCTTCGACGTCTTTCTAATTCAATAGCAATTTTACGTTTATAATTTTCCAAAACAAATGGTTTATAAATATCTGCAACATCTTCAACTGTAAATGATGTTGGTGTTGTAAATGGTTGTTTATAACGTAGATGTTCTTTTCGTACTTGATATAGATGTTCAGCAGATAAACTACGACCTAATCTATTACTTGTTTCCTCAATAAATTCTCTATTACGATCTTGTCTCATAAGTGCTTTATCACGAGCAATTGTTTCAACTTGTCGTACACTTTCTTGCATACTACGATTTAAATTTGAAATATAAAAATCAGCAATAAGATTACTTGGACGATCAAGTAATGAACGATTAACTGTTGATAAAAAACGTGATAATTGTTTTTGATGTGGAATAGTTTTTTGTTGTTTATCATCAAATATTGGTTCTTCTTCTTCATCGGACCAAAATGATGAATTTGATTTAATATCAACATCACTATCATTATCAACAGGAGATTTTATTTGTGATATCGTTGTTGTTGGATGATGAGCTTTTTGTTTCGTATATTGTGATGCATTGGATACATGACCAGCAATTGATGCATCAACACCACGAAAACTATCTTGCATAATTTCATAGAATAAATCAAGACTTGGACCTTGTGCAACATAACTTGTACGAAGAGTTGTTGGAGTATGGGAAGTCTACAAAAAAAAAAGATTTAGTTTTTCATGATGATATAAGACTAGGAACATTTTATTGATGATGAAATCTATGTCATTTATTTTACTGCAGAACAATGTCTGAGTAGGATATATAATGGTTTCTATTTACTTATTGGTTAATAGAATACATTTTAATGCAGCAATTGACTTTTGCGAGTTTTATTGTCTTCCTCTCCATATAAAAGATACAATAGAACGTTGAATAAACAAATTCGTTAAATCATATAACTCTAATGTTTTTCTTTTCTCGGGTTCAAGTTTTTCGTAGTTGTTATTAATTAAATATTATTTATCTCTTAATATAATCTCAAGTAGATTTTTATCCGAATTCATTCTATAATTATTTATATTAATAAGAATGAAATTGAAATATATATCTTATCAAAAATGATCTTTAATAAAAGTAAATAAAAAGACGTTTTTCAATATGAAAGATGAATATGATATGGCAACATTTACATATGATTTTGATTATGAATAAAAAAAAAAAGAAAATTTTTAATCTATTGAACATAAAAATAACCTTCGTCTGTTGTGTGATATTAAAAGATTAGATTATGTAAGAATTCATTGATCATTTATCAAATAGAAAGTCGATATATTTGACTACTTTAATATATATGATGATATAAGTAAAAGAGATGAATTTCTTTGAAAGAATATTAGGCAATTGAAATAAAAGAAACTATGTCAGAAATATATACAGTATACACTTTTTTTGTGTATAGCGCAATTATATAAAAGAATAAATCTTACCGATGCATGTGATTTTAGTGAACGACGATCAGGTTCAAAACCACCTGATTGTACATCAATATTTTCATTTAAACTTCCAGTCATAACTGGACTATACGATGATAATAGTGGTGATAAATGTCCAGCACCAATTGATGATGTTGGTGTTGATGATGTTATATGTCCATCATAACTTGTATTTAGTCGAAGACGTTTTTCTTTATCAATAGCTCGTTTCATTTTATATGCTTCTAAAACTTGTGACATATGAATATCTTGTATATCTTCATATGTATATGAACGCATATTGATACGTGTTTGAAAATGTCGATTTTCTTCACGTCTTAAATCATCTAGATATGTTGATGAAAAACAACGTATTAAATCATGATTTAATTCACGTTGTAATGATTGATTTTCAATAAAACGTAAATAACGATGTGCATTTTGTTCTAATTGTTTTAAACGATTTGAATCTGATAAATAAGTACGATCAATTAAACTTTTATTAACTGTTTTCATTATTTGTGTATGTGCACGATTTGTATTTAAACCACCACGATTATAAATAAATGAACGTTTTTGTTGATCTTCATCATCACTATCCATTGTATAATCAATAGGTGGTTCTTCTTCTTGTGCATAATACTGACTAATATAATGATGTTGTTGTGGATGTTGAAATGATATGGGTGGTGAAAGAAGTTGTTGTTGACGATATTTTTCATTGGTTGATGAAACAAGACGTTCAACAGATTGTTGAAATGCTTGTGGTGATCGTCCACGTTTCTTTCCAGCTAAACGTTCACGTGCTTCATTTAAATATGAACGTGGTGTTGATGATGAATCAAATCGAACATTTTGCATTTTATTTGGTGGTGATCGTCTTAATGTCGATAATGAACCATTTGTTGATGTGACAGTATCCATACGTGTTGGTGAATGTTTTGGTAGATGACGATATTCAGGACTTCTACTTGATGTACGTGGACGTTTTAATTGTGAACTTGGAGATGAATCAGTAACACTATCAAATATAATATGGGGTTGTTGACGTTGATGTATCCATGTATCTTTAAATAGGAAGAAACGAAAGATATGTAAATTATTTAAAAAGGATGCCTATAAGTTTATTCAAGTGTCATTAAGAAAGAAAGAAAGAAAGAGAATATAAAACTTATCTTCTTTTTCTTTTCTTCTTTCTATTTTATTTGCATATAGGTAGCTAGATTGATCTTACCTTCTGGGTTAACGGATGACGTTGCACTTGGTTGCCGTTGGGAATCTGTTGTCTTTGAGAATAGATAACGCGTATCAGGTACGTTACTCGTTGGTTGTATTGACTTTGTTGTTGATGTAGAAATTTTCTCATTTGTTGCTGATGCTCCATCAATAAATGTAACAGCACGTTGTTCTAATCCTGAACCGGATCGAACAAATGTTAATGTTTGCTGTGGCTTTTTAATTGAATCATCCGGTGGAAAATAATATCTTTCAGAATCAGTTGAATGTGATCGTTGTTCATTTTGTCCATTAGGAAATTTATAAACATCATTATTATTTTGATCTGTTGCAGCTGCAGAAAATTTATAACGTTTTCGTAATGCTGGTGGTGTTTCTGATGTTGGATTATTTGATAATTTATTTTTTCTTGTTGCTGTTGGTATTCGTGAATTTTGATTATCATTTGAAAGTGAACGAAATAAATAACGATCAGTTATATGTGACTTTGACGATGATATTGGTGGTGGCAAGGCTGTTGTTGACATATTTTGATTATTATTATTGTTATTATTATTATTATTATTGTTATAAACGTGATCCAATCGAGAAAGTAATCGCTTGAATTTTTCGACTTGTTCAATATTATTTTTGACTATTGGTAAATTTGCTTCAAGTGTAAAGCAATTCCCACTAGTATTGTTGTTATTGGATGAATACGATGATGAACTGAATAATGATGATGATGATGAAGTTAATGAGGAGGGATCTGCTAGTGATTGTTGGTTATCCGAAGAGCCGTTCACTAACTAGAAAAAAAAAATCTTCATGTAATAGTGAGTAATTATGTGGTCGTCTATGTGTCACAGCTGCCTTTTGGCATGGTTTTAAAAAAAAGAATAAAGAAAAAGAAAAAAAGGGAACACACTGAGCAAAGAGAGAGTAAAAAAAAATATATAAAAGTTGGCTGCACTTGGCTCTTACCGTTATTTTATTCTTTCTCTTCTCGCTTTTTCTTTGCAGTTCGACGCGTGTTCTGTCGTATTCCTACGATAATGTAATGAGAGTGAAGTATGAAGAACTTCTTCTTTTTTCTTTTATACCTTTTTTATGTCAAATTTAAGTTATAAACGGTATACAATAGTGAGACAGAACTGTCCGCATATGATTGAACTTTTTCATTCTCTGTCCATGCATTTGACAAATATAATGAGAAAATCATTAACCTTCACGGTACCATACTATTCAATCCCCTCAAGCTTAAATATGAATGAATGCGCATGTTTGCTGTCAACTCTTAAAATAGAATACGAAGACATTTTGTGTGTTCTATTTGCCTTTCTTCACATCGTCAAGTTATATGTGTGTTTTATGAAGAATTGATGTTTGCAAAACATTACCACCGTAAAAAAAGCGTTAATAATCTCAACAAAGAATGCCAATAGAAAAAAAATGAGTCACATAAGTAAAATAAACGAAGAAGAAAAGAAAAGGTGTGAATGTCTCAGACATAGAAATATCTCGTGTTATTTTCTATTCTGAAAAAAAAACAAGAAATTAATGATGAAACTTACCATTATACTGGATAAGGATATTTCAAAATTCATGTTCATAAAAACTGAATCTTACTATGTTCAATTCGTTTAATCGGGTATAATCGTAATCGCCTTGACCACACACGCACACAAATAAGATAAGAAGAAAAAATATATATATGAGAAGATGAGTCTATGTATGCGTCTACTATTCGATGGTCAAAGACAACAACGAAGAAAGGAAAAAAAGAGAGAAAAGAAATGTAACGAAATGAATTGCAAAAAGAAAACGACAAAATCAATGCTTTAAATTAATCAAAGCCATATTGTTGTACGAAGAACGGTAAAGAAAAATATCGAGAAAAGAAATCTTTAAGTCGCATGTAAACAAGATGAGCATGCATTCGTTTATATTCATGAATATAGGAAGACAATGAACATTGAATAGATAAGGTAACAAACAATATACATTTCGTTCTCTCTCGATAATTCACACAAAAACATAGAAGAAAAAGATCGGCTGTCTATGCCTATCACTTTCTATGACCTTCAGGATATATAAGGGGACATATGAGACAGTAAAAGCATGTGTCTCAATGAATAAAATCAAGGAAGATCAAAATCAATATTTTCCTTACGTGTATAAATCGTCTATTAGCTACGAAATCTAAATTCCAATACTGACGATGTTGTCATTTATTCTTTCGTTTTATGTTTCTCATTCTGTCTACGATAGCAGTTTTTTTTTCTTATCGATCAAAAAGCTAGTTACAAGTGTTTTATAGATGGCATGTAATTTATTTTTGTCAAATATATGTCGATTATAAAAATATAAAAAAAAAATGTAAAAGGATGACAACATAACAACCGCAATGGGGGTAACAAAAGTTTTACTACTGTACATATTTGAATATATGCTGTGACACTATTTATTTTTTAGTTTTTTTCTCCTTCGTTAAAATATAGTCTTTCTTCTATTTTCATTTCTCTCATTTTCATTTTATCGATTCTTTAGAAATTAAATCGTCTCTTCTTTTCTTCCAGTTTTGAAGTGTCGCCGTATATAAAAGAAGAAAAGTAAAAAAAAAAAGAAAAACGTAAGAGAAAAGAAAATAAAAACATACACATGAGTGTATATACATGTATGCAGAGCATAAAAGATTCGCATGCATAAATGAAGCTGCATATACGGTACCTTACTTGTAATGGTCAAATGAACTAAAAACGATAAGCACGGATAGAGTTCAACGACGCAAACAGAACATGCAACCATGCAAATTCATTTCTTTGTTCTTTTATTTTCAACAATTTAGAAAAAGAATACAAGAAAAAAAGAAAGCACTTATCCTAATTTTTAAATTGTTCTTTAATTTAAGATCAATAAAGAATATTAATATTCAAAGCTTTCCTATAATAAATATTGATTTATAATCACTATGTATTCATTGATTTGGAAACAAAATAGTTGAGCATTCTCTGTTTTGTTAAATACGATTTCATTCTTATCATTCTTTTCGTAACAACAACAACAAATAATAAAAAATACTAATGATGTAACATCTATTTACTTGAAAAATTTGCAATTCAGTATGTAACTATACACACGTATTACACTTAAATTATTTCGCTTCACTGCTATCAGTCTTAGTAGCATTGTCTCGCGCCTTTTAATGTATGTTTTTACACCGACGGTGCCGCCATTTGCATGAGTGTTTGTGTCTTCCTCGACGAAACAATCACACTTCACTAGACACTCGCTATTATTTACTCAGCATGTGCTTGCCATCTTACGTGACTCTCAACCCATTCGGATCGATAACTTATCAAACTGTGAACACATACTGTATATTGAATAGACTAAATAAAGTAATAAAGAGAAACCTTATTTACCTGTCGATCAACTCCTCTTCGATTTTGAGTAATCAAGTAGGATAGAGATGACGATAAGAAGAGATCGTCGATAAAAAAATAAGAAGAAAGAAGAAATTAAATTTAATTTGAGAAGCAGTCAAATTGAATTATAGTTCTCAAATTGATGACTGCTTCTCGCCGTTTGAATTTAAGTAATAGTTAAAGAAGAAGAAAAAGAAATGAAGTTGAAAAAAAAAAAAGAAAGAAAACCTATACATATTACAGTCTTGCTTTGTACAATCACAATCATCTCACCTCCGCACCTTTTCTTTTCTTGCTGCCAACATACATTATTCTTTGACAAACTGCATACCATCTTTATAAAATCAATATTATGTGCACAATTCATTACGTACACACATATAAGTCGGATGCTCACCATAAACTAATCAGGATTCACTTTCTCTTTCTCTCTCTCTCTCGCTTCACTTATACATGGTTTTTTCTTACCTATAAAACATACTAAAGCATTGCGGAATAAAAAATAGTTGAGTAATTCATGTACACGCGTATTCGTTCGTGTGTGTGTGTATATGTACATGTATTGTCATTTCATCTCGAGTCAATATTGAACCTGGCTTATCGTTGCTCAACAGATGATACTACTCCAGTGTCGTTCTTTCTCATTTTTCTCCTTCTCTGTCAAATTATCAAAAGATTACTTGAACTTCGTGATGATGGTGACCATAGTCTTCTTTATTCTCTTTTTCTTACCGCTTATGTCATTATAACAAGAGGCTCAATAATCGTCGAACCAGAATAGTAATAGGCAAATGACTTTGTATTACAATTTCTACTTGTATATAAGCAGTTACATGATTTCTCTCTTTTTCTTTTTTTTTTTTTTTGATGTGACGAATCGAGCTTGAATGTATACTACGTTCGAAGGTCAATTTTGTAGTTCTTCATTCGATAATTTGTGCCAAATATATACATATATACATATATATATATATGTGTGTGATCTGAATTTCGAGACAATGATAATCTGTTAGTTCTTTACAATGACGAAACGATATCAATTTATCGTCACCGCATACCAAGCGAAAATAAACGAATATGGACACATACAGAGATATTCAATTTCAGAGAAAGCCGCAATATCGTTACGTTCTATATGTATGACATAACTAGCAAGCACTCATAAGTAGAAAAAAAGGAGGTACTACGCCCATCAACTTCCACTTGAAAATAACAGTGAGAAAATGAAGAGTACATACATAGACGAATATATTTATATATGTATATATACATATAACTTTTAATACCACTTACCTCATTTATGACGACTGATTGTAACACCGTTTTTGAGTGAGGATAAGAACGACGATGTTGTCGACAGGAATATAACGGAACTGGCGGTGATGGCGGTTTAAGAGAGGATAATGTACGAAGTATTGCATTAGCATACGTATCAGCTACTGGTAACTGAGAATCTGTATTGAAATTCGTTGTTTGCTGCTTTGTGGATAAATGTGGCATAGTATCTTATACTTTTTTTTTTAGCACCACGGTGTGAAAATTATCGATTAAAGATATCTAAAAGATTTAATCAAATTGTAACATTTTCTATGTAGCTAATTTTTTTTTTTCTTAGTATTTAAAAAGAAAAGTGGTTTTGTACATGAACCTTGAATATAATAACAGATATGCATACTAAATGGAACATTTAAAATGCGTAACATGGGGTATGAAATTGGACGATATATCATATAGATTCTTTATACCTATATGAACACACCTATCATCAGACTTCATTTAGAGAAGAAAAAAACCTAAGAACTTGACGATAAATTATTATGAATATGATCAATGAACTTACTTGACATTTGATATCTAAAATGCACAACTTGTCAAATTATTCTATTAAGCAATTATATTTATTCTTATCTCAAACAATGAACAGGTCCGATGAATCTATATTGTATTATGTCTATATATTTGACTGTCCGTTATTTTTTTCATCAGAAAATGGTACCATCCTTTCAAGTCATAGAGAAGCTGTATGGAGTTATACTACGTGTCACTTGCCCTATGAGACAGTCGACGAGACGAAAAAAAATAAAGAATATGACTAAAATATACATACACACAAGCTATTGAACAACTACGACATACAATTAACCTCCTTGACGAGCGCATACAGTTCACTAGTCGACGTTAAATATATATATATATATAATATATATACACACACACACATATACACTTGTCCCTCCCAGATATGCATGACCCTTAGTAGATATATCCACACCCATACATACATAGACTAAAGATGTCTAACAATAGTAAATTTTATTCCTTTTAACGTTTATTTTTTTATGAATGTAAATAAATGTGTCTATTGAAATGAAACAACGATCTTTACTTACTTACTGAGAGATATACACGTCCGACGACTCATCATTGACTATTCAACATATATTTTAACTATCTAATGAGACAGTACATGCCCATTCACGCGCACTATGTCGTGTGACGATGGTTAACTAGTGATAAGACAAAAAGTTGATTAAGCAAGTGCATGTTTGTGTATTGAATATGCGATAATTATCAACCTGTCAACAAAGTCATTCTCTCGTTTCAATCTTAAAACTAATGACATTGTCATTAATGGTAAGATAATATTAGTTGATCAAAAAAGTCAATTGAACGTGCCATACACGATACGAATTGCATGACACATCAGATTACATTTTTTTTATACGTGCAAAATCAATAAATTCAATGCTTATAAAAATGACTTTCATAATATGACAATATATTCTTATTCTGATTTGATGATTTCTAATGAAACAGCATGCATCTTTAATTATTTAATTCATTAACAAGTATAAATAGTAGTAGTAGTAGTAGACCTTCTGCTTCTATTAATATATATATATATGTATCTAGCTGTGTTATCAAGGATATTACATTTTTAAATAAAATCTGTCGTATAATTAGATGAATTTTAAATGAAATCTAGTTAGAATAAATTTTATCGTTGAATGAATATAAAAAGAATAAATAATTGTATTTTAATCACTTTCAAAAGAATGTTGTAATTCATATATCTGTTTCAAAAGACCGACATGTTGTTAGCGTGATAAAGCGAAAAAAAAACATCTTGCTAGTCATAATGATGTGTGAATATTATCATATTAACCTTATCTTATCTTAACTATATATAAAAAAGAAAGCGAATGAATAAATGAATAAGTAAACGGGCATATAACTATTTTATATCAAGACCATCAATATATATATTTACACAGATGCAGATTACATCTATTTTTATATTAATTGCTGTAACTTTTGCTAGTTTTACATTAGCTCAAGTACCTATTCCATCACGTCCTGATGGATGGGGAGTTGGTGGTCCAGCTGATGCACATGCTGTTATAGAAATGTTTTTGGATCCACTTTGTCCAGATTGTAAAGCAACATGGTCAACTATTTTAGAAGTTGTTCAAGCATATGGAACAAAAATTCATTTTCGCATACATACATTTCCACTTCCATATCATACAAATTCATTTGTAGTTTCACAAGGTGTACATGTTGTTGCTAATGCTACAACTCGAAATTTAGATGCTATTTTTCAATATGTAACTCAAGTATTTCAATATCAACAACTTTGGTCTAATGATGCAACAAAATCTATGACAATGACACAAGTTATCGATTCACTTGCATCATTTGTTGATAAAATTGGTATAGTAACAAAAGATAAGTTTTTAGCAGGAATTGCTAGTGATGATCTTAATGAAGAAACACGTATTTCATGGAAATATGCTTGCTCACGTGGTAAGTAACTTTATATGGATTAAGCAATAAAAAATTATTTGTTATATTTAGGTATTGTTGGTACACCAACATTTCTTATTAATGGTGTAGCAACAAGTGCTGATGCATCATGGTCATTGGCTGATTGGAAATCTGTTATTGATCCTATCTTATCATCAAATGAAGAAATTTCATCTGAAGTTAAAACTTGTCCATCCGGTCAAGTTGAATGTACCTACGCCCCACATAAAACTCAATGCTGTTTAAAAGGTGAACGTTGCATTACAAATGTTGGTTGTCGATGTTTTAATTTGAAAAATGGCAATAAATGTTTTTAAAATAATCGAAAATAAATTCTAAAAGTTTTCTTTTCTTTAATTTCAATAAATTACGCTTTATGGAATACCGAGGATAAATCATAATGGAAGATAACGTCGGATTTATTTTTTGCTTATCATAATCGAAACATCGTGAGTCATATTGAGTAATTTTCACACTTTTCAATAATCGATTATTTCCCTTTCGACTTTTGTCTACTTGAGAGGCGGCAAATAAGATAATGATCAATTCTTGTTCACAAGTAAAAACAATTATATATTAGTATTATCTGCTTGATTATATACTAATAGTTATGCAATATATTTGTCTGTGAATATTATATATTTCTAATTTGAAATTTAATAACATATTTGTAGTATTTAACTTTCGATCGAAAATACATTTTTATGATAGACATCTCCTTTGAATATATAATTATCAAATTTAACATAAAAATATATCGTATCGTAACGAAATCGATTATACATTTGATTGATCAATAATTCAAATTTTCTTAAAAAAAAAACTTTATCAAAATAATGTAAAACCATACATTAATTGACAGTATAAATTTGATCAATTATACGAATGAATAAATTCGTACGATAGATGTTGCTTTTTCGTCATATTATTGGTTAAAAGTAAGGAACTAATAAAAGGTGTATGTCTGGCAGAAAATTTTTACCTATCACTTTACTTTCCATTTTATTAGGCTTCAAAAGAAGAGAAATAAAACAAGCCTATTGAGAATAAACTTTACATTAATTTCTTTATAGATGATTGAGCAATTAAGTTATCTTTTAATTATATTAGTACCTTTTGGATTAATTATTTTATCTGTAAGTTAATTTAGTCGAATATATTAAATTAAAATTTGGTCTATTAAGATAATATGTTTATTACGTTCATTTAAAATGGCATCTCGAAGTGAAAATGAAAAATATTTTCACGATCCAATAACGAAATCACGAAAACAATTTCCATCATTAAAAGATTCATATTCAAAATATCTTTCTGTTATTATTCCTGCTTATAAAGAAGTAGATCGATGTAAGATAAAACAAAAATTTTTCATAGACAAAATTTGATTTATTTAGTACCTGTTATGATGAAAGATACAATGGATTATCTAGAACAACGTCAGGTATAATAATCTCTTATTATAAATTCATAGAAATGATATTATCATTATTTTAGACAAAAGATTCATCATTTACATATGAATTAATTATTGTCGATGATGGTAGTCCTGATAAAACTAGTGAAGTAAGTTTCGATATTCTCAATAATAAATTATTTATCATATTTCCAGATTGCATTAAAATTTAGTGCTCAATATGGTACAGATATAGTTCGTGTATTGACTTTAGATGCTAATCGAGGCAAAGGCGGTGCTGTTCGAATGGTGAAGTAGAGTATTCATAACAGAATATCAACAATCAATTTCATTTTTTTCTATCAGGGTGTTTTAAGTGCTCGTGGTCAATGGATTTTATTTGCGGATGCAGATGGTGCGACGAAATTCAGTGATTTTACTAAAGTTGAAAAAGGTGCTTTAGCAGCAATAAAAGTAAATTCGAACAGAATAATATAAAATCTTATATATTGTAAAACTTTAGAATAATGATGTTGTTGTTTGTGGTTCCAGACGACATTTAGAACAAGAATCTGTTTCACAAGTAAAATCGTTTTTTCTTTTAATTAATAAATTTCTTTTTCTTCTAATAGAGATCAGCATTTCGTACATTACTTATGTATGTCTTTCATTTTGAAGTTTGGTTATTTGCTGTGAAATCTATTCGTGATACTCAATGTGGGTTTAAATTATTTTCACGTCAAGCTGCACAAAAAATTTTCACACAAATGCATGTTGAACGATGGTAAGAAAAAAGTTTTTTTTTAGAAATAAAATCAGTTTTTATATCTAGGGCATTTGATGTTGAACTATTATACATTGCCGAAAAATTGAAGATTCCTATTGTTGAAGTTGATGTTAATTGGCAAGAAATTCCTGGTTCAAAACTTGATCCATTTACAGCTTCATTACAAATGGGAATTGATATATTAGCTATTTGGTTTCGATATATAACAGGAATTTGGACAATTAATCATATAAAAAATTAGAAAAATAAACATTTTATTTGTTATATTTTATCTTAAACTTTTTTTCTTTTTGGTTACATATATATTATTCAATTGAACTTTTTGATAAAGTTATTCTTTCCGAATACATTGACATTTGAAAAATAAATTGTCATAAGAAAAACTCTTGGTTTTATCTCAATACATATACCTTCAAATAAAAAGAACTCGATGTACTTTTTCTATCAAGTATAAAATATTGTTGCCATGAATTCTAATAAAAGTCAAATTTCCTGGAAAAAAACAAACTAATTTTTTTTCATAGAGTTTTGCGCATGTGCCTATAATATTACTAATTGAACCTTATGAACCTGATGTCTAAAACATAGATGTAAAATCTATTGATTAAATTATATATGGAAATCTTTTTTAATATATCTAGCATGTTTTGAAAGTCGATTATTAGACGAATGAAAGAAGGAGGAAAAAAAGAAATCTGATATTTCAAGAAGAGAAAATAATTGAGCTCGACCAAATCAGTTTACTGTCATTTGTTTTTCAATTGAAATCTATCATGGATGCTGAAGAATTTCGACAAAGAGGTATACAATTTAAAAACAATAAAACTAAGCTATTTTTTCTGTATTTGTAGGAAAAGAAATGGTCGATTATATAGCTGATTATTTAACAAATATTCGAACCAGACGTGTATTTCCAGATGTTAAACCAGGTTATATGCGACCAATGATTGCTGAAGAAGCACCGGAACATGGTGAACAATGGGAAGATATTTTTAAAGATATTGATCGTGTAATTATGCCTGGTGTATGTATTTTTCTATAATTTAATTATTCTTATAGAATTTATCAATTTCCTATAGATTACACATTGGCAATCTCCTTATATGCATGCATATTTTCCAGCATTAAATTCTTATCCATCGTTACTTGGAGTATAATATATATTGAATTTTATTATATAACATATTAGCAAATTTGTTTATTTAGGATATGTTAGCAAATGGTTTAAATCAATTAGGATTTACTTGGGTATGTATGAGAAAAAAAAAGATTTTTTCACGTTATTTCGCAAGTATGTGACATTTTAATGAATACAGGAACGATATGATCATATAACAAATTATGAAGTGCATTTTAGTAGTTATAGATCATATAAATGTTTCTATTTTGAAATTTGTTTTTTATTAATTATCTAGAAATAATAGACAGTAATCTATATTTAATAATATTATTAAATCTGTCAATTTTAATTGAACATGAATAAAAATATATTTTCTTTTTCATAAAAATAGGCATCAAGTCCAGCATGTACGGAGTTAGAAGCAGTTGTTATGGATTGGTTAGCAAAAATGATTGGTTTACCTAATGATTTTCTTCATTCACATGCTGATACAACTGGTGGAGGAGTTATTCAAGTAATTTGATGTTTAAGTTTTTATCGGAATAATAATTTAAAAATCTTTGTAGACAACAGCTTCTGAAGCAACACTTGTTGCATTACTCGCTGCTCGCAAAGAAGGTATTCGTCGGGTTCAAGCACAGTTTCCTTATTTAAGTCCAGCAGAGATTAATGGACGTCTTGTGGCTTATTGTTCTGATCAAGCACATTCATCCGTTGAAAAAGCATGTCTTATTGGTTTAGTTAAATTAAATCTTGTACCCAGTGATGAGAAATTACGCTTACGTGGTAATGCATTACGACAAGCAATTGCGAACGATAAAGAAAACGGTCTTATTCCATTTTATGTAAGAATAAAATATTTTCTTGAACTTCGAAGTTTAATTTAATTGAATTATTTTAGCTCTGTGCAACATTAGGTACAACAGGTGTCTGTGCGTTTGATAATCTTGTTGAACTTGGTTCCATATGTAAGTTTTATTGATTATAGAATTATTTTAAGAAATGATACAATAGGTGAACGAGAAAATATTTGGATACATGTTGATGCAGCTTATGCTGGAAGTGCTTTTATCTGCCCGGAATTTCGACATTTTATGAACGGTGTAGAATTAACACAATCATTCGCATTTAATCCATCAAAATGGATGATGGTTAGTTCATTATTAGTTCTTATAAATCTCATTTAAAATACTTTAGGTTCATTTCGATTGTACAGCTATGTGGTAAGACTGATAATAAAAAATATCAGAAACCTTTTTTATATAGAATCTTTAGGGTAAAATCAAGTGCTGCTTTACATCGAGCATTTAATGTTGATCCATTATATCTTCAGCATGAAAATGCTGGTGTAGCAATTGATTATATGGTAATCATTCAGTTGTATTTTGTATTATTTCATGATTATTATTTTAGCATTGGCAAGTACCATTAAGTCGTCGATTTCGTGCATTAAAACTTTGGTTTGTTATCCGTTCATTTGGTGTTGAAGGTCTTCAGAAACATATTCGAAATGTGAGTTACTATTGTGCAGACAAAAAAAAACGAGAAATTCTAAAAAATAATTGGTATTAACTAACACGCGATGAAAATTAATGACAAAGAATAGATTTAGTTTTTTTGTTAAAGTAAATCTATCGATTTAATTATCAAAATTTTTATTTAAGAGTGTTCAAATGGGAAAATTATTTGAATCATTAGTTAAATCTGATGCTCGATTTGAAATACCGGCTGAACGACATCTTGGTCTTATTGCGTTTCGATTAAAAGTAAAGAAAATAGTTTCATTTTTTTAATTAAATTCTTTTTTCTCAGGGTGAAAATGAATTAACTGAACAATTATTAAAAGATATAAATAGTGGTGGACAAATTCATTGTGTTCCAGCATCAATCAAGGGCAAATATATTATTCGTTTTACAGTCACAGCTAGTTCAACAAATGCCGATGATATTAATCGTGATTGGAATATAATTCAACAATCAGCTAGTAAAATTCTTCATCCATTAGATAATCTTACACCACAAGAACGACGAAATAAAATGAAAAATCTTCATGATGATTTTCGTATGTCACTTGTTTTATCAAATACTCCACATAGTCCATGTCTAATAAATGGAAGTTTTGCTGCTATATTTTCTCCTAATACACGACGTATATATGCAATGACACATGAATTAAGTCAACGTGCATTAAAAAATTCTCTTTTACCAATATCAACAAGACGACGATCAAGAAATTTTTCTGTACAACCAACATTAAATAAACATCTTAGTATTGATGGTTGGCTGGATAATAATGAACAACAAAATAAATGTTTAGTTATATCAGCACCTTCATCAGCATCGATTAGTCGACAAGGAAGTTTAGATTCACGTATAGAAGAAATTTTAGACAATAATTCGATGGATAATCATAATAAAACAAATTATGAAGTTTTATTAACATCATCAAATGATCCTACTGAACATCAAATAATTGTACCAAAAATTGTCAAAGAATAAAAAACTTTAATATTATAGACAGTCGATAAAAAAATAAATATATGACCTATATATATTTTTTCATTAATATGCACTGTTTAATAAAATAGAAATGAAAGAGAAAAGATGATGATAAATTGCGTCAATGAACAACAAAAAGAAAACTTTATTCTCGTCGTAAATCTATGCGTGTGAGGTTTTTTTCCGTCTAATCTAAGATAAAAAGAAAAAGAGATGTTACATCTTAACCCGTCATTTTGCTTTTCTTTTTTTTTATATACTCTTTCATTTATTATTTTTTTTACCATATGACAGCTTTTAGTTGCCAGTTAGGAATAGCGGAAATAATTTCGTAGATTGTATTAAATAAATAAAACATTTACTGTTTTGGTCAAAGTAAGTATAATTTCAATATATATAAATTAAATCTTACGATTGATAATGAGTAGAATTTTGTAGGCATGATGACGCTTTTGAAAATGGATATTTTTAATTATAAGTCATTATGATCAAGTAGTTCAAATAAAAACTACCTTCCAAGTTTACTTGACAGGAAAAAAATATGATTTTACTATCAAGAATTAGATGTTGTTTTTCTTTTCTCGACATTCGATATCTGATGTTTTACAAACCATCATTATCTCTTGCTATATAATTCTTTCATCTATTAATTAAATAAGTGAAATGATATTTCATCTATCCAATCTGCTACTATTATCATCTCCACTTTTTTTATTCCCTATAGTTTTACTTGAAATTTGACCTTAAATTAGTTTGACGGAAGTTTCTTTTCTTATTTTAAGTTCAAAGTTTTTGCCACATGTCACAACCATATAGATGAAAAATATCCGCGGAATTACCAGATTCAATTAAAATCCTACACATTCTAAAAGAGTTCCGCTCAAAAAACTCATTAGCCAAAAAAAAAATAAAAATATGAACATCGCACATAACCAGAGATGAATAGAAGAAGAAAAAAACTAACTGAAACGGAAATTTATCTGTTGTCAGATTAATAATTTTATGCTTTTACTTCACCAAGCAGCTTTATAATTCTTTTTCTATGATATTTTTTACCTGTTGATGATGACTTCTTTTTATGAAAGCAGAAAAAAAAATTTATATTATTCTTAACTAATGAAAACACTTTTTCACTCCCGGCCATTTATAACTAACCAATTAAAGATTAAAAGAAGTTATATAATCAGTTATTTTCTTGTTGTTCATAGATGTTATAAACAATAATAAAAAAAAGAAAAGTATTATCATGGAATACCATGAAAGTACACGTCGTCATGGTACTTGTATTAAGTTTTTAAGTGATTTTCGAGCACTTTTTATCAAAACATTTTTTTTAACAATACGAAAACCTGGTCAAACTATTGCAGAGATCTTGTTAGCATATACATTCATGGGGCTTCTACTTGGTATGCGTTATATTCTTGATCGTCGGTATTATTCTGCTTATCAAATACCTCGTTTCAATCCGTATAGTAGTCTATCATACAATGTGGTTGGTAATATCACTTATTACTATCCAGGTTTGTTAATTCTATTGTTCTAATAAAATCTAATTATTTGTTTTTGATAGGAAATATATGTGCAGCAACTATTGCTACTAATGCTGTGCATGATCTCAACGCTCAAGTCTCAACTTTTCCTACTAATAGTATGTTGTATATATCGTTAAAATTTATAATATTTTTGTGTATAGTTCAAGCCATATCTGATCCAACACTTTCAACATTATCAAATACAACCTTACAATCACTCACTGCTTTTATTCAATTTACCAATCTTGATTCATGTACAAATGCTTCAACAATGCCTGATGAAGTTCAATACACTTTACGTATGCAAGAGTATGTATTTAAATTTGTTATATTTAATTTTATTATGCATTTATTATAGAAATGGTCCAAATTATTATCATGCACAAGATGTGATGATTTCACCAAATGCTTATATGTGGCAACGAGCTCCAGAAGATTTTTGTCAAAGTAAATTAATAAAATAAAGAATATCATTTTAAAGATAAATGTATGCCTCTTAAGGTATCTCAAGTTTTTCGAATTATCTTAATCGATTTCTCGGTGTTCAATATTCTATAAATATGAATATTATTAAATATGTTACAAATACTACTCAAAATTTAGCATCAAGCGTAAGTACAGATAGAATTTGTATTAAATGGCAAAGTTTACTCTATTCTATCATTTGAATAGATCTTTATGAATCATTTTGGTTGTCCAGCATATTATTCTGATCAATTACAGTCGATATATGGGTTTTTTATTCCAATATTCTTCTCCATTGTTTTTGTTGTTACATTTATTATGAATGTCGGTTATGTTGTTCAAGAACGAGAAAATAAAACAAAAGTAAGAAATTATACTTATCTCATTCAATAAAAAAAAATACCTTCACATCTATAGGAATATCTACGCATTTATGGACTACGCACTTGGATTAATAATTTAGTGTGGGTTACTCGATCAATGATCATCTATTTTATTCTCAGTAGCGTAGTGACAGTTTTGAGTCTGGTAGTTTTACCAAGTTCTAATTCAAAACCAGGTCGTGTTAGTAAAGCCTTATTCAATTATACGCATTGGACAGTGCTTTGGACAATTCTATTTGTTTATTCAATACAAGTCTCAGCATTTAGTGTCCTCTTTGGACAGTTTTTCAAACGTCGTAAGATAAATAAATAAAATATATATATTCTATTCATTTCATATATCTTTATTTAGCATTACTTGCAAAACTTCTCGGTTTTGTTGTATGGGTAATCACATTTATTGATTTTTATCCAGGTGTACCTGTTGGTGCTCGATATTTCTTATGCATATTACCGAATGCAGGTCTTATGTTTTGCCTACAAGTCGTCTTACAATATGAACGAAGAGGAGGTGTGTATACTTATTCATTTTTTTTCTAGTTCTAATATATTTATGTTTAGTTGGAATAACTACATTTAATCAACTCTATTCAAATGTATTTTCATATCCATTATATATTGGTATATGTCTTCTTCTGATGCTTATTTATTCTGTCATTTATTTATTCTTGGCAATCTATGTTGAACGAGTTAATCCAGGTGAATTTGGTGTTGCACAATCATGGAATTATTTGTTCAAAAGATCTTATTGGAAACCTAGTGCAACATCAGTTGTGAAACCATCAAATAGTAATGGTCATATAGGCGATGGTAATACTAATTGGATTGAAATGAGCTCTATGAAGAATAAGAAAGATCCATCATTAATAATATCACATTTGACAAAAGTAAGGCATTAAATATAAAGAATGATATGTATGATGATTTGTACTGATATAGAAATTTGGAAAATTTGAAGCAGTGTCTGATTTATCATTGAAATTCTATGCAGGTGAAGTATGTTCATTATTAGGTCATAACGGCGCAGGAAAAACAACAACAACATTTATTCTTGTTGGTAAATAAAATTAAATAAAATGTTGATGTATATGTGTGTATGTATATATTTCTATTTATTAGGTATGTTAGAAGCAACATCAGGACAAGTGACAATTGAAGGATTAGATAGTCGAGAACATATTCAAGATATTCGAAAAATTCTCGGATTCTGTCCACAATATGGTAAGAAGAGAAAAATGTTAGAAGAGAAGAAAAGATGTGCTATTGTTGATATGTATATTTTAGATATTCTTTATGAAGAATTATCAGTGAAAGAACATTTGGAATTGGTTGGAAAGGTATGTGTATAATGAGGCGAACATTTATTTATTTAGCATCAACAAATGAAAAGAATAAAGTTTAGAAAATAGATTATATTTAATTATTTATTATCTAATGAATGAATACGGTTGAGTTGATTCTGTTATGAACAATATAATTTAATAGTTGATTATCAGAGCAAAGTTTAATTGTAAATTATCGTTGGCATGTTTACCGCATGACTTTATTCTTTCCTGTAAATTTTTACACCAGTGAGTCGTCGACTCGGAACATGCAACGACAATTATAGATTCTATTAAATGAAGTAATGTCTATAGACGTTCACTAAAAATCAAAACTTTCTAGAAAAATACGAGATATACTATTTTGATTAAACAGTAATTCTTACAAATAAAAAAGCGATTGTTAGTTATAAAGTTCATTCTGTTTTAAGATTCTCAAAATTGCATTATTATCACTATTTACTAGATGCGACATATGAAACCAGACGCAATGAAACAATCTATTGATAATATTCTTCAACTTATTGGACTAGTTAATGATCAACAAACACTTTCTAAAAATCTCTCAGGTGGTATGAAAAGACGTTTATCGATCGGCATCTCATTTATGGGTGATCCAAAAGTATTTCATCTCACTTTCTCTTTTCTTCTAAAAATCATTCAATCTTTTAGATTCTCATTCTTGATGAACCAACAAGTGGCATTGGTAATTTCAGTACTGAGAATAACAATTCTTTATTTATATTTTGTTCATAGATCCATATAATCGTCGTTTGATTTGGACAATCATTCGAAAAATGAAAGAATCAGGCAAATGTATTATTTTAACAACTCATTTTCTGGAAGAAGCTGATGTTTTATCTGATCGAATTGCTATCATGACAAGTGGACGACTTCAAGCAAATGGAACACCTGATTTTCTGAAAAGTCAAATAGGTTTGATTGAAAATCATATATTATTATAGATATAGACATAAAATAAGAAATCTTTATCTAGAATTCGAATATCGCTTATTTATTGATAAGCAAGAAACATATCCAAATGAACGTGTAACAGTATTCATTCAAAAATATCTTCCAAATATTGTATTAGAGAGAGAATCATCATCAGAAATGGTGTTTGGAATAAGAAGAAATGAATCTAAAAAAATTGGACGATTAGTTCATGCATTAGATGAAGAAAAATTGAATATTGGCGTGGAAAATTATGGACTATCGATGACAACAATTGAAGAAGTATTTTTAAAGTAAAATTATATTCGCAATTTTTTTAGGAAAATTAGATTTATTTCTTCTTTTGAAATAGATTAATTCGTGAGGCAGAAGAAGAGGAGAATGGTTGTCATGATCAAGCTAAATCACAATTTGAACTAGCAAATAGAGGTAAAATTGTTCTTTTTTAATTTAGTTAATATATTTCAATATAGTTTTTCGTATGGAACACAAGCGAGAAACAGGTATTACTAAGTTCTGCTATCGCATCTGTGCATTACTTATCAAACGAATACATGTCCTTCGTCGACAATATGTTTTTTTAGTGGGATTTTTCTTATTTCCAATACTTATTGAAATTTTGATGGTCAGCGTGTTTCCATCTCCACAAGATGTTCAAGCATCACTTGTACAAAATAACCATGTTGCAGGCGCACAAGTTACATTCCAACCATCGATTTACAATCCACAAACCATTGTTACTTATGCTAATAATAATGGAAGTAATGCAAGAACAAATCTCATGAATTATCTTCAGAATACAGGTGCAACGATTGATGAAATATCATCTGATACTGTACTTAGTTATACACAAAATCGATATTATGCAAGTGAAGATATTTTTGTTAATAAATATCAAATAGCTCTTGCTCTTTACAATAATCTTACATCAACATCACCTTCATTAACATTTAATAGTTATTTTTCAACAGTTAACTATCATGCAATGCCAGTAAGTCTTAGTGCTGCTTCAACAAATCTTTTTCAGTTTTACGCTAACTCAACAACAAAGAAAATTACAACTACAAATCAACCAATCATAACTACATCAACAACATACACAGCTCTTGATCGATTTTTTGAAATTCTATATTGTTTTGATACACTACCATTATCATTATTTAACTTTATCAATAGTATTGTTGTGTCAATATTTATTAGTATACTTATTGTACCATTAATTCAAGAGCGTCGTAGTCATTCAAAAGATTTACAATTATTAACAAATCTAAGTAAACGAAGTTATTGGTTCTCAAATTTCATCTGTGATATATGTTCCTGTTTTATACTTTGTTCTTTTTTAATAATTATTGTTAAGGTAAAGATAGTACTTTCTTTATAAAAGTATATATGTATATGAAACATGTTTTATATTAGATCGGTGCAGCAGCTAATCCAAATATTCAATCTGAAGTTCATATTTATATTAATTATTCTCAATCATTATATTTTTTTGCCACGATCATGATGTATTCATTGGCTTCATTACCTTTAATCTATGTTTATTCATTTAGTCCAAAATCTGAATTGATTGGTTTTATTAATTTTTTTGTCATTAACGTAGTTGCATGCTTTCTTGACATGGTACTTGCTTTTATGGGATTGTTTTCACAGAGTCAATCCACAAATGCCACTCATGTATCCAAATTATCATCTCTGGTGTTGAATATTCGATGGGCTGTTGCAGTTCTATTTCCATCTGTTAATTTCAAACGTTCGTTATTTAATATCCGTTTGAGATCAAATCCAGACTGTGTTTCAGCAATGAATTCAATAATGTTTACGAATTATTCTGCTACAGAACCATGGACATCGCTTCGTGAACCAGGCATCGGTATTGAATTTGTTATCTTTTGTGTCCAAATATTATTTTGGTGGATTATTTTGGCTATAATTGAAAATAAAGTTAATATAAAATTAGCATGCGGACAATGCTGTTGCTCTGAAAATGAATCAGAACAAGTAGGTGGACAAAATCAATTGAATAATGAAGGTGGAGCAATAGGAACAGCTCCATATCAATGGAGCGATGCAGTACGTGACAAAAAATGTGTTACTTATAAGAACATCTTATTCTTTAATTCATATTTTAGCATTTAGATGAAGATGTTAGAAATGAACGGCAGTCTATATTACGTGAGAGTACTTCATCAACTTCATCTGTTGTTCTTGTTCGTGATCTTGTTCAACAATTCAAAAAACGAAAAAACAAATCATCCGATCAACGCATCTACACAGCTGTTGATCATCTCAATTTTCGTGTCACAAAAAAATCTTGTTTTGGTTTATTAGGTCTCTATTCTTATTTTCATTTTCGTACATATCTATTTTTATAAATATTATAGGGGCAAATGGTGCTGGTAAAACAACAACATTTAGAATGTTAATCAATGATCTCAAACCAGCATCCGGTGATATTTTTATTAATGGTAAAAATATTAACAAAATAGTGAGTCAATTTTAACACTTTTCTTCATCGACATCTTCTTTTCATCTCATTAATTTAGGAAAGAGATCTTGAAATAGGTTTTTGTCCACAATTTGATTGGCTCATCAGCAATCTTACTGTGAGAGAAACATTAACTTTATTTGCTAGGTAAAACTATACTAAACATTCATTCACTCATTCATTCATTCTTCTTCTTCTACTATTTGTTTCTTGTTTTTCTATAGATTAAAAGGTTTAAAATGGTCAGAAATATCAGAAATATGTGGTGATATGATTAATCTTTTTGGTCTTGAACCATATGAACATCGAAGAATAGAAAGACTAAGGTGAATATAAATACATGGATGATAATTATATTTATGAATGAAATTTAGTGGTGGAAATAAAAGAAAAGTGAGTGCAGCACTGGCATTTATGGCAAATCCTGCTTTGGTATTTTTGGATGAACCAACAACAGTAAGATACTGAAATAGATGAAATGAAAAAGACGATGATGATGTATGAATAATATTGTTTTGTTAGGGTTTAGATGCTGCTGCCAAGCGAAAGTTATGGAATGTCATTCGAGCAGCTCGTGATATAGGTTTGACTATTATTCTAACAAGTCATAGGTATGAATAATAAAAAAAGAAAGAATAAGAAGAAGTATATTTATTAATTTGTTTACTTTGCTTTTATATAAAAATGTGTAGTATGGAAGAATGTGAAGCATTATGTACAAGTACGTTGAAACTAAAAAAAAGATGGTGAAAATATTTATTTGTATATTTGATAGAGATAGGAATAATGAAATTGGGTCAATTTATGTGTTTGGGAAATTTGCAACGATTGAAGAATCGTTTTGGAAATGGATATGCTGTCCAAGTGAAACTTCCATTACAAGATGTGAATGTATTCAAAGAAGAATTGATGTTAACTTTACCAGGAGTTCAATTTGATGGTAAGACTACTGATTTATACTTTAAAATTATAGATATTTTATTTTTATAGAACAACATAATGGAATGCTGTTTTGTACTGTACCATTTGCTTCAATAAATCCTACGGAAAGTTATACTAGTGCATCGTCATTTAATCTGGCACATATATTTGATTTATTCAATAAAAAAGCAGAAGAAAAATCGATTGAAAGTTATTCAATAACACAAACAACACTCGAACAAATATTTGTTCATCTTTCTGGAGAAGATCATACTACTGATGCTAATAAAAAGAAGAAAAAGAAATAATAGTCAAAGATCCAAGATCTAAATCTAGTCCTTATATTTTTTTTGCTCAATGGAATGTTTTTGTTGTATATCAAAATTATTTTATTTATTTACTTATTTTTATTATATAATTCGTGAATTCATATAATGAACAATAAATACTTTCGTCTGTGATATGTCATATCTATTAACACATGTAGCTTGCTTATTTATTAATATCAAATCAATTGTTGTCATAATTATAAATCATTGAGTACGAATCTTAGTAAAGTTTTTCTAACAATTTTGACATTGGTAAAATGTCATTTGTGTTAACAAACAAGTACTTGAAATTAAAATTACTTGTAACGATTGATGATTTTTTTAAAAAATATTATTATTTAAAAATAATTCTCTGTTGTTGCTTCATACTATCCTTCGAATATTTTTATTATATATACTTGAATGTGTAGCTTTTGTCGATTAATAAGATGCGACATTTTCAGTGAAATCTTGCAAAATCAGAAACGAATATGGTTTCAATAGATTTAGATCTCATTCATAGGAAAAGATCTTGTTTTTTTGTTATTCAATAATGAATTAATCAATCATTGGTATTCATAATAAATAATATTTTTTTATATTACGATATAAATTTTAATAATTCTTCATTTAATTCACCAGATACTCATATTAATTTCTACCTCTTAACTTTGCAGCTGATATTTACTGAAAACAAAACCCCAAGAAACTTAATGTATTTTTTTTCTTCTTAACAATATGTTTTAAACTACTATATAATATTTTCTTTGTGACTGTCTATGTAAATAAAAATCACTCTGATGTTTGAAATCGAAAAAAGAATCGAACGAAGGTGTAGAATGCAACGTGCGAGAAATCTGTGCAGAACGACAATGTACTTTTTTTTTTAAAAATAAGGTAGTGTATTGTTTTGTTTTGTTTTTCTTCCACAATTGTATTTTGTTTATATAATATACAGACGACCAAAAATTCGTTAGCATATTTTTACTCTGTTGAAACCAGCTATGTTTCTAAGCTTGACAACGAATGTTCGTAAATCTTTCTTGATCAATAGGTCAATTGTATTTGTTGTCTTTCATAATAAAGTTCTGTACACTCAGTAATCGAACAACGAAAGTGAGTGAATGTCTTTAAAAAGGCGTATTATTCCATAGAAATAATCGAGTTGGAAATTCTTTTTATAAGGTAAATCGTTAATACTACTGATCATATTTCTATGTTTGACCCGTCTGATGTATTATATCCTTCTCATGAATCTTGAGATTGTCGGACATATAAAAAAATAAACCCTTGTAGAAGCGAAAGTTAGCGCTCAATAATTATGATGACTATTATAGGTTATATTTTCCTATTTAGATGTTTGCTCCGTCTCTGTATTATAAGGTTAGAAAATACTCTACTACATTCAAACTCTAGAAAGATCTGATGAATTGAGAAGTTTTTCCTAAGACTAATGAAAATAGAATATAAAATAATATTTTTTATGTAAAAAACTGAATTATTTTAACTGCGTTGAAATTTATCATTCTTTTCTATGTCATGAAAAATAAGTGTGCAGTTTATGTCTTAAATTTATATTACTTCGGGGGCATATTATCAAACGCCAAAATAGTAACAACAAAACAAGCACAATTAATCGTTTTAAAACTCTTTGTGCTTCTATGTTACTAAATGCTAGAGGAAAGTAAAAATATGTTGTTTGATTGACAATTTAATTGTATTTGTTATTCATTTAAAACTTTTTTACTTCACTTATGAAATTTATGATGTATAGAACAAATAAAAATGCATGAAACAGACCAACATGGGGAAAACTAACTTTTTACTGCTTTATAATTTAAAAAGTTGTTATTATATTTTTTTATATTATTTCATTCTATAGATATTCTTATAAGCGAATAAAAAAATTGGTATGGAACCTGATCGAAATTCTCATCGACACGGTGGCTGTATTAAATTTTTAAGTGACTTTCGAGCACTCTTTATCAAAACATTTCTGCTGGCGATACGAAAACCTGGTCAGACAATTACGGAAATCTTATTAGCTTATACATTTATGGGTTTCTTGCTTGGTATGCGTTATATTCTTGATCGTCGTTATTCTTCTGCTTTTCGAATACCTGCATTCCGTCCACAAGATGCATTATTATTTAATACATCGGCTAATGGTATATATTATTATCCAGGTTTGTTCAAAAATCTATTATTTTATTAAAATTTAATATTTTATAATAGGAAATACATGTGCAGAAACTATTGTGAACAATGCTGTCGATGATATTACAGCTGAATGGCCTACTTTTAATAATACTAGTAAGTTATATTATAACTAACATTTGTCTCAGAGAGTAACTATATATAGAGACTAATTTTTGAATGTATCACATTTACATAGGAGAATAAAAACCTGATTATTTATAGTTCAAGTTATGACCGATCCGACACTTGCATCAACATCAAATACTACAATACTATCTATATATGCCTTCATTTATTTTACCAATCTTGATTCATGTACGGATGCCTCAACAATGCCTGATGAAGTTAAATATACTTTACGTTTACAAGAGTATTTACTTGATTATATATCACGAGTTTTTTCAATTATTTTGTTTTCGTAGAAATGGTCCATTTTATTATCGTGCACAAAGTGTAAAAATTTCACCAAATGATTATATGTGGAAACGTGCTCCAGAAGATTTTTGTCAAGGTAATATATCTGAAACAAAAAGATTAAATATTCTCATCTATCAATTTCATTTCAAGGAAATGCAACTATTGCCAATTATACCAATCGATTTGTTGGTATTCAATATTCTATTGATATGAATATTATTAAATATGTTACAAATACTACTCAAGATTTAACATCAAGTGTAAGTATATGTGGAATTGATCTAAAATTGTAAAATCTATTCTCTACTATGATTACAAATAGATTTTTCTGAATCATTTTGGTTGTCCACAAGTAACCATCGATCAGTTATATTCAATCTATTCATTTTTTATTCCAATATTTTTCTCCATTATTTTTGTTGTCACGTTCATTATGAATGTCGGTTATATTGTTGAAGAACGTGAAAATAAAACAAAAGTAAGAAATTATACTTATCTCATTCAACAAAAAAATACTTTCACATCTATAGGAATATCTACGCATTTATGGACTACGCACTTGGATTAATAATTTAGTGTGGGTTACTCGATCAATGATCATCTATTTTGTCCTGATAGGCGTAGTCACAGGATTGAGTATGTTGGTGATGCCAAGTTCTGGTGCCCGAGTAAATAGTATAAGTAAAGCCTTATTTAACTCTACACATTGGACAGTGCTTTGGACAATTCTATTTGTTTATTCAATACAAGTCTCAACATTTAGTGTCCTCTTTGGACAGTTTTTCAAACGTCGTAAGATAAATAAATAAAAAATATATATTCTATTCATTTCATATATCTTTATTTAGCATTACTTGCAAAACTTCTTGGTTTTGTTGTATGGGTAATCACATTTATTGACTTTTATCCAGGTGTACCTGTTGGTGCTCGATATTTCTTATGCATATTTCCAAACACAGGTCTTATGTTTTGTTTACAAGTTCTCTTACAATATGAACGAAGAGGAGGTGTGTATACTTATTCATTTTCTTTTTTTTTCTACTTCTAATATATTTATGTTTAGTTGGAATAACTACATTTAATCAACTCTATTCCAATATATTTCCATATCCATTATATATTGGTATATGTCTTCTTCTGATGCTTATTTATTCTGTCATTTATTTATTCTTGGCAATCTATGTTGAACGAGTTAATCCAGGTGAATTTGGTGTTGCACAATCATGGAATTATTTGTTTAAAAGATCTTATTGGAAACCGAGTGCAACATCAGTTGTTAAACCATCAGATAGTAATGGACATGCAAGAAGTGTAAAAAATGGTCATATAGGCGATGGTAATACAAATTGGATTGAAATGAACTCGATGAAGAATAAGAAAGATCCATTATTAATAATATCACATTTGACAAAAGTAAGGAATTAAATATGTATATGTATGTATATATGATGATTTGTACTGATATAGAAATTTGGAAAATTTGAAGCAGTCTCTGATTTATCATTGAAGTTCTATGCAGGTGAAGTATGTTCATTATTAGGTCATAATGGTGCAGGAAAAACAACAACAACATTTATTCTTGTTGGTAAATAAAACTAAATAAAATGTTAATGTATATGTGTATATATCTGTATCCATTAGGTATGTTAGAAGCAACATCAGGACAAGTAACAATTGAAGGACTAGATAGTCGAGAACATATTCAAGATGTTCGAAAAATTCTTGGATTTTGTCCACAATATGGTAAGAAGAGAAAAATGTTAGAAGAGAAGAAGAGATGTGCTATTGTTGATATGTATATTTTAGATATTCTTTATGATGAATTATCAGTGAAAGAACATTTGGAACTGGTCGGAAAGGTATTTATATAATTGAGTAGAGCAGAACATGTTTTCTTTTTTAATCGTCGAAATAGACAAGAATAATAGATTGCTGTTTTACTACAAACAAAAAGTTAATAAAATTGAACGGACATAAAGCATTTATTTTCTCCTTATATAGAAAACTCTTTTAAATTGTGACGTATGAACTATAATTTCTAAACTTTTTACTAGCTTTACAAAAATCTTACAAAGTGAAAAGAATCGCTCTTTTATTAAACATACTCATATTGGTATTTCTGTGTCTATATTTCACATAGGTGTAGTAGAAGCGGTAAACAACTATTCGGACGAAAATTATATGAAGAATAAATCAAAAGTCTCTATTCTTGAGTTTAAGAATATAAAACAATTATTCGAGTTTATCGAAAAAAACTATAGAAGATATTCATTAATCTTCTGTCTTTTCTTTCTATATTTATTTATACATATTCACTCAGTTAACAGTTGCGTAAAGACATGGAGTAGTAAAAAGATATACTTGATAATAATAATTACTATCCGTTTCTATTATTAGATGCGGCATATGAAACCAGAAGTGATGAAACAAGCTATAGAAACCACCCTGCAACTTATTGGACTAGTGAATGATCGACAAACACTTTCTAAAAATCTTTCAGGTGGTATGAAAAGACGCTTATCTATTGGCATCTCATTTATGGGTGATCCTAAAGTATTTCATCTCACTTTCTCTTTTCTTCTAAAAATCATTCAATCTTTTAGATTCTCATTCTTGATGAACCAACAAGTGGCATTGGTAATTTCAGTACTGAGAATAACAATGTTTGTTTATATTTTGTTCATAGATCCATATAATCGTCGTTTGATTTGGACAATCATTCGAAAAATGAAAGAATCAGGCAAATGTATTATTTTAACAACTCATTTTCTGGAAGAAGCTGATGTTTTATCTGATCGAATTGCTATCATGACAAGTGGACGATTGCAAGCAAATGGAACACCTGATTTTCTGAAAAGTCAAATAGGTTTGATTGAAAATCATATATTATTATAGGTACAGATGTAAAATAAAAAATCTTTATCTAGAATTCGAATATCGCTTATTTATTGATAAGCAAGAAACATATCCAAATGAACGTGTAACAGTATTTATTCAAAAATATCTTCCAAATATTGTATTAGAGAGAGAATCATCATCAGAGATGGTGTTTGGAATAAGAAGAAATGAATCTAAAGAAATTGGAAGATTAGTACATGCATTAGATGAAGAAAAATTGAATATTGGTGTAGATCATTACGGATTATCGATGACAACAATTGAAGAAGTATTTTTAAGGTAAAATTTGAGAATCCTATCAAACGAAAGAAACTATCGTGTGTCTTTTATCAGATTGATTCAAGAAGCAGAAGAAGAAGAAGTCATAAAACATGGAGCAGCCTCAAGTCAAGAACTGGCTAATAAAGGTAAACACAATATTTTGAGTTCGATATCTATTTTCATTATGTCCAGTTTTTCGAGCTGAACATGAACGAGAAGATGGCTTTCGTCTTTTTTGGCTCCGTATCGGTGCATTACTTATCAAACGAATACATGTCCTTCGTCGACAATATGTTTTTTTAGTGGGATTTTTTTTACTTCCAATACTTATTGAAATTATAATTGTCAGTGTTTTACCATCTCCACAAGATATTCAAGCATCACTTGTACAAAATAATCATGTTACAGGCGCACAAGTTACATTCCAACCATCGATTTATAATCCACAAACCATTGTTTCTTATGCTAATAACAATGGAAGTAATGCAAGAACAAATCTTATGAATTATCTTCAGAATACAGGTGCAACGATTGATGAAATATCATCTGATACTGTATTGAGTTATGTACAAAATCGATATTATGCAAGTGAAGATATTTTTGTTAATAAGTATCAAATAGCTCTTGCTCTTTACAATAATCTTACATCAACATCACCTTCATTAACATTTAATAGTTATTTTTCAACAGTTAACTATCATGCGATGCCAGTAAGTCTTAGTGCTGCTTCAACAAATCTTTTTCAGTTTTACGCTAATTCAACAACAAAGAAAATTACAACAACAAATCAACCAATCTTAACTACATCAACATCGTATACAGCACTTGCACGATTCTTTGATATTCTATATTGTTTTGATACACTACCATTATCATTATTTAACTTTATCAATAGTATTGTTGTGTCAATATTTATGAGTATGCTTATTGTGCCAATAATTCAAGAACGTACTAAGCATTCAAAAGATTTACAATTATTAACAAATCTAAGTAAAGGAACTTATTGGTTGTCAAATATTATCTGTGATATATGTTTATGCGTTATACTTTGTGCTCTTTTGACAATTGTTGTTAAGGTAAAGAGAATATTTTCTTTCTGAAAGTGTATATGTATGTTTTATATCAGATTGGTGCAGCAGCTAATCCAAATATTCAATCTGAAGTGCATATTTATAATAACTCCACTCAAGGGGGATATTTTTTTCTCATGATTCTAATGTATTCATTGGCTTCATTACCTTTGATCTATGTTTATTCATTTAGTCCAAAATCTGAATTGATTGGATTCATCGTATTCTTCATAGTTAATGTTATTGCTTGTTTTTTTGATATGATTCTACATTTTATAGCAACATTTTCTCAATCTCAGGCAATAAATGCAACCAGTGTAACAAAAGCGACTTCTATCATGAATAATTTGACTTATGTTCTTATAATTCTATTTCCATCTGTTAATCTCAAACGTTCGTTATTCAATATCCGTTTGAGATCAAATCCAGACTGTATTTCATCATTGAATTCACTTCTATTTACTAGTTACTCTGCAACAGAACCATGGATGTCAATTTATGAGCCTGGTCTTGGACTCGCATTTCTTATCTTTTGTGTTCAAATGTTATTTTGGTGGTTTATTTTAGTTTTAATTGAAAATAAAGAGCATATGAAATTAGGATGTCAAGAATTTTGTTGCTGTTGTTGTAATATGAATCGAAAGAAAGTCGGTAAAAAACATAAATATGCTGTGCCAGGATCAGGAAGAACTTCAAATGGGATGGTTCCTGGCAGAGAAGCATTACCATCATCATCAGCTCCATGGAACGATGCAGTACGTGAGAAAAATGTGTTACTTATAAGATCATATTACTCTTTAATTCATATTCTAGCATTTAGATGAAGATGTTAGAAATGAACGACAATCTGTATTACATACAAATAGTTCATCAACATCATTTGTTATTGTTGTTCGTGATCTTGTTCAACAATTCAAAAAACGAAAAAATAAATTATCAGGTCAACGAATCTATACAGCTGTTGATCATCTCAATTTTCGTGTCACAAAAAAATCTTGTTTTGGTTTATTAGGTCGATATTCTTATTTTCATTTTCGTACATATCTATTTTTATAAATATTATAGGAGCAAATGGTGCTGGTAAAACAACAACATTTAGAATGTTAATCAATGATCTCAAACCAACATCTGGTGACATTTTTATTAATGGTAAAAATATTAACAAAATAGTGAGTCAATTTTAACACTTTTCTTCATCAGCATCTTCTTTTCATCTCATTAATTTAGGAAAGAGATCTTGAAATAGGTTTTTGTCCACAATTTGATTGGCTCATCAGTAATCTCACTGTGAGAGAAACATTAACTTTATTTGCTAGGTAAAACTATACTAAACATTCATTCATTCATTCATTCATTCTTCTTCTTCTACTATTTGTTTCTTGTTTTTCTATAGATTAAAAGGTTTAAAATGGTCAGAAATATCAGAAATATGTGGTGATATGATTAATCTTTTTGGTCTTGAACCATATGAACATCGAAGAATAGAAAGACTAAGGTGAATATAAATGCATAGATGATAATTATATTTATGAATGATATTTAGTGGTGGAAATAAGAGAAAAGTGAGTGCAGTATTGGCATTTATGGCAAATCCTGCTTTGGTATTTTTGGATGAACCAACAACAGTAAGATACTGAAATAGATGATAATGATGTATGAATAATATTGTTTTGTTAGGGCTTAGATGCTGCTGCTAAGCGAAAGTTATGGAATGTCATTCGAGCAGCTCGTGATATAGGTTTGACTATTATTCTAACAAGTCATAGGTATGAATAATAAAAAAAAGAAAGAATAAGAAGAAGTATATTTATTAATTTGTTTACTTTGCTTTTATATAAAAATGTATAGTATGGAAGAATGTGAAGCATTATGTACAAGTACGTTGAAACTAGAAAAAGATGATGAAAATAATTGTTTGTATTATTAAATAGAGATAGGAATAATGAAACTAGGTCAATTTGTATGTTTGGGAACTTTACAACGATTGAAGAATCGTTTTGGAAGTGGATATGCTGTTCAAGTGAAACTTCCATTACAAGATGTGAATGTATTCAAAGAAGAATTGATGTTAACTTTGCCAGGAATACAAATCGAAGGTAAATAAATATGGAATTGATTTTCGATTAACCTATGAATCATTATTTAGAGCAACATAATGGAATGTTATTTTGTTCTATTCCATTTTCATCATTAAGTACAACACCAGGTGTTACAAATGAAAATTTAATGAGTTTGTCACAAACATTCGAATGGTTTAATAAAAAAACAGAAGAAAAATCTATTGAAAGTTATTCCATAACACAAACAACACTCGATCAAATCTTTGTTCATTTGACTGGTGAAGATGAAGATGCGATTGCAGATGAAAATACAAAGATGTGATTTTTTGCTCAATTATTATTAGATACCGGTGATATTTTGTTCTCTATTGTGTATAATATAAACATATTTATATATATATATAAGTCGCATTAATAAAAAAAATCATTTTGTTTATATTTTATTGTTGACATAAATATATATATATGCGTTCAACTGTATTTGTTTATAGTCTTAGTAATACACAGAAGATGAATATATATGATCTATTCATGTATTTGGATTATAATTTATTAGGCTTGACTGATCATTCACTGTCTGAATAAGAAAAATAAGAGATGTTCATATATCATTAACGGAGTTGTTCAGTGGTTTATTTTCTCTTCCTTTTAGTTTACTTGATATACGCGCGTCAAATATAATTATGATGCGCGATAGACACAATATAAGAAAGATATGCAAAGCGCGTCTGTATATGCTTGAGAACAAAGATATTTTTATCGATATTTATGCATACACGCGCTCAACCTTCTGAATATGCAAAGCTATTAACTGATTTTTTTTCCTCATCCAACAACAACATCCGAAGAAGCAATAATCATTATATTAAGAGAAAAGAACAAGCGATCGATGATACTACATATACTAGTAGTGTTTTTCTTGCTCTTTGTAATATACAAAAAAAAAGAAAGACAACATCACTTGCCCTTGCCATTTCTTTTCATGTGGACAAGTAGAAACACAAATATTGGCATAAAAAAATCGTATATAGACAAAGAAAAATGTGTACAACAAGTTCCCATTTTCAAGGTTAATGACATGCACATGCGTTTTAGATGCAAATATACATTTAACAACGAATGACTATAGTGAAGTAACGATTCTAGTGTTGTTCTTTTTTTTTTCTTCTTATACGTATGCTGAATGTTACATCATATAAATGATATTACTCATTTTACTATATATATAAGAATATAAAGATGATGTGTGAAAGAAACGGCCAAAGGTCGTCTCGATAGTAAACCTATTGATAATGATCATCATAATAGTGATCTATCTTTCTAATTGAATCTGTCCTGTATTAGTTCATAGGAAAGATGAATAGTATAAAACAGATTTTTCTTTTTTTTCCTGTTCTTTACATATATTTCTTTTTCCTTGTGCATTGGACAGACAGATACGCATATTGAGAGCGAGTGGGTGGAATATGAGATGGAGGGTATCACCATCTTTTGTATTGTGTGAGGATACGGAAGCAGTAACCCTTGTGATTAGGATGGAAAGAAAAAAGGAGGAGAAGAAGACGAAGAAAAAAAAATATGTATTTGCTTATTGTCGTTATAGTGCATCATATATATAGACACAATGACCGATCGTGAGTAGTCGTACAGTCATAATATTCAATTTTATACTTCTTTACTATATATATATATATATGTATATATACATATACACATATATACATAAATGAGCTTGATTGTGTTCATTAAAAGTAAGAGAGAGGGGAGAGAGAGAAGGGGAGGTCAATGTCATCAATAAGACTAGCAACAGTACATAACCATTACGTCGTTGTTTCTTATCGTTCTGTTTCTTTTCCTTCTCATTTTTTTGTATTCATCAATTGAATTTTGTGAACTTCTGCCGGTGAATTTTTTCTCCTTCGCATGTAGGTGATGTAAGTATGTCGCTTATACTTTACATACATTCTTTCTTTTTTTGTCTGCATCTGGAAGTATATGTAGCTGAAGCATTAACATAGGCATTCGAACACTCTAAGTATTGTCTTATCGTATAGGCAAGCTGAATGATTGCCCATTTAGATGTTATACGGCAGCAGTCCACTTCTTTTTCTTCTGTTATATGTAATCACATTGACTCATATATACACACATCTTGTCTTTATTCTATTGTAAACAGCATTGTCAATCTCGTTCTTATTTGTTGATATATCTTATCAGTTCTTCTTTTTAGATCGAGCTAGATTTTTTTTTGTCATTTGGATTTATTAAACAACGATATCGACATTAATATCTAGTAAGTTTTTTATATGATGACAGATGTTATTCTCTTTTTTTTATAAAACATATATCAATCATAAAAGAAAAGAAAATATGACTGTTAAGATTATTCTTTTTTTCACTCAACATTAAGATCATATTTCCTTTATCAAATAATGAAATACCATACTCATTTTCAAAGTAACGTTTTTTTCTTCTTCTTCTTTTCAGATGTCGGATATAGCCATAACTAATCAACTTCCACCACGTGCAACAACAAGTACTCGTCGGTCAAGAAAATGGTCGACACTTGGTGGACGTTGTACATCAACATCAACGACTATGATCCCAACGAAAGATTCCGATGTAAATGAAAATTCTTCAAAATCAAATGGTCATCATCGTCATTCAACATCATTATTTCGTAAAGCATCGACAATAAGTCGAGCAACTGATACAGGAGTTACATCTGATGAAAATCCTAATCAAGCATTAAAAAAATCTCGTTCATTAATGAATGTTTTACGTTCGAAATTAAATTCTCCAGCTGTCATGCGTCGTTTTCGTTCAAAATCACGTGAAAGTACAAAACAAACAGTTACAGAAATTAATGGACATTCAACAAATGACCAACAAGAAGTAAAACAATCAAATGATGAACAAATAACAACACCAACAACAGCAAGAAAATCAAGAAAACGTGATCCATCACCAATGAGACGTCTTGCTAATCGTATATCACAATTAACAAAACATCAAAGAACAACATCGAATGAAAGACAAAGTAGTTATTTGTTTTGAAGGGGATCAACTTTTTTCTCTAAAAATTATCCTATTCGTTAAAAGATAGTATTATGTTAACAATCAATAGACATTCATAGACACATTATTACGAAAGAAATTAGTAATTATCTGATGATTACGATTGACTGCACTAAAAAAGCAAACCGATAGAAACGTTCAAATTTATCTCATGTCAATTTAAGTTTAGAAAGAAAGAATTATAGTTAAAATACATATGTATTCATTAGTGTGCACAGCATGTTAAACTAACAGATAATGTATTGAAACTTAAGTAAGAATGACAATCGACATTTCTCTTTTAAAATTTAAAATTTAAAATACGTTCGAATATAAGAATTGCAAATTTTGAGAATATTAACATTTGTTAAAGTGTTTCGAGGTCAAATGTCTCGTCTTGAAAAATGTACGAAACAATGACGCGATTATGCCTGAGGGTTCTATTCCATTTACTTGCAAGTTATTCTTATCCAATATTTATTTACTTTAGAAAAATCACCAACAAAATCAATTACAAATGATTCACATGAAGAAACAAGAAAACCTCCATCACCAATACATAAGAAAGATGAAGTTGATCATATAAATGCATGTTATGATGAAATTCGTGCGAAATATTACAATAATAATAATAATAATAATATAAATAAACGAAATATAATCAATGATGATACACATAATCGTTCATTAAGTACAATATCTATGAATGGTTCATTACGTAGTAATGATTTTCGAACTAATACTCAACATATTACATCAGCAACAATTGTACCTGATGATCCATTACTTCAAGCATGTAAAAAAACAAATATGAAATTAAATTGTCTTTTAAGTGGTTATACATTAACAACATCATTTGCTAATCATGAGAAAACATTTGGTCAAAATGATTTATTTAAATTTAATCATTATTATGATGTTGGTAAAAAAAAATATGATTGGAATTTTACTAATACTAATAGTAGACTATTTTCTAATATGAGAACAAGACCAATTAGTAAAAGTATTGATAGTTTTCGATCATCAAGTATAAAAGGTATGTAAAAATTTTCTCGTTTTTATTTGATTATGATTTTTTTGTGATGTAGAAAATGAAGTATCAACAGCATGGGAAAAAAATCATATTGTTGATAATGATCGATTAGGTAATTTTATTCGTATATTGACTTAAAATCTAAGAGTTATATTGTGTTCTTACGATAAATGTTAAAATTCTCGTTCGATTCAAATTATCCGATGACAAGGACATGTTGAAGAAAGAGGAAGGTAGATGTTGATTAGTTTTGTTATACTAAATATTAGTTTTTTTACTCCCACTGAGAATATGTTTGATTGATGAATGACTTTCTGCATTGTTCAATACGATCGACGCATTTTATTTTATGAAGCAAAATGTAAATTGTCTCCATCTAATAGATTTTTTTTTCCAGCTCATTTATTTCTATGATTTATGAGAGCTTTAAACAATAAGTCATTGTATGAAAAGAAATTAAATACAATCGGAATTGTTCACTTTATGTTAGTACTTCCGGAATTTCTTTAGTAATTGTTCTCGTTTATCTCTTACATAATCTTATCCATTAATATATTATTTATTTCCAGCACAAAAGCATGAAGATGTTCCAAGAATATTACCTGATAATAATGAACCTGTCATACATAAAGACAATGATCTCAATAAATCAAATATTGATGTAGTACCATCTGTTCCTATTGATAATGAAACATTTGTTCAAACAAATTCAATTGACTTTAATGAGAATAAGATTATATCAAATGGAAAAATTCTTGACGATCATGATGAAAAATTTGAACAAAATTTTTTACGTGCAGTTGATCGTGCACTTGGTGTAATTAATCAAGATAAAAATGCTGTCGTTGAACCAGTTCATGATATATCGAAACAAGAAGATGATGCATCTCATATGGATCTTATTCAAATAACTGAACGAGCATTATCATCATTTTATAATTTACCAGATTTTACCGTAAGAAGAAAAAAAAGATGATTTTTTGCAATATATATAGATAAAGCATTTTTCATTTAGGATGATGATAAGCAAATACATAGTAAGAAGAAATGAGATTTGAAATGATTTCTTATTATTATATTTAGAACCGGCTACTAATGGTATTGAAGTAACAGATTTTGAATTAAACGAACCTTTAAGTGCTGAGCAGTCAACAAAAAATATCGATGAAGGTAAAAAGAAATGAGTATTGAACCGATTTAGTATTCATTGTTATTATATTTAGAACCAACTACGAATGGTATTGAAGTAACAGATTTCGAATTTAACGAACCTTTAAGTACTGAACAATCAACCAAAAATATCGATGAAAATCGAATAAATGGTAAAAGGAAATGAGAATTAAAATGATTTATTATTGTTATATTTAGAACCAATTGCTAATGGTATCGAAGTAACAGATTTTGAATTAGATGAACCTTTAAGTACCGAGCAATCAACAAAAAATATCGAAGAAAATCGAATAAATGGTAAGAAGAAATGAGATATCAAATGATTTATTATTTTTATATTTAGGACCGACTACTAATGGTATTGAAGTAACAGATTTCGAATTAGATGAACCTTTAAGTACCGAACAATCAACAAAAAATATCGATGAAAATCGAATAAATGGTAAAAGGAAATGAGAATTAAAATGATTTATTATTGTTATATTTAGAACCAACTACTAATGGTGTTGAAGTAACAGATTTTGAATTAAACGAACCTTTAAATACTGAACAATCAACAGCAAACATTGATGAAAATCGAATAAATGGTAAAGGGAAATGAGACTTGAAATGATTCATTATGGTTATATTTAGAGCCTACAACTAATGGTATCGAAGTCACAGATTTTGAACTCGATGAACCTTTGAGCACTGATCAATCAACAATAATTATTGATGAAAATCAAAAAGAAATAAATGATAATGATGTTCTTATTGATAATGATATTTCGTCGATTGTTAATGAATTAATCGAAAAAACCGAAGAATTATTAAATGAAGAATGCAAGGTAAGCTCAATACCTGACTAACATTGTTATAATCAAATGTTCGCACTTCAATCAACATCATTGTTTGCACGTATTTTATTTTATGGTGATGAACTATTTTTCTTCTTTCTTTGCATGATAATAAATGTTTCTATTGGTATTTTGTATCTTCTTTTTTTTCTACTAGATTATTGTTCGTGTGTATAATATACATTTTTGTTGTGTGTTTTTTTGAACACTATTCTTAAACTAACCAACACAATATAGATGATATACACACAAATAATTATCAATTGCTTTGCCGTTTCTTTTTTTTTTTGAGCTATAACCGTTTACTAATAAAAATAACGAAGAATGTAAAAAATGGGCATGGGATTATTGATGACCTTTATAATAATGATTGACCTTTGTTTGCAACTATTGATAGAAACAAAAATTCTAAAAATGAAAAGAAAATCTAACACATATGACTTTTTGATCTTTTCTTTATCTTAGATGAGTGTCAGTTTTATCAATGCATCTCTATGATTTAGTTCATTTTTAAGTCATCACGGGAATATAGATTTCTCTAAAGACTGAATACATTATTATTATATGTTAAGATAGAAAAAAAAAAGAAACTTTTTTTTTCATTCGTTCGTTTTGGTTTGATGATGCGAAGCATGTTGAAGTGCGATAGAAATACGAAGTGATAATAGTGACTCATATTTGTGTCGTTTTTTTTCTCTCTCTTTCTTTTCTTTTTATTTCTTAAATCGAAGGACACACGCACGTAACTGTCGAACAAACCTATCCAGCTCTTTCGAGTGCGCTGAACTACATAACAATTTCGATTCGACCCACGTCCCCATCTTCTTTTTTTTCTCTTTCTCTCTCTCCCACACGTTCATTCCATCACGACAGTTATTACATCTTTTTTTCTCATCAGTCACTATTGCACGCTTGTCCCTTTCATTCATAGAATGGTAAGCACTAAACAAGTTTCCTGTTCTTTATAAATATATTATTATTATTTTCCTGTGTTCAATTATTCAATCTATTTGTATATAAAAGCTACTATAATCATTCAACCGGATTTTTTTCTCATAACGTTTTCTTTCAAATATGTCGAGAACAGCAATAATAAGGGTGTGTGTGTGATTGATTTATTTTTAAAAATATTTATTTGATTATTTAAATATATTTGTTTCATTTTACAGAATGGCCAAACATTCTTAGTTAAATTGGATGATGAAGAAAAAACAATAAAATCAAAAGCAGAGACTTACAATGAATATATTAATGCAAATGATAATCGATTAACTGAAGAAGGTAAGATTTAATTCGCCAAAAAAAAGTTGTTTTTATTTTGTTATTTTATTTTGTAGTTCGTACTGATATTAATGCGGTTATTGGTGAAGTTAATTTATTATTAAGAGGTAAATTGAAACAATTTCGTGGTTTATGTCAAGCAAATGTGGTATGTAAATAAGAAAAAATATTGTTTTTTCATTTATTAATAATATTTTTCTTTAGACAAAATTAACTGATGGAGAACCGATTCCACTTGATAGTGATCTTGAAGGTTTTTGGGATATAACCTACCCATTGATTGATAAAGTTAAAGAAAAGTTTACTAAACTTGATGCACGACAAGCTAAACAATGGGCACCAATTGAAGAATATGATCCAAATGATAGTATGATATATATAATTAATTATTGAATAGGAAAAATATGTTTTATTTTTTCTCTTCTAAATTAAGTTAATAATCGTCCTCGTATAATTGATGATCGTCTTAAACAACTTCAACCTCAACAAAATAAATCATCAAAAATTCCGATACCAAAAGCTGCAAATGATGATTTAAAAAAATTAATTCAAGAACGACGCAAAGCAGCTGCTAATTCGACAAATCAAAATCATGATATTGAAATATTTGTTGCACCGAAATAAAAATTTTTAAATCAAAATAACAGCCATTCTTTCTTATCTCGTGCAATATATATATCATAAACTTCTAAGAACAACAAACAATTTTTACTCATGTGTGCTTCTGTGTGTGTGTGTGTGCGTGTGCGTGTTTCTTTTATTTTTCTATTTGTTCTAAACACAATGAAAATAAAAACTTAATCAATATCGTTTAACTAATATCATATCAATAGTCTCTTAATATTTTCTCAGCCAATTATTACAATGAAAAAAAAAGCTCTGATCATTTTATTTTATTTAGATAGGAGTATAGTTTTATTGACAATAGTAAGTTTTTTTTAGGATACTATTATTATTCCATCTATCAAACATTGCTGTAGATTAATTACTTATGTCTATGTAACAGATTTATTACCATCTGGAATTATCCTGGTGTGTATATTTTCGACAAATAATAAGCTTTATTAGTTAATAGTCTTGTTCTTTTTCTAATTTTTCGAGGGTTTACTATATGTTTTTTGCTTTCATAAGAACAATAATAGTTCGAAAGAAATTAGTAGAATGTTTATTACTATCATCATATATTACCCATGTATGTCGTGTTTTCTTGATAAATAAACAATAGTGATAGAAGATAATGTTTCTATTCTTTATAAGAAGAACTTGTGCATAACAATTGAATAATTACTTTAGTATTGTTTGTACCAGTTCATCGATAATCTATTGGTATACGAAGACGAGTAAAGGAATCTTTTTTGTCTTATTCATATAAGATTAATCTGACGAGAAATATAACTTTCGTTTATTATTGTTCATGTTCAATTTACTTATTATTATTATACTTTGTCAGGTAATTTCAATTCTTTTCTTTTCATTCTGTTCGTACTTATATATAATTACAAAAGACATTGTCATTCATATATTCCACAGTATCTAATTATATGAATAAATTGTTCTGATAATTTTCTTATTTCACGAGAATGTGTGATAAAATGCAAATTCAACAATTATGATTATTTATATATTGTAGGGAACAATTGCTTTTACTAAACAGATATCTCCTGTAAGTAAAACAGAAATACATATTGATAAAATTCTTCATGTTTGTTTTTTTAAATAATTAGACAGATCCTCTTTGTCAATGTGAAAAAGTAAGAATTTATTAGGAGTAAAAAATATGATATTCGGAATAATGAATTTAGGGCGAACGTGGTACAAAAGGTGACATGGGCCATTGTCCCACAAGTAAGATAAATAAATATATTAATTAATTGTTCTATAAATGATTTATAGGTTGTGCTCATCAATATGATACATATTCAAGAGATTGTCTCGGAACTAGATTTAATTTGGAACGTCTTGCTCGATCCATTCGTCAATTAGTTATTGATACAAAAGTATAAATATTTTCTATATCTAATAATCATAGTCGTATAATTTTATTTTATAATCAAAGATTGTCTATCGAGATGCTCGAAGAAAGTCTTGTAACTGTCCGACAGTAGCATCAACATCTACAATATCAAATCCATATCTTTTGGATTATAAAACGGTAGAAAAGAAAACCAAAAAAAAATCTATTGAATCTATTCTTCTTGTTTTTTAAGCAAACTCGATTGAAAGGTGATAAAGGTGATGCTGGTCAATCTTGTCCATTAAATTGTATGCAATCAATACAGGTTTACATCCTTTTAATTATATTAATAAGTGAATCATTTATCTGTATTAGACGAATGTAAGAGTCTTTTCAACATTTGAAGCAGCTATGAGTGCATTGTTTTCCTATCCTGATCATACATATGTACATATTGTAAATGAATATGGACATTTACAAGGTGTTTATATTCGAATACATGAAAGATTAATACCATTAAGATTAGAAAATGAAGTATAATATTCTAAATAAATTCATTTGATTTAATTAATCCTATTGTAGCAAACATATCCTGTACAACAGCAGATATTATCGATTTCAAAACCGGTTAGATTGATTTCTTATAAATAATAAAATAATTCGAACTTTTTGCCTAGAAATGTACAACTACGCTTCCATGTCGAAATGTAAGTATATCGTTTTGTCTTTAGTTATAGATAATAAAAGGATATCTTTTTTAGCTTCATATTTTTGCTTTGGGTCCTCATACACGTAAAATGTGTAATCCAGAACGTCCGATTCTATGTTCAAAATTATCGGATTTTGATGATTTATGTGAACGCGTTGCTGAACGTCATCATTTAAAAGGTTTTTATCGAGCATTTATGTCAACAAGTACACAATGGTTATCAAATCTATTTGATGGTACTTGTATGGATGCAAAGATTATAAATATGCATGTAAAGTTTTTCTTTGAATTTTTCTTATCTTATCATTTTTTTTAAGGAACAAACTTTATTCAATTCATTTAAAGAAATGTTTCAAGACAAACCAGCGCAAAATGAACTTCTAGATGTACAAGGATTAAAACCACAGTAAGTTTTCTTTTAATTTTTTGAAAATATCAATGTTCAGTTATATTATTTTGTACAAAAGTAAGAACAAAGAGTGATTTCAGTACCGAAAAATTCGATAATTGATAAAACTCGTTCAATTTTGATATGTATACCGTTACGATCGATATTGATTGAACTATTATCATACATGATATCATATTGAATCTAACAAAACTTATTGAATAGCTAATATGTCGTTACTTATGCATCAATGATTTTGATTCAAGTACACAATATTAATCTGTTTTTTTAGTACGTCTTACTCGTTGTTTAATCAATTTGTTAGATAGTACATCTAGTCATTCTTAACATTAATGTAATTTCACGCTTGATAGATAAAGCTCTCTATGGTTGATCTTAATTTTCAGAGTGTTTTTTCACTAAAAGAATCGAGTAATTTTATGAATTATTTATATATATATTTCTTTTTTTTTATTATAGATTTCAATATTGGTGGCATGGTAGCCTTTCGAATGGCACAGCATCAAACGATACTTGTAATTATGAAATATTTTCTCGAAAAAAATTCATTTGAAATTTATTTTTAAGGTGTCGATTGGAGTCGACAAGATACAAGTTTATCTGGTATTGCAAGTCGTATTCCTGATGGTATCAGTGGTTTATTTCATTATCAATATATATGGCCTTGTTCACTAAGCGATTCAAATATAGGAATTTTATGTATTGAAACAAATTGTAATGAACGAAATTCTTATAAACACTAAAAACGATTTGTACCAAGACGAAAATGATTAATTAAACGTAATTGTGGTTGCATACTGTCAAATTGTCTTCTATGATTTGGATAGAACATTGGTGCTGCTGAATGTATTGATGAAAGGAAAACAGGTGGAGAACGAAATGCGACAAAATGTCTTTGAACAATAGGTGGTGGTTGTAATGGAGAGAAAAATTGAAATTGATTTGTTGTACTTCGACTTCGATGTTGTTGTTGATTTTGAAAATTTCGACATTCTGATTTTGTACGATGAACACGTGGTTGTTGTTGTTGTACATTATTTGGATAGATATGATTTTCTGATATTGTTGTTGGTTGAATAGGTTTTCGACGTTGTGAACGACGAAATTTTGAAGGTGATGATGGTGGTGGTGGACGTAAATCTTTTTGACGTTGTTGAGGAAATTTTGCTGGATTAATGGGTCGAAAAAATGGATCAGTTGTATTTTGAAAACGTGATGGTGTTGAAGAAGTAGGAGGATAATTATCATTCATTGGTGGTACATATGAACGTGAACGATGTTTAGGATAACCACCATGATTTTGTCTCTTTAAAAATACGAACATAAAAACAAAATATTAGTATAATTAAAAAGTTAATTCTATTAAATACCCATTGAACATTAGGATTTGATGATGGTGGTGGTAGAAGATTAAATTCATTTTTTATACGAAGATCATGTTCAGTAGAAAATCTATGTTGAAAACGTGATAGTGGTGGTGTTGTTGTTGGTGGATAATGACGAGTAAAACTTGGCATATCAAATAGTCTCGTTGGTTTTGGTTCTTCTCGAGGTTCGGTTGGTTGTCGACGATATTTCATTTTATTTCTATGTCGTCGATTTGAACGTGATGTTGATACAGATGATATATGAGAAGGTGGTGGTGAAACATATCTATGATGATGATGAAGATGATGTTCAAAACTTGGTGGTCGAGAACGTTCTTCAAATTTTTCTGGTGATGGACAATCTAATTCAGGTGATGTTATTGGACTGACAATAGATGAAGCTGCTTTTTTTGATTCAATATTTGCATTATAAGCTTGTTGTTGATAGACTTTCGGTTCTTCATCGGGTTCTTCAACAACAACGACACTAGATAAAAAATATCAATATTAATTTATCAGTTAATTTTTGTCCATTAGATAGTTTAATGTTCTTCTCATGAGACATCAAGAAAAAAAATCTTACCCAGATTTTTTGCTATCTGTACTGTTACTTTCAGTTATGTTACTGCTGTCTCCGGATGAACGATTATTAAATGTTTTTTCGAAATTTTGTCTTAAATTTCGAACAAATTTATTTAATTCAGTTTCGTTACTAAATTCTTGTTCGACAAATACACGTTGTTGATCACCATTGGGTCCAATATGAACTTTCGTTAATTGAATCTAAAGAAAAAAAAGAAATAATAAAATTTATTTAATTTTTCGTTTCTTACAGTTAAACGATCATCGTTTGTTACAATTGGATCAGTCATAAAATAGGATGTTGATTTATCTTGAAAATGAAATGCTGGTGTTTGACGACGTTGTTGTTGTTGTTGCTGTTGATGTGTTTGATGTTGTTGATGCTGTTGTTGTTGAGCTCGACTTACATTGTGTCTCCAACGTTGTTGTTCTACATTCTGAGTAGTATAATCATAAGATGGGTAACTACCTGAAGGCATTGATGTAAAACCATGATGAGGTTGATTATGTTCAAAGTCATGAGTAAAATTTAAATTATGTGTACTTTGATTTGGTGGCGGAGCATTTGGACGATAATAAAATGGATGATTTGGCATAAAAAAATTTGATGAGCCACGATTAGAAGGATAATATGGTTGATGTTGTTGACCATGAGTTTGTTGTTGTGGTTGTGGATGAGGTTGTTGTGGTTGTGGATGAGGTTGTTGAGGACGAGACTGTTGAGAATGAGTTTGTTGAGGATGAGTTTGTTGAGAAGGATGAGATTGTTGAGAAGAATAATATGGTTGATGAAACATAATTGTATTTTTTGATGATCTGCACACTGTTTAAGCACTTTTGTTACTGAGAAGCTAGAGTATACATTATCGAACAAAATGCACACTTGCATTAATCATTTTGATGTGCGTATGTTATATGCTCGGTCGTTGGGTTAATGGTTATGTGATGAAAGTGTCAGCATACAGTTGGGTTGCTTCAACGGTGTGCATATGTGCATCTTATTCAATTTTTTCTTCTCCTTCTCTATCTCTCTCACTCTCTCCCTCTTTTTTAACCGTCACATACTAGGTGAAACTGGTTTTGATTTGTTTTCTCTTTGGGTTTCATATGAAAAATGTTGAACCAAAAATTTGTCATGCACGATTGAGCACCATATGCATATAATGTATAAAAAAGAAGAAGAGGAGACAAACTAGTCACCGTCATCATTATTAATATCATCATATTGATGAAACGGAGCATTTTGATAAAAGTAATACAAAAAAACGAAAGAAAAGAAGAAGAAGAAATGTTCATTTGATGAAGTATATAAGGCAAAAGAATGTGTGAAATAAAACGCGATCAAATGCGAATAGTTCATGATAATCAGTTCATCTTCTACCTGACTTGTACGTGTGTATGTGTGTGTGTGTATACACAATGGGTACATAAAGAAAAGTTTCAATTTTAATAAAATACATTAAGATTAGAAAGAAAAGACATATTTTAATGATTTGACTGAGTGTCATTTGATTATAATCAAATAGATTTAATATAATGAGTCATAAATCATTCGATTCTCTTTTAACATTCAAATGATTGAAACATATTATATTCTTATTGATTTGATTTTGATAGATGAACGATTCTTATAAGTCTTATATACAAATACATATATTTATTCAATGAATGATATAAATATTTACTTCAAATTTTATCGAAATGATCGATTTCACATTACGTTACGGAGACTATGAATATGTAATGTTTTACTTTTAAATTACATCTAACATAAATATAAGAGAATTATAGTTGAAGTTTTAATTCCTATTCGATGTTGGTTATCTTCAGCATGTTTCAAATATTGTTTCTTCAATGTACCAGTTCAATAATGTTAATCATTGAGTATGTTTTATTCAACTTTGAATTATCTACTTAGTCAAGCATAGCTGATTTTAATATTAAGGACATCTTTTTATTAATATAATAGTATAGAACTGATTGAGTCTGAAGGCTTAGACAGATTTGTGTCTAATACATTACATCCTTCAGATGCATACTAAATCCAATACGTCCTTTCTTGTCTATTAGAGATGTATTCAGTAGATTATCTGAGTACTTTTATACAAAATCTTTGCATATATATTCAATTGTCATAAAAATAATAAGTTTGTCTTTGATCCGTAGGCGTTACTGATAAATTTTACCATAATACTATAATTAATCTGAGTAATAACCTCTATAATAGAGTGAAACGTTAGATTTTATAACTATGATACGAAAAATTCTTACGCATATTACATTTTACGAAAGAGGCTCAAAATATTTCATTGGACGAATATTATTCATTAAAGTACTTATTTTACGATTGGTTAGAAATTCACCAATCAATAAATCGAGATTGGCTAACCTTTTTACCGGAGTCCTTCGTTTTGTTTACCTTTGTTTGTTGTTTTTTGCGTTTTTAGACGGTATAGTTTTTTCGTATTTCATCATCTTAAAAATGGCTCCACCAAAATTTTCCGATCTTAACAAACAAGTTTCCGACATTTTCAATAAAGGCTACTGTAAATTTCACTTCTATTTTCATCAAAAATAATTCTTCACCGCCTACATTTGTTTCTTTATAGTTTTTAATGTTTTCAAACTCGATGTTAAAACACGAACAGCTAATGGAGTTAATTTTAATGTAGTTGGTGAACATAATACTGAAACAGCACAAACAACTGGTAGTCTTGAAACCAAATATGTTGTACCAGAATATGGTTTAACATTTTTGGAAAAATGGAATACCAATAATTTACTTAAATGTGAAATAACCGCTGATAATCAATTAGCCCAAGGTTTTAAAGTTGTTTTTGATGCAACACTTATTCCAAATACCGGGTAAATTAAAAGAAATATATAATAATTGATTTTTTTTTGAATGATAAAACCAAACCATTTATAGTAATAGCTATGAGAAAATTCATTTTGGTATGAAAACTCGTCTACTATCCTTAGATATCATATCCCAGAGGTATTTGTTTCGTTTAATATATATATACAAAAGTTAGTTTGATTTTCTCAACAACAAATATACAGCTACACTGCCAAACTTCAGATACGTGTGCGCACACAAGTGAATAAATTACGTTTAACGGGATCTTATACTCACTCGGGGAACGATCGATATTGGTAAAATTAATTTTATTATGTTGTTCTTTCAAGAAGATTAAACTTACGAAAAAAAAAACTAATTTTTTTATTACAAAAAAATATTATATTTTGTTTTCTTTTTTTATTTTAGGAAAAAAACCGCCGAACTTCGTACAGCATATACACATGATAAAGCTCATGTTGAAACAAATGTCGCTTTTGATAGTGCCGGTCCAATTCTTAATGGTGCCGTTGTTCTAGGTCATCAAGGTTGGTTAGCTGGTTATCAATATGTTTTCAATACAGCTCGATCAGCATTAACAAAAAATAACTTTGCTGTTGGTTTCAGAGCTAAAGATTTTACTTTATACGCAAACATGTAAGTACAAGGTGTCTGATAAACGCCATATAGTTAGAACATCCATTATTTCTACTAACAAATGAGAAAAGCAAAATATATTTCAAGATTTAGCATAAAAAATTCATTTCTTCGACTTACGAATGAATCGTGTATAAATCTATAATAATGTGGTTTTACATCGATTGAAATTACGAAGCATAGTCAACTAACATATGTTTAAACGATAACAATCGTCAAATAAAGAAATTGATTTGAGAAAATTTCCTAATAGGCATAGAATCGTATGAACAAAAACGTTTTGTACAAAATATAAAACAATGACTAATTGAATGTATATATAAAGTAAACTTTTTATTATTAATTGTAGACCTTGTTATGGCAAAACCTTTTGACATACGTTACGTCCTTATGAAATATAATATAAAACGTAGTTATTTATCATGGTCTATCCGTTATATAAATTATAATTTATATAGAACATTATCTGTTCATTGTAGTTCGTTATGTGATTCTTGAAAAAAGCAATTAGTAAACATAATGCAATAACACGCTATTTTTGTAACAGTTATTAAATATGATTAGGTTCTCGATTTATCTTTGTAAAACTTTAAGGAATTCTTATAATTGTCTTCTGTACAAAATAAAAATATCCATAATACTTTGAATAGGATTTTAACTAAATTGATAGGAATTTTGAAACAAAAAGACGTGTTGTTTACTATGTGACAGAATGAAAACCTTGATCACAATGTCTAATCATTAATAAGGATAATAATAAATTACCTTTTTGAAATATTTTCTTTGATAGGAACGATTCTAATGAAGTTGGTGGCAGCGTCTATCAACGTATTAATGATCGTCTTGAAACCGGTGTACAATTAGCTTGGACCGCTGGTTCAAATCAAACACGATTTGCACTTGCATCAAAATATCAACTTGATGCTCAAACTGTAGTTAGTGCAAAAGTAAATAATATCTGCCAAGTTGGTCTTTCATTTGCACAAGTTTTAAGACCAGGTATAGATTTATATATTATCTATGAAATACTCGAAATATTTATCATTTAATTTATTAGGTGTTAAACTTACCTTATCCGCATTATTCGAAGCTAAAAATTTGAATGCTGGTGGGCACAAAGTTGGTTTAGGACTTGAACTCGATGCATAAACAAACAAATCATTCATTGACATTAGTTACAACCAGACTAATTTTCTTCATCCTTTACATTACTATTTTTGTAGAGTGAGAGATCATATATTTCTTAGTAGGATATTTTTATTGTTGTCATGAGCAATAATCCATCATTGTTCTCCGGTTCTTTCCTTTTTTGTACCGTTTAATTTTTTGTCTCGGTTGTTTTCAAAAAATAATACAAACACTTAAACCTAAAATTATATGTATACAACATAGCTGTATGATGAATTGATTAATGAAAATAACAAAACTCATTTTTCTTGTTATGGTAAGTCGTACATTACTTATAGCAATATTATGCACTTGATGACTTTTTCAATAAGAGTTCAATTACTTGCTCGTTCTTACCTCGATAGTTGTATATTCAAAAAAGATACGATGATCAATATACTTCGAGCGGTGATTTTGACGAAGAACAAAATTATTTTTAATATATTCAAAAAGCATTAGTGTCAATAAGAACATTTTTAAAAACCATTTCAGCAGAAACTGAGAGAGTGAGACGATTAGAATATTGTTGTTTATTCCTAGAATTATTAATCAAAATCTAAACTTGTTAGTCTTCGACGTTCGAACAGTACAAACTCATATTTGCCAGATTTGAATTCTTAAGCATATACAATCGAAATAATATTGCATGCGTTGAGTTTATTATAGTGATTCTTTTCCAGAACATTCTTTCATTCTACACATCCAAGTAGACGAATGATTTACGCTGATACAATTATTTATCCTTTCTGTTTGTTCTTAGTGTAGAAAAAGAGACGGCAGTCATTCCAAATGCACTCAGTGCCCTAACTTTGGTGCTGCCACGTGACGTATACTATATATATGCTCGTGTGGAGATCACGTTAACGTGAAAATAAAACAACGTGCTTAAAATAAACATATTGTATATATAATATAACTTTTTATAAGGAATAGCATACACACTTATAAAAGTGCAATTTAATGGCTCCATATACTTTTGAACTCTTCGCACCATATAACAAACAAGCTGGTCTTCGATTGAAAAATGCGAATGCAAGGATGTTTGTATGTATTTCTTCTTATTTATCACAGTGAATTATACATTTATTTAAGGGACTTGATATTCCAATGAAATTAAATGAACAAGATGGCTATTGGCGTGTAACACTCGATCTTGCTGATGGTAATATCATCATCATCATCACCATCTTATTCGATTCATTTTGTTTTGATTTTTATTTAGGTATTTATCATTATCAATATAAAATAGTTACAAAATCATGGTTTGAACCAGAACCAGAACCTGCTCTACCAGATTATACAAATGATGAAACTAAAAGTAAATCATATCTATTTTTATTGTATATTCTTACTACTACAAATTTCTTTTTCTATTGTTTTCAGCTTTTGAGGAAAATCAAGAGAATCGTAAAAACTATTATAATGAACATGAAAAACTAGTTCAAGAAGTAAAAGAACGAAATAAGAAACGAGAAGAAGAAATCACATTTACAGAAGTATGGTACACATTTGTTGATCCATATGCGACCGAAGTTGATGAACGTGGTTCTGATGATGCATTTCGATCAGTTGGCATTCTTGTTTTTAAAAATGGTAAAATCAAACATAATCAACTTCATATGTTTTATTTTCAATTTATATTTTTAAGGCAAAAAAATAATTGATGAATATGAATGGAAATATGATAATCATGTTCCATTAGTTTCAAATGATAAGCTTATCATATATGAAATTCATATTGGTGATTTTCAAGATAAATTTACAAATGTAACAGCTAAAATGGATTATTTTGTGGAACTGGGTATTACAGCTGGTATGTAGAATAAATAAGGGAAATTTTGGTATTAATTGTATTTGTTGTAGTCGAAATAATGCCAATAAAAGAGTTTCCAGGAAAGATTGGCTGGGGTTATACTCCCAGATATTACCTGGCTGTTGAAAATGCATATGGAACAACAGCTGAATTAAAAGAAATGATTGATGCGTTTCATAAACATGGAATTCGTGTTATTATGGATGGTGTCTATAATCACGTTAGTATCTCGTTGTTTGGCAATTTTGTTTTTCATTAAGATATGATATCTGAAGTGAAATATGATAGGAGTAACCTATTTGACTACAGAAGGGGGATTCAGTTCGGTATCAATTGAATCATAGATTTAAAAAAAATATGTCGATTATTTCGTCAATAATAAATTCTAATGTTTATTTTTATTTCAGTGTGATGTATCCGCACCATATGCTGCAATTGATCATGATTATTGGTAAAATAAAACTGTTCAGTTACAAAAGATATTTACAAAGTTTTCTTTTTTTTCAAATAGGTTTCATCATGAACCTAAAGATCGAGTGTATTGCTGGGGACCAGTTAGTTTTTCTGGATATATTTACAAGCTGTTCTGATCTTTTTTTCTCTTTTTTTCATAAAAAAGGAATGGAACTATGGGAGATATGATGAAAAATATCAAGTTTGGCCTGCTCGAAAATATATTGGTGATTCAGTTCGATATTTCATTAGCGAATTTCATACGGATGGTATAGAATTTTATTTTAATAAGAAAAATTTGATTACATACAATGTTTCGTTTCTTTTATTAAAAGGTATCCGTTTTGATGCAGCAACTCAAATAAACAATGAAGAATTTCTTACAGCTATCGCACAACAATCAAGAGAACAGGCTCGTGATCGGTATGATTAAACAGATGTTTATTTAGTTGATATATACTTTTATTTATGTAGTGGTTATGCACCAAACTTTTTTTGTGTTGGTGAATATCTACCTGATAAGGTTGAATCAGTTATGTCTAATGGTGGACCTATGGATGCTATATGGCATGATAGTCTCTATTGGAAACTACGCGAAGCTATTGTTTTTGATACATTGGATTGGGAAGAATTAAAGAATGTAACTGATGGTCGTCGACAAGGTTATAAAAACATTACAGACATTGTTAATTATCAATCAAATCATGATCATGATCGTTTACTTATCGAACTTGGTAAGGAAAAAGAGGATTCATGATAATTGATTTTATAACTTTTACTTTAGGTAAAGAACGTCAAATATTTGATGTAGATGCATTTCGTCGTGTTCGTATGGCGTTCGCATTTCAAGCAACATCTTATGGTCTCATGATGATTTGGATGGGAGAAGAGATCGGTGAATACAAAGAAAAAACTCCAGGTGTAGCAAAATTAGATTGGTCATTGATTGAAGATCGTGTAGATAATTCAAATGCTATTAATAAAGAACAATTACAATATTACAAAGATGTTATTCAACTACGAAAATTAAATCCAGCATTAACAACTCCTAATCTTGAATTCATATATGACCATATAGATAATCAAATTATGGCTTGGTATCGATGGAATACAACAGATAATGATATTCAAAAACAAGAAAATCATGTTGTAACTGTATGTAATTGGTCATCAACAACATATGAACAATATGAAATATTAAACATACCACGTAATGGTAGATGGTATGAATGGCTTAATAATGATAAAGAATATATTGCAGAAAATAATAAACTAACAATTGATAATTTTATCGATCATACCATAAGAATTTTTATATATCAAACGAAAAGATGTGATAATGATAAACGTTCAACAGCTTGATATAGTGTAGCAGAAAAATTTAAAAGTTTAGTCTAGCATCTATTTTTATGAATTTAAAAAAATGTATAAAACAAATTACTCAGATATCTCTTTTGGTATATTATTCTAGCACGAACTTTATCTAAGCCAGCAATGGAAGAATATAAATTGTTCGTTTACTTTGTTTTTTTTTGTTATAATTTTGATTTTTACAATAACTTCATTAATAAATTAGTATAAATATCAACTTAGATCAATCTTTATTATTATTGTTTGTTTCTGATGATAGTTATTTGTAACCTTTATGTTACTGTTTTGTTTGGAGATTATTTAAAACAAAAACGAATTCAAATTAAATATTTAGTCAATAGTAACATCATGATTGTAATAAGAATAAAAGCGATTACTGTTCTTTTATCCTACTATCTTTCGTTTCGTTTGTTGTCTAAAAATAACTCAAGTGCAAATATCTATGATGCATAAAATACGCGCATGCGTCATGTATTACTATTTGTACGTACAGCTCTTCTTCATTATAGATCGGCCTTGAAATTGACTTGGAATTCATAAAGGATATACAGAGCGGAGGCGTAGGATTGATTTTCCATTCGCTTCTTATTCCAACAAATAAGGTTAGACATTCTGTCCTAGATAACTCTCCAGTTCTTCTGTTCGTTTATGTAAGAACCCGCAAGGTCAACTATATGATAGAAAAGAAAGAGAAAAACAGATGGAAATTTTATCTGTTATCGTACTATATGTCTGGTACTTATCAAGTACTTTTAGAGCAATGCTTCTATCTGAAAGAAATTGACTATCATATATATAAAACAATTTTTTTTCTTCTTTTAGACAGAATTTTTTGTTCAATGTCCTTGTTTGAAAAATATAAGTAAGTTTTATAAAAGTACGTGTTTTGATAGTATCTATCTTATCGAATGTTAGATATTACACTGAAATAGATCAATGCCCTTCATTTTTAAATTGAAGTAAATGTAGTAATAAATGAAATAAAGATAGAATCATTTACCTCACACATTATGAGAGATGCAGCTGTTTGAATATGACCGATTTGATTAGGTATGATAAAGTTTTTACTACAATTATTAGTTGATGATTATAAATCATGCGAGAAACTCTCAATTAATTGAAAAGTTAAAAATAAAGTGGAGGCATATGATTTCCAGTCTCATATTAAAATTAAAAAATTTGATTTAACTAATGAAATCGTGTTCATAGATATTCGCGTGTTTATCTTAATAGTAATATTTGAATATGATACTAACAACACGATAGTGTACGCACTTGATTTATATCTGAAGTATCTTTTTTTCATTCTATCGCCATATATTCTTTACGATATTTTTCATTGAGTGTGTTAAACCTATATTGTTCTGTATCAATAAACATACATTTCGTCTATTCTGTACACTATGAGGATAAAAAAAATCATATTTTCTCAACACAGCTGTTATTGTGTATCTATCGTAAGTATAATAAAAATGAAGGCGGGAGTCATACTCACTGTCATCGTTCACACAGCCGTACGTTTCTTTTGTTCTTTTAAAAATGGTTACTATAACGTATGTACCCCACCTTCTTTTTCGCTGTTGAAGAAAGAAAAGAAAATTGTATTGAATCGATGATATAAAAACACGTATCTATATGCATTTAATTATAGACAAACTACATAACAGTACGTTTCAATGGCTCCATATACTTTTGAACTCTTCGCACCATATAACAAACAAGCTGGTCTTCGATTGAAAAATGCTAATGCAAGGATGTTTGTATGTATTTATTTTTATTTATCACATTGAACTATACATTTATTCAAGGGACTTGATATTCCAATGGAACTAAATGAACAAGATGGATACTGGCGTGCAACACTAGATCTAGCTGATGGTAATATCTTCACCATCCTCATCTTATTCGATTCCATTTTCGTTTTGATTTTTGTTCAGGTATTTATCATTATCAATATAAAATAGTTACAAAATCATGGTTTGAACCAGAGCCAGAACCTGCTCTACCAGACTATACAAATGATGAAACTAAAAGTAAATCATACCTATTTTTATTGTATATTCTTACTACTACAAATTTCTTTTTCTATTGTTTTCAGCTTTTGAGGAAAATCAAGAGAATCGTAAAAACTATTATAATGAACATGAAAAACTAGTTCAAGAAGTAAAAGAACGAAATAAGAAACGAGAAGAAGAAATAACATTTACAGAAGTATGGTACACATTTGTTGATCCATATGCGACCGAAGTTGATGAACGTGGTTCAGATGATGCATTTCGATCAGTTGGAATTCTTATTTTCAAAAATGGTAAATATCAAACATAATAAATTTCATATATTTTTCTTCGATTTATATTTTAAGGTAAAAGAATAGTTGATGAATATGAATGGAAATATGACAATCATATTCCATTAGTTTCAAATGATAAACTAATTATTTATGAAATTCATATTGGTGATTTTCAAGATAGATTCACAGATGTAACATCTAAAATAGATTATTTCGTAGAACTGGGTATTACAGCTGGTATGTAAAATAAATAAGATGAATTTTGATACTAGTTGCCTTTGTTATAGTCGAAATAATGCCAATTAAAGAATATCCAGGAGAAATCGGTTGGGGTTATACACCACGATATCATTTTGCTATTCAGAGTACATATGGAACAACAGCTGAATTAAAAGAAATGATTGATGCATTTCATAAACATGGAATTCGTGTTATTATGGACGGTGTTTACAATCATGTAAGTATGAAGATATTGCATGTAAAAGTACTTTTAAAGAAAACGAAATAAAGCCTTATAATAGTGACAAGAGATGTGTTTATTTTCAATATGACTAACTCTTAATCTTTTCTCAGTATTTGTTCTATCTAATTCTTTGAAGGAACATATCATCGCGATATTCAAGATTTCTCTTCGTTCAAATTTATCAAATATCTGAAACAGTAAGCAAAGAAGACAAAACACATGGATTTTCTTTCCCAAAATTTCAAATAATTTCAAAACCTTATAAAAATGAGAACTTAGAAAAAGAAAACATATTTTTATTCGATAAATCTTACATATAAATTTTTTTTAGTGTGATGTTTCTGCACCATATACAGCAATTGATCATGATTATTGGTAAATTAAATAAAAAGATTTACTTAAAATAAAACTAACTATTATTTAAAATAGGTTTCTTCATGACCCTAAAGACCGAGTGTATTGCTGGGGACCAGTAAGTTATATTTAATATGATTATTAATAATAAATTCTTTTTCAAGGAATGGAATTATCAAAAATATGATGAAAAATATAAATTATGGCCTGCAAGAAAATATGTTGGTGATTCTATTAAATATTTTATTAATGAATTTCATATTGATGGTATAACTCTTTTTCTTATATAAATCAATAAAAAAATTAGTATGAACTTTTATTTTTCTTAATAGGTATTCGTTTCGATGCAGCAACTCAAATTGCTAATGATGAATTTCTTCGAGTTGTTGTAGAACAGTCAAAACAACAAGTTCAAGATCGGTAATATAATAAAGAAAAGTTCTTCTAATCCTATTGATTAATATTCTTTTTATTTATTCAGTGGATTTGGACCAGAATTTTATTGTGTTGGTGAATATCTTCCGGATAAACCCGAATATGTTATATCTAATGGTGGACCTATGGATGGAGTTTGGCACGAGAGTTTCTATTGGAGAATTCGAGATTCTGTGTTTACTGGCACATCAAGCTGGGAAGATCTCAAAGATGTTATTGATGCTCGTCGACAAGGATATAAGAATATAACTGATGTTGTTAATTATCAATCCAATCATGATCATGATCGTTTATTAGTTGATATTGGTTAGTAGAGATACGAGATATCAACTTATCAAAACTTTGAAATTTCTATTTGATTCTTTAGGTAAAGAACTTCAAATATTTGATGTAGATGCATTTCGTCGTGTTCGAATGGCATTTACACTTCAAGCAACATCCTATGGTCTCATGATGATTTGGATGGGTGCAGAATTTGGTGAATATAAAGAAAAAACTCCAGGTATAGCAAAATTAGATTGGTCATTGATTGAAGATCGTGAAGATAATTCAAATGCTATTAATAAAGAACAATTACAATATTACAAAGATGTTATTCAACTACGAAAACTAAATTCAGCATTATCAACACCTAATCTTGAATTTATATTCGAAGAAGAAAATGATCAAATCATGGCTTGGCATCGATGGAATTCACCTAGGTATGATCCTCATGAACAAGGTGATCATGTAGTTGCTGTATGTAATTGGTCATCAACAACATATGAGAAATATGAAATATTAAACATACCACGTAATGGAAAATGGTATGAATGGCTTAATAATGACAAAGAATATATCGTAGCAAATAATAAACTAACAGTTGATGATTTTATTGATCATACAGTTCGAGTATTTATATATGAAGTAAAAAGAAGTGAGGAAGAAGAACGCGTATCTAGTTAATTCAAATAGGTTTTCTTATGAGAATATTGTATATAGTTTGTATTTTAAAAAGTTAATAATAAATATTTTTTTCGGCAAAAACTACTTGATATTGTCTTTCTTTTATATGTATTGTCATTATTTGCATTTCCTTTGTAACATCAAATATCGTGCATATGTATTTGAAATAAAATTTTCTCTTCTGTTTTTTTTTCTATATACGGTTTATATTAGAAATAAAATGGCGCTTTAATATTAATTTCTTTCATCATGTTATATGCAGAATTCATCTCTTTTTCAAATATATAATACAACCGTATCTTCTAATCGAAGATCTCTTATTCATTCAAAAATCTCTTCAATTATTGGTATTCTTCTTATACCAATTGTTCTTGCATGTTTAGCTATAATATATTATTTTTATAAACGATATATAAATACTAAATTTCATCAAGAAATAAAACGAAATGATACAATGGAAAATGATGAAAAATCTAATATTATTAGAATAGAAGAAAATGATACGTCTGTTAAATATGAATTCTGATTATTTTGATGAAGAAGATTTCGAAGTAGGAAAACCAGAACAAATTACAGGACTTTGAGCACCATGATCCAGGCAACATTGCTTTAATTTATTTAAAACTTTTTCACATTTATCTGGATTATATGTATGTTCTAGAAAAAAATAGTTTTTAAAGAATGTATTTGTTTTTGTTTAATCTAGTAATCTTACTATCAAGACATGTTTGTAATTCACAAGCAAAATTTTGACAAAATTCAGATTTTTGATCGTTGTCTTTTGGCATATTTATATGAGCTAATAATAATAATACTGAGCGTAAATATTTTGTAAGATTGATAAATCAACGTATTCTATTGATCAAAAGAATGACGAATAATTTCAACAGATGGCACTATGTTGCTTATAACACTTGTAGAGAATTAATCTTAATAATAATATCCAAGTGACTAATAAGATATTTGCTCGTGTGTTGTTTAAATAATTGATGTTCAACCAGTGGCGGATTTAGGGAGGTGATCGCCTCCCCCTTCTGAATTTTTTTTTTGATTTTCTACAGCAAAAATAGGTTCATACTCTTCGATCGGACTCAAAAAATAGCTTTTAGCCAAAATCGCCTCCCCCCCCACCAAATCCTAGATCCGCTGCTGTGTTCAACATCATTTAAGTATGAGATTAATTTCAGAAAATATTAACTCTATCTATATGCTCGTTAAAACTATTTAACGAAGACTGAAGTGAAAATAATCTGTAACCATTTCACTTAAGATATTCTACTTCTCTTAAGTAGATGTCTGCATCGGAATGGAAGAAAAAAATCAATTTTGAAATTACATCATTAAAGCAAAGACATATTATTTCTATTTTTAGCATCACTGACAATTCTCATGATTAAAAGCATTAGACAGATAGTCATATGAACACTTAATATATATTTTAATAAAACATTGTTCGATATTATAATATAAAAGAAAACTCATTTCCGTTGAACTGCATTTTAAACTAGTCTATGGACTCGTGAAGCATTTTCAAATAATTATCATCATTTTTCCTCTTTTCCTCATAAAAGTACAAAGAAAACATCATTGTTATTGACGTCTTTTTTTCTGATTTTTTTTCCCGTCTTGCTTCTCTTTCTATTTTTATAATTGTCAATCTTTATAGTTGAATTTGCTAACACTCGAACGGCCTCGTAATAGACGATTTTCTTTTTTCCTTAGTTACAACACCGTCGATCGACACTTGTCAGTCACCATTAAGAATAATAGAAATATAAGATGTTTGGTAAAAAAGAAATCAACTACTATTCGTCATCATACAAATGCTGTTGAATCAATAAAATAAAATTGTCATTAGAGAGACCTGTCATTGTGTTAATCGAAAAATGAAATAATATAAACGTTTCCGTTCGTCATTTATTCTTTCTGTCAAAAAAAAAGACGAAGTATGTCAGTTAGTTTAATGTTTGAACGGATAAATAATCACAGCTGTTCATTCCCACATCATGAAGAAAAACAATTAACACGTAGAAAATCTTATTATAAATTTTATCAACTTGAATTACGACAATTATTAACAGAAAATCGTTTTTATCAAGAACAAGATGCAAAATCTACCAAGTCAAAACAACAATCAAAAATTCAAATAAATAATAATAAAAAAATATCAAAAGAATATATGGATCGTATACGAGATAAATCAAAATTACAATTGAAAAATTCCGATAATGATAAAAAAGTCAATAATCTTATATCAATTAATAAACGTAATACAAAAGATTCTGTTATATTTACGATTACATCAACGAATATACCTAATACAAGTACTACAGCAATAACAACAGAATCAAAATTAAAATCTGTCTTAAAACCAAAACAGTCTCCATCGTAAGTAGTTGTTGAGTAAATCAAAATAGTCATATATTTCCGGCTTATGATAGAAGTCATGTAGGACATAGTTTAAAAGACATTTTTTTTAAATATGGCTTCATTCTTGATTGAATTGAATGAAGCATTTCCAATGCGTCTGTTGCGATATATTTAGAATTGTTATGGCTATAATAATTTGTCGATATTGATATGTCTAGTAGAACTATTATAGATATAGTAATTATGTTTCACCAGAGAGAACATACTTACATTGAAGTTAAATTCAAGATCTGAATATGAAACAAGCATATTGAATATAGAATGTATAGCTGACATTGAGGATTGTTTTTTTTTATTGAAGAATTTATTGGTTTTCTAATCGTAGAGTTGTTGACACTTATACTGCTTGTTTGTTTATTTTTATTGTGATTAGTGAACTGACATGAACACAATGGATGAGACCTTGAATATGTATTGCTTCGGCAAATGTAGTTTTTATGGATCACTGCCGCAGAGATAATATGCGAAATTTACAGTAATAAAATCTTATGCATTGGAAATAATCGGCATACCGAGTTCGTTTGTTAAGATAATAAATGTTCAAGGTCTCGACTAATGATTTCATACTGCTTCACTCCTCACTATAAAAACATAATTGAATATAAAATAAATATACGAACAGTAAAAGTGTCAACATCTTTATATATGTATCTCAATCTCGGTGTGCCATATTAGAAATTCACGAGTTCTGCAGTCAAATTTTCTTGTATATTTAGATCAACCAAACGTCATCATGTGATAAATACTCTAACTTCATGTCAAAAACTCATACCAATTAAATCACCTATAGAAATTCCAATAATTGAAATTAATGATACTGATGATGATTTATTAAAATCAAATCTTTATTCTTATACAGAAGCATTATCATCATCACAAGATCATATTTATAGTTATGATCGACATGCTCATCAATCAATACTTAATTCTATGATGGCACATTTCAATTCATATACACCATCGGATATATCAAAATGGGATTTATTACGAGATTTTAATAATAAATTTTCGGCTAGTATGTCTTCACAAGTTTATCGAAATTTTGAACGTATTATTCTTTGAAAACAAAAAAAAAAGATCGATGTGTATTTCTTTTTATTGTTGATCAATATAATAAATAAATAAATATATCGATAAATGATGTCATTTTCAAAGCTTAAAAGCTATGCTTTACTTACATTGACTTTAGATAATAAAAGCGATTGATTACATCAAATTAGGATACTTGAGTTGATCCCTGTTATTATTCTAAGCATGTAAGTACACACAGACATAAGAGAACGAGAGAAAATGTTTGTTAACTTATTGATGATGATGATGATCTATGTCTCTTTACATTCTTATTACATATGTATGTATGTTCAATTGATGTTGTTTCATCTATACTTATGCAAGTGATCATATAATTTATTATAGTTTTCTCCTTTATCAAAATGTCTATCTCGATTATTTTCTTTCTTATTATGATTATTCATGGTGAAGATACATTTGATTGTACAGGTTATGAAGATGATTCATATCATTCAATATATGATGCTGATGATTGTCGACATTATTGGCATTGTATTTATGTTGATACGGTTTATATGCATGCAGTTAAACGTGTTTGTCCAGCTGGAACTGAATTTCATGCTACATTACGACAATGTGAAACATCAAGTTTAGTAAGTTATTTTAATTTTCAATTCCGAATAAAAAAATATATTCTTTTATTGATTCATATAGGTAGATTGTAAACCACCTAAATCACCTCATTTTCCACGAACAACTACAACTACAAAAGCATGGAAAGGATTATATTCAAGATTATTTTCACGAAAATATTGGAAATCAACAACGAGAAAACATGAAATATTTGATTTACAAGATACTCCTCAATTTGATCTAACGACAATGATAATGCCGGAATTTGAAACAATGGAACAAACTCAAGTATTATCTTTTACTCCAACTTACCCAACAACTGTTTTTTCTCTTGAAAAAGTAAGTCATCTTTTCTTAAAATTTTTTTATTTTCTTTTTATGAATATTTTAGCTTTCAAAAGATCTTAATGCTCTAGTATTAAATCGTCGTCCTCATAAACATAAACCAATGGGAACAAATCTTTTTCAAATAGGTGAACCAGAAAATGAAGCAGACATTTATGTATCAACAACAACAGAAACAACAAAACGACGAACAAGACGAACTCGTTCTACTACTACTCCTATTCAATCGACTACATCACAAATAACAACACAATTATCATTAACAACATTTCTTTTTACAACAGAATCAACGACGACAACAACAACTACTATCACGACAACATCAATTACAATGACAACTCCTATTATTTCTTCTCTTACATCAATATCAACAAGCACAATTCTTACTCAACCGGATATGGGAACAAATATTAAACCACAACCACGTATGAGTGGTCAACGTCGACGTAATAATATGACTTTATTTATTTTAACAAGTGATGAACATAAAATTCGACAATTTTCTGTTAATCATACACGTGGTATTTTAATTAATTGTAATCAATTACGACGTCGTCTTCTCGGCCGTCGTCGATTACGAAATATACTTCAAACGACTACAAATCATACGTTAAACATAAAACATCTTTCAAATGTATCAATTCAAATATTACCCTATAATATTTTATCATTAATTTGTTTTCTAACAAAACTATTTATAATTACGTAAATATGATTATATTTCCTTGGAAGAAAAAAAAAGAAAAAAAAAAGTATAATGTGTGTATATATTTGTTATTGTTCTTTTAACGAAATAAAATATCGATTGTAGACAAATGAAACTAGATTAAATAAAAAGAAATCTTATGAATAAAATAATATATGTATGTTTATTCAAACCTTTTTTTTATTATTATTATATTCATGATTTTAATCTTGATGAGGACAATTTAATGAAGTTGATCTAGGGACAAAAATATTTTTGTTTAATAATAAAGGATAGATTTCTTTTATGTTCAAATTCTTACCGACTTAAACTCCAGATATGATGTTTAATAAGTTGTTTTTCACATATGTCACATGGAACTCGTTGATGATTACGAGCTTGACCTAATTGTCTAGAATTTGAAGCTGTACGACCAGGAGTTATAACTGGTGATGGTTTAAAAAGAACTGGTTGTGGTTTTTTTGGAATATCATAACCCATAATGGGTCGATTTACAACTGCATTTAACATTTTCATTGCTTGTTCACGTTCTATATAAAAGAAAATGACAAGAATAATTGAAATTCATGGTTTATTAAAATGATTGATTACCTTTGTCTGTTGCATTTCGAATCCATGTATCAAATTCATTCCGACGTATTTCACTATTTTTTTTCTTTGTTGAATATGACGGTGGTTGTTGTTGTTGTTGCTGACAATAAGCAACCTATGTTTAAATAAAAAAGAATATTTAATAGAGAGAAAAAACAAGAATTTTATTTACACATGATTCCTGTTGATCAGCTGTTGATGGAAGACGATAAAGTGTATTATTTTCTGATCGTTTTTCATTATTTGCTTTTAAATTTCTAACATATTCATCATATGCTTCTTCCGATGCTTCTGATGGATCAACATAGTCACCTGGAAATTCATCATCGTCAGCTGTTTGTAATACACCTGATGATGATTCATTAACAGGTGCTTCATTTTCTTCATCGTTAACTTCTGTTCCATCGTTTGTTAAAGTTGTTTGATTATGTTGTAATTGTTCATCTTCATATTCAGAAACAACTGATGGTTTAGAATAATCATCTATATTTTCTCGATAGGTTTGTTGTTGAGGTGGAAAATTATCCAATGATTGATGATATCGATGTTTTTCAATACGATGACGTGCAGCACGTAATTCTTGTGGTGTATCAGGAATGTCACAATCAAGTAAATGTCGTGGATCACGATTTTTTTGTCGACGTTCAACAAGACAAGCTTCTGTTTTTTCATTATATCCTGATAATGATCGAGATAATGTTGAAGGCGCTTTTAATTGTCCCAAACGTTGTTTAATATCAATTATTTTTGGAGGTGTTTTAGGATTTGCATATGTAAGCCAATGTCGATTAAAATTATCTTTTGAATCATTTCTACGTTTGCCACTTTCTTCTTTTTGATCTTGTCGAGCTTCCAATGATCTTGCTAAATATACAAAAGAATGATGTAAATAAGATTTTAAAATGGTGTATATTAATGCTATCATGCCCTATAACCTATAAACTCTATGGGTCATATTCAAAAACAAGTATAGGGCATAAATGCAATCTTTTCACCTCTAGAAGCCGCTGATGCTGTTGGTAAACGTTGAACTGAGTCATAGACAGTTTCCTGAAAAGTATAATCATTTTTTAAGTAATTAAATACATATATATAGACTGACTCTATGAGTTGAACCAGGTTGTTTTTTCCATTCAACAACATAACCAGACAGATCATCAGAAGCAACTGGCATTGTATTTGATCGTGAGAGTTGATAAACTGCTGATGGTGCTTCTTGAAATTCCTCATTTTTTTTCCATAGAATAACTCGTGGATTTGGTAGTTGTTGTTGTTCTTCTTCATATGATGAATCTTCGAAATAAGGATTTGATCGATATAATTTCATTTGTTCTTGTTGTTTTCGCATTAGTCTCTGGTATTGTTGACCATATGGCGAAAATTTTTTTTCTGTACTATTACTTGGTCCAGCATAACTTCTGGATTTAAACGTATCATTATATGTTGTATTTGATTGTTTCCATCCCAATGGATCATGTAATAGTGGCTGAAAGAGTATCGACGACATATTCGTACGTCTAATAATCAAATGATATGATGAAAAAAAAGAAAAAGATTGAAAATATTATGAAAAGAAAGGGCAAAACACAAAAATGAAGAAAAAAAAAGAGTGAGAAAAGAAGTCATTTTTTTTACACACATCTGTCCAATGTATAAATTGGTAATCGATAATGGTGGTCGTTATGGATTGGTTTGATGACAAAACTATTTTTCAATACCCTCAAATGTATTTGTTTCTATAATTCTTTTCTTTTTTCTCTACTAATTGAAAAAGAGAGTTCGAATAACAATAACAACAGTCAAAGCATTTCAGAGACAACAGAAGAATACTTTTAATAACAGCCGATTTTTTTTTTAATGTAAACTGACTCTTTACTTTTCCAGTACGAGACAATGATGTAGTTGTCTTCGACTTTGTTTTCACAGCAAGCAACTAAATAAACATTAGCAACAAGCAATGGTAGAACAAATACAAATTGAAAATTTAGACTGTAATATATTATTTTCAGTAGTTCAATTCTTAAATATTAGTTTATCGTTTCAATAAAGAAAGAAGACTATCGAATGATAAAATATTAATATTTTCAACGAATAGCAAAAAAAATACTTTACATATTTTACTTTTAATAAAACATTGAGACTATCGATTAACTTTATTTTTCATATATTATTAAATAAACATTTAATGTTTATCTTAGAAAACGAAAAAACATTTCTAGTTTTAACATTCAGTTCGATGCCATCGATGAATATTTGTATAAAATCTATGTTCATTTCCATTTTGCATATTTAATCTCATACATAATTCACACATACGTATTGGTTCAAGATCATTTGTTTGATAAAAAATTTCATATTGATTAAACCATTGAAAATATTCTCGATAAAGAAAATAATCATTAGCAACTTTATGTAAATATTCTCCTAATTGTTTAGCTGATTTAAAATCATCAACATGAATAAAAGCTGATGGTGGTATATCTAAATCTAAATAGGATTGTTTATTTGGACCAAATACAACTGGAATCATTCCATAATGAAGTGCACGCCAAAATTTTTCAGTTATATAATCTGTACATGTTTGAGATTCGAATGCTAAATAAAAAAGTGCTAATCGAGATTGTTCGAATTCACATCGGTCGTTTTTATTACATTTGTTTTCAGCATTACTAATACACGAACCAAAAGCATTTATAGGAAAATAATTTTTTAATCTTTCATAATAATTTAAGCGAGCTTTTGGTTCACAATTTGATACAAACCATAATGCATGTTTTGAACGATAACGATAATTAGTTAATATATGATTTTCTAAGGTAAAATCAGTGATTAATATATTACGATTTGTTAAAATATAAAGAAAATCTGATGAAAGAATTAAATCTGACATATTAGTGGAATAAGATTTTTTATTAGAATTATTTTCAATTAATAAACCATAGGTACCAATTGATATTTCGGAATCTTGTCGAAAACTTAATGTCCAATTAAATTTATATTGATTTAAATGTTTTAATTGACGATTAGCTTCATCAATCCATAATATCCATATATCATTAACTGAACGTGTTTTTAATTTTATATGCATTTCATCTGTATTTATATCAACATGATGAAAGACACTCGCACGACGAATATTTTCATCATTTATTGGAGAATTTTGACATTTCCATTCGCAATTAGTATATGGACATTGTGGATGAAATATAAGTTTTGATGAACAAAATTTTGGTTGTTGAAAAACCTTTAAAAGAAAAAGAATGAATTTGAATTTTTTAATAGAAACAAAAACTTTCTTACAGGTGTTTCTTCGAATATTACAAATGTTTTTTGTGATATATTTGTTATATTTTCCATGATTATATATTTATAATCATTTTTCATATCTTTTTGATAAAGTTTTTCAATTTTTCTTTTATAAATAGTATGAAATATATTTGTCCAATTGAGATCATATTTTGTTCTATATTTTTCAATTAATTCGATTTTTTTTTCGTTTGTTAATAATTTATCTTGATCATCTAATTTTTGCCAAAATGATATTTCTATTGGATTAGTTGTTGTTGTTGATGATATAGTATTTTTTACAAATATTCGAATTTCTAATAAAAATAATAATATTATTAATAAAATAGAACATCGTACAAGTACGCAACGTAAACGAGATACACGTAAATACATTTAATAATGTCGTATTACAAACGACGATAATATTAGATGATTGTTATGTAAGAAACTAATTTCTTTCGACGTTTCATTATTATTATTAAATGCCTAAAAAAAAAAGAATCCGAAGAATGTACATACATTGACTAATGTAGAAAAGAAAGTCATAGTGATATGAATATCAATTAAGAAATCATTATTTCTAGGTTTTCTTTGCTTGTTCATTTGTTTACATATACATGTCCTCAGAGATAACAAAAGAAAAAAAAATCAATCCTAGCTGTCATCATAAAGACATATTCATCATAGAACAGCTGTCAACTGATTCGATCGAATAACAAATGAATTGTCTATTGTTTTTATTATTGTAAAAACAAACAAATTATTATAAGAAAGAGATATAAGCTTTGCTAGATTTTCATTAATTATACGAAGAAAGATCTAAAAAAGCAGCTTACCCATGTTCTATTTTTCTTCTTAATGTTATCGTGCGTCTTCGATCTTCTCTTTCATTCACACATATGAAAGTGCTTCTCTTTTTTTTTTCTCTAAAATATGCGTGATTCGTGTAAGATGATTATAAAAAAGTCTGATCACATAATAAATAATAAATGCACTTATACGTTTGCATATTCTATAATATGATAGATGATAATAGCACAAAATATATCTAACAGCACGCAATTAAAACTTTCAATGATCACGCCGATCAATAGATCTTGATCGGAAGATAGCACTCTCACTTTTTTTTCCTATGTTCTCTCTTGTGCTTTGTAGACATCAACGTTAATAGAACGCAATAAAAAAACCACGCTATCGGTCGCTTTCGAGCAATCTTTCTTTTTCTTCCCTCTCATAGTTTTTTTTCTCTTCGTCAGCCATACTAGATCGTTCTTTTTGAGAACTCTAGGGAGTAGAAGAACGACGTTGATGCACACGGAGGATGTCTTAGACTCAACAATTATATCTCGCCCTACGTAGGGAGTCCATCAAATGATAAGAAGAAAGAAAAGAAGAGAAAAAAAAGGACTGATAGGAAAAAAAAAGACAGTGAAATACAATTACATTGATTTGTCGAACCAAATCAATATGAATAGCAACGATCGACAAATTGTTCTCGCTATAAAAATACAATAAAAAAAAGAAACTGTCTAGCATCGTTATGTTTATCTTAATCATTTTGACAGTTCTTTTCAATGTCTTCAATAACATATTTTTTAAATAATAAATAAACGATAATTTACATATTCACGTATTATTAACTGAAACATGAAGTCAAGTCTTCCGGACTATTTATTAATTATATATTCTACTCTATATTTAGAAATATAAAGATTAGAAGAAAATTCATTGATGCAAATCATAAATATGTTATGACATTTTACATAAAGATAAAAAAAAAGTGGATACATCTTGATAACATATTATTGACGAGAATAATCAATCTATAGTACATTATAATAAGCACTAGAATTTCTTGATAACGATATCAAGCTGTGTTAACAGATGAAAGATATTACACTGGTCTTTTTTTATTATAGATCAAGAAACAGTACGAATATTTTTACATTATAATTCAATAAACTATTTTTCGTCTACCAAAAAAATTCATCAGACTAATTAATAGTATATAATCAAAGGAGAGTACTCGATTTAACAAGTGTGCTGTAGGCAAAAGACATTCTTGTTTTTTATCTAAATCAATTTTGTTTCAACCATTCGATTAAGACAATTAAATCAAATACTTCATTTTGTTTTACTGATAAAAACATACCATTCTTATATTTTTGCATTATATTAATAATTAGTTCATCCGAGTGTCTAATGAAAAACAGAAGGAGATATTAACTACAGAATCATATTATTTTGTCTTGCAATGTTTTGATCATGATCATTTGTTATAAACAAAGGAATATAACGGTTCCATATGGACAACAATCGATGACATGAATAAATCGTTTTAGAAAAAGTATGATGTATTACTCAAGGAATACATAGTTCTTTTTTTAGATTAATTATATGACACAAGTCATCTTCTTATAGTATGAAAGAAGCTATAAACCTTTCTAGATTATATTTAAGAAATGAATAAGGGTAACAGAATAGAATTAAAAAATGATGAATAGATTCATATGTTTTAATAGCTCAGTAAAGACAATGTATTATTCTATCAGTATAAAAATAGATATATTAATAGTAGACATGCAATATTCACTTATGCCTGGAACAATTATCTCTCTACGATTGAAAACACAACATATGTTTTACAAAACAAAATTGAAGACATATCGTCTTTCTTCAATTTCTTTTTTTAGATATTAAGAACATTTCTATTTATAGATGTATGTAAGGATTAAGATAGCTCTTTTTTTATAATCTAAAGTCAATATAATTAAAGGAAGTGAAGTGAATACATAACTTAATGAGGCAATTACTTTTTCAAACATACGACATATTGATATCGATCACTAATCTAAACTATTCCTTCTTTACATAGTAAAAAGAATAGTCGTGAATTCTGTATTATCATAGGATAACGATTCACAATATTCAAATTCATCTGTGTTATACGTTTTAATAATGTTGAAAGGTCTTGTAAATCAAGTGTTAATATTGTATAACATGTTTGATTCAAATAAAATATATCGTCTCTATTTTTTTTAACTCACTACCCTTCAGTTCAAATAATTCTATCATAAGAAAGTTCATTACATGCAATTATTATTACATATAGTTTTTCCATACTCAAAAGACAATTGACAAGTAAACATGAATTCAACTAATCATTACTTATCTATGAGTGTCTAAAATCTGACTTTCTATAATAACAAAAAAGAAAACAAATTCAATATATATTATAAGTCAAATTAATTGAAGAATGTTATTACTCTATAAGTAACAATGATTATTATGAAATTAGTAGACCGTTTGATTGATTCCCCAAGGCTATGTAGACATAAGAATATAATCTAATAATAATACAATATAACAATGATTAACAAAACTATGTTGTTCCATTGATACTATTTATACTTTGACTGGATAAGATTTCGTTCCATGTCTAGGACGAAATGATATTCATGATTTAATTGTATGTATAAAAGTGGTGATAATACTTTTTGAGATGAAGAAAGAACACATTACATATTGTTTATTTTATTATGTTGGATAATATAAGTCTTCCAGTCATAGAATTTCCGGTATTTCCAAGAAAATAAATTATATAAACAGTTTCATTTATAAACAAATGCTTTTTCAACGAAAGAACAACATGAGAATATATATTATATAATAGTTTTATATACTAAAATATACAGATACTTGTTAATGCTTTTTCTAAGACCAATCTAAAGAATTGTCTTTCATAAAAGATTGTAATATAAATAAGAAGACGTAATTTTACACTTGATTATTATCCATTTTCTCATGATTTTGGTTCATTTTAAAGATTTATCAATAAGCTGTAGAACATACATAAACATTGTCTTTGACATATGAAAATAAAAAGAAGATACACATTATTTTTTTTGATTGTCAACAATAACTATACTTTAACGTCCTTGTCGTTTCTTTGCAACTGATAAATACCTCTGATAATACCTGTAATAGTTTGTGACACATACTTCACAAACATAAAAAAACAATCTCGAAAGAAAAATTCTCATTCATTTATAAACACTTCTTCTTGAAATAATCTGTATTACAACAAGTAATGGGTAACAACAAATCAATAACATCTATCCAAGCCAATGCCAAACAAGTATCAAGTTTTTCTAAGGGTGCAGCTGCAAATCGACGTCTCAATATTCAGAGAATGCAGAATGTTCTTCTAATTTGGTGGGACAACAGTATTATTGAAAATAATGCTGATTGTAGTAATACAATCAAACAATTGAAACGTGTTTTTAATAATATATGCATATTTACAGATGGTGAACAATGTCTTGAATTTATTCGAACTATTACTAATAATAAAGTATGTATGATTGTTTCGGGTTCAATTGGACAATATATTGTGCCGCATGTACATACTATGCCCCAAGTAGATACCATTCTTATTTTTGGTAACAAAGAAGAATGGTGTCAATCATGTACCAAAGAATGGCCTAAAATCAGAGGAGTTTTCACAGAAATAATACCAATATGTGAAGCTCTAAAGCAAGCTGATGACCAATGTGAGCAAAATGCCATATCGATCAGTTTTGTGACATCAAACAAGAAATTGAATGAATTAGATTCGTCGTTTATGTACGCTCAGATCTTGAAAGAAATCTTATTAACCATCAACTTCGAAGACAAGCACTTTGAAGAATTTATTACTTATTGTCGTGAGGTATTTGCTAATGATGAAAATGAATTAAAAAATGTTAACCAATTACAATTAACATATAAGAACCACATACCTATATGGTGGTACACATGGGATGCATTTTTATATCGTATGCTCAATCGTGCATTTAAATCAATGGATATTGATATTATTATTCGAATAGGTTTCTTTATTAATGATCTACATCGTGATATTCAACGATTACATTCACAACAATTTGATGATCATCAGTTATATAAAACATTCACAGTTTATCGTGGACAAGGCCTTTCCAAAGAAGATTTTAACGAAATGATAAAAACTAAAGGTGGACTTCTTTCATTTAATAACTTTTTATCGGCTAGTAAAAATCCAAGTACTGCCCTTGAATTTGTACAACAAGCTGCTACAAATCCTGATCTTGTTGGAATTTTATTTGTTATGACAATTAGTTCTACTGATTCAACAACTCCATTTGCTTCTATCAGTGATGTTAGTTATTTTCATAAGGAAGATGAAGTTCTCTTTTCTATGCATACTATTTTTCGCATTGAAGATATTAAAGCAATGGATGAAAATAATGATCTTTATCAAGTGAATTTAACATTGACCAACGACAACGATCAAGATCGTCGTACTCTTACTGATCACATTCGGCAGGAAACCTTTCCTGATGTTGAAGGATGGTACAGATTAGGTAAATTGTTAATTAAAATGGGCCAGTCTAACAAAGCTCAAGAAGTTTATGAAGTTCTACTTCATCAAACAACGCATGAGAGTGACAAACCATCCATTTATCATCAACTAGGTCGAATCAAAGATGATCAAGGAGAATATCAAGAAGCGCTTACATATTATAAACAATCGCTTGCTATTCAACAAAATACACTTTCTTCCAATCATCCTGATTTGGCTATGTCTTATAACAACATTGGTTTGGTGTACTACAACATGAATGATTATCTAAAAGCACTTTCATATCATGAAAAAGCCCTTGCTATTCGACAACAATCTTTTCCTTCCAATCATCCTGATTTAGCTTCTTCCTACAATAACATCGGCAATGTATATTCCAGCATGGGTGATTATCCAAATGCACTTTCATCTCATGAAAAAGCTCTTGCAATTCGAGAACAATCACTTCCTTCCAGCCACCCAGATGTGGGTGGTTCCTATTACAATATCGGTTTGGTATATTACAATATGAGTGATTATCCAAATGCACTTTCTTATTATGAGAAAGATCTTGAAATTCTACAACAATCACTTCCTTCAAATCATCCTGATTTAGGTGTTTCCTATAACAACATCGGTTTGGTATACTATAACATGGGTGATTGTTCAAAAGCACTTTTATATCATGAAAAAGCCCTTACAATTCGACAACAAGCGCTACCTTCTAATCATCCTGATTTGAGTAGTACTTATAATAACATCGGTAACGTATATTCCAACATGAGTGATTACCAAAAAGCACTTTCATTTCATGAAAGAGCTCTTGCAATCAAACAACAATCATTTTCTTCCAATCATCCAAGTTTGGCTATGTCCTACAACAACATTGGTGCGGTGTACTACAAAATGGGTGATTATCCAAAAGCACTTTCGTCTTATGAGAAAGCTCTTGTAATTCGACAAGAATCACTTCCGTCTCATCATCCTAATCTCGGTGCTTCCTATAACAACATTGGTATGGTGTATGAGACTATGGGTAACTATTCAAAAGCTCATTCATTTTATGAACGTGCTGTACAAAATGGACAACAATCATTACCAACAAATCATCCCACCCTTCAACAACGGAGAAAAAAGCTCGAAAAGATAAAAACGAAATTATAATTTTTTTGAAAGTACAATAAAACTTATGAAATAGAAAATATGTCTATTGAATCATTGTTTTTATTGAGAACACGATATGAGTAGTAGCACCTAGTGGTAAGATAAACAATACATATTGAAAAGACATGTTATTAAATCTGGACAAGTAAAGTTTCACTGTGTTAGATAAGAAAGAAACAAAAAGTATATTTCGACAATAGAATGAATTATCCTTTCTGTTCCAATATTAAAGAATAGTTCATACTATTGATAAGCTTATGCATATTAAATGAATAGAATACGAATATCTATATGTACATTAATCTATCATCAAATTTCTAGTGAGATAGGTATCGCTTTGTGAAAGTAATACTTGTGAAAAAAAGTTGCCAGCTACTACAGTTCTATAACATTCAAAACGGTTTTCTAATAATTGCATGGTGACTGTTTCAGTATACCGAAAATCGGTTATTAAGTTCAGTTTCCTTGTGTAAACTATAAATCATTGAGGATTTTTTTGGATCGTTTGCCAAGCTTTTGTGTTAGTAAGTATCGTTCTACATATCTATTAGTTTCGCAAACAATAAGATTAATAATCTTATCAGTGACGAAATGTCGATAGCAATCGAGAGAGTTGATTGTACTATCTTGGGAATTTGATGTTATTTATTCAACAATGCCATGAACTTCCAGGAATTCATCATCAGATTATGACTCTTTCTCAGTTCCCTGGGTGATTCGGTACTCTCTTCTATATTGGGTTTTGATAACATGTTAAATATTCAAGAATTCTAAAAATTTTGACCGTTTTTGTATAATTGAACAATATCAGCGAAAGAGGCATGAGATTCGATCCATTTAGTAATGGTACAAAAACAGAGCACGTTAAAAAATCGACAGAACATAGAGAAGGTCAGTTAGTCCATTTATTGAAAATTTAGCCTTCGTGAAAACGAGTATTCTAGTTAATTCTTGTACAAAAACTGAATCATCTCGAATGTGTGAAAACTAAAAGCAAACAAAGAGAAAAAATGTCATCGTCTACTAATAATGAATTTTTTTGATAAATCTTGATGAAAATTAGAATAATTAACAATTCGATCTTTTCAATAAACATAGATAATCAGTTTTAAGAAATGTTTTTCTTTTTTGCACGTTACTGTTACAAATAATTCACTTGGTTACTTAAGATCTCATCTAGTCAATATTAAAGACGAAGAACTTGATGAAACAAAATAAACGTATACTGCACTAGATGAGCGCTAAGGTCCTGACAAAATTCTGAATGAGCCATTGTGGATATTCAACTTGCAATTAGAATGATCTTTACAATTTGATATTACCGCATTTGTTACAATCAACTTTATATTTCTACGCATTATTTCGAGTGCATTTGGCTCTTTACATATTTTGGTTCACTTCCAATGCAAAACTCGGTTGCAATGGTATTGGCAACTAGCTTCAACGTACCTATCCATTGAGAATTATTGTTTTCAATAGCCATCCAACTTTGGATCAGATAAATTACATAGAACTACTATATTCGATCAAGATAAAAGTGCCGATTGTAAATTTGATACAACATCGTGAATTTGGACATCATTTGTTGACAATTATACTGGCGCATCTTTACGTAATTACTCCAATTGGACAAATGAAATGTTATGGGGGACCTACTTGACGAATTGTGCACTTTTTCAGCCAATATCAAGAACGAAAAATACAATGGAACAAATATCTGATCAATACTGAAAAATCTAACCGAACAAATACCTTATTAATAACAAAACAACCTCTAGAAACAATATTCTACTATCTACTCATATTTCTCAAGTCCTTTAGTTATACATTAATTGTCATTTTGTGTCTAGATCTTAGTAGCTCAAATTAACTAAAGTGCATAACAATAAACAAAATAAACATATATTATCAACTAATATATCTTAGATTACTGAACATATTACATCTATTCATATTTCTAAAACGTTAAATAAGTGGTATAATAATGATCCACATTTATTTACACTTAATCAACCATTTAATATTAACAATTACAATGTATCTTAAGAATAACTAACTTGATCCAAAAATCTTCCACAATAGTATCCAAAATAACATTAGACTTTGGACTAGATGATCTTACTATTGAAAAAATTACTGAATACTGTCAAATATAGATTAAGCAACACAACTAACAATATTTTTCTTTGCGATCAACTGAACTTGATGAGAAACAAATTAGAACTAAGAATTTACTTATTCTACTGAAATCTTATTGTTATTATTATGATTTTCCTCTTAAAAGTTCATTTCCTCACTTCCATTTACGTTTTACTTTAAGCTTTTCTTTCATATACACAGACTTAATGCGGGTTTAAATTTCATGCAATAAGACAAAATGCGTCCGCGAACTGAATTCTGCATTTAATTAATTATTTTAGAAGCACAGCTTAAAACAAAAAATCAATATTGTGCATACAACTCGATTACTGAAAAACAAAAGTACACACTACTAGATTAAACTCGTTCATTTGCTACAAGTTAGACTAATATGTTCGTGATTGGTTGACACCAATACACACTTAAAATACAACCCTTTTATTTCGTAGTGCATCACGGAGATATTCTGCTCCTTTGTCTCCGATGTTGTTGCCCGAGAGATCCAGTGTCGTCAGTGTCTGTATGATAAAGGAAGAATAGTTATGTAAAATACATGGAGAGTGAATGAGTATTACTGTGTTAATTCGTAGTGCATCACGGAGATATTCTGCTCCTTCATCTCCGATACTGTTCAATTCGAGATTCAGTGTCGTAAGTGCCTATATGAGAAAATGATAATAGTTATCTGAATTAGATAAAGAGTGAATGAGTATTACTGTGTTAATACGTAGCGCATCACCGAGATGTTGTGCTCCTCCATCTCCTATTCTGTTGCTCTTGAGACCTAGTGTGGTGAGTGTCTGTATAAGAAAAGGCAAATAGTTATATGAAAATGGTGGAGAGTGAATGAGTATTACTGTATTAATTCGTAGTGCCTCACCCAGATGTCGAGCTCCTTCAGCTCCGATTCTGTTGTAATTGAGACTCAGTGTGGTGAGTGTCTGTTTGAGAAAGTACAAATGATTAAATGAAACAGGTGAAGAGTTGATGAGTATTACTGTGTTATTTCGAAGTGCATCGCCGAGATGTTGTGCTCCTTTAACTTCGATTTCGTTGTGATCGAGATTCAGTGTGATGAGTGTCTATATCAGAAAGTATAAATAGTTATGTGAAATAGGTAAAGAGTGAATGAATATTACTGTGTTATGTCGTAGTGCATCACCAAGATGTTGTGCTCCTTCAGCTCTAATTCTGTTCCCGTTGAGATTCAGTGTAGTGAGTCCCTAAATGAGCAAGTACAAATAGCTATGTAGAATAGGTGAAGAGTGAATAAACATTACGGTGTTATTTCGAAGTGCCTCACCGAGATGTTGTGCTCCTTCAGCTCCGATTTGATTGCCATGGAGATTCAGTACCGCCAGTGTCTATGTAAGAAAGTACACATAGTTATGTGACATAAATGAACAGTGAATGAGTATTACGGTGTTATGTCGTAGTGCATCACCTAGATGTTTTGCTCCTTCATCTCCTATTCCGTTCCGAAAGAGATCCAATGTGGTGAGTGTCTGTATGTGAAAGTATAACTAGTTATATGAGATAGGTAAAGAGTGAATGAGTATTACTGTGTTATGTCGAAGTGCTTCACCAAGATGTTGTGCTCCTTCAGCTTCGATATTGTTTCCCTCGAGATTTAGTGTGGTGAGTGTCTATATGAGAAAGTACCAATATTTTGTGTGAAATACATGAAGCGTGAATGAGTATTACTGTGTTGCTTCTTAATGCGTTACTGATATGTTTGGCACTTTCAGCTCCGATGTTGTTGTCCGAGAGGTTCAGTGTGGTGAGTGTCTGTATGAGAGAGCACAAATGGTTATATGATATAGATAAAGAGTGAATGAATCTTACTGTGTTATGTCGTAGCGCATCACCGAGATGTTGAGCTCCTTCAGCTCCGATTTCGTTTTCCCAAAGATTTAGTGTGATGAGTGTCTATATCAGAAAGTATAAATCGTTATGTGAAATAAGTGAAGAGTGAATGAATATTACTGTGTTATGTTGTAGTGCATCAGCGAGATATTCTGCTCCTTTGTCGTCGATGTCCATCCTTCGGAGATCCAATGCAGTGAGTGTCTACGTGCAGTTTTTGGAAATAGATATGAGTGGAGTTTTAGAAGTATGTGCTGATTACATAGGGGTTCTTGGTTGTGATTACGAAGATATGGGTTGGAGAAAAGATAAATTCTGTGAGAGTTTCTGCTGACTGAGAGCAGCTGGAAGCTGTGAGTGGTAAAAATTTAAAGGTATGAACTATTTGTCAAGAATACACAGAGGTTCTCATCATAGTCTCAGAAGGTTATTGTCATAGACAAAAGATTAAGTGGAGAAAGGGAGGAATTTCTGACGAATTGATAATCAGTCGGGGAAGAAACCTTGAGTAATGAATTGAATAAGCCTAGTATTATTTAGCGTTGCTTAGTAATAAGTGATTCGCTTATAGAAGACGCTTTATCGGTGCGAAGGGGTTTTCTTACGATGTTTGGTCCTCATTGATCGCTAGTTTACTTCACCGTTAAATCCATATTAAGTGGCGATTTTATTTATTTGTTTTTTATAGGTTAAGTGACATGAGAATGCCCTATAGTCATTAGTACCAGTAGCTTGTGTTGACAGGCGTATATTTGGCAAAGTTCAGAAGGTGGGATCATATAATAAATAAAAATTCGGAGATCGTGACAATTGAGAAAGTCTATTTTCTCGTTAGTTACTCATATGAGATGAAATCGCTGAATGGTTGTTAATCTACCTTGGACGATCGTTTTACATCGGAAAAAGATATATAGGAATACATATATTACAGTCTCTCTTCCTCTACTTCGGTTCGATCTTTTCGCACCATCGTCTGTAGAATATGAGTAATGCTGTTGAAGCACTGAAATGCTTAAAAAAGAATGGGTAAAAATAAACCAACACATTTTTTGCAGTTGTTCGAACTGTTTTCATATTGATTTAGTGTTAGAACTTGTATTTCATAACTAAGCAAAACTTCTAGCATTAAAAGCCGAAGAATCAGATTCAGTAATATTCTCAGTTAGATGGGTATATAACGCATATAACATCCACACTTCAAACCAATTGTCACTGCAAAAATTACAGCAATCCTGTCCCAATGACAGATCAATTGGTCATATTCGACTTTTCTCAATCTCATAAGTCAAAATCTGACTACATAGTTTCCTTAATAAAGTCTCTTGATGAACAAACAAACATATAGTAGTGTAACAACTTCAATCATAATCCTCCTTTCAATAGAGGAAATTATATGTAAACACATGATCGTGAGTTTTAGTCCGAGAAAATTTTTCCACAAATATCCGCTAACTCCGATAATATTATAAACTTGCAGTTAATTGCCTGCTATTTTACTAGGCTTATCGATCGTCAGGGTGAAAAAAACTTCAAGATTGATGAACATTAGCCGAGTATTATAAGATAACGTCTTACCTGATATCGATCGTAGGTGTCAACGATCTGGTTGAGTCTCTGACACACATTTCGCATAGAACACACCAGAGTAAAATCACTCTGATGGTCCAAAATTCGGTAGATAAGCTCTACTGGTAATGTAATCAAACTTGTCATGATTTTGTTTGTCTTCGATAGAAATTGTTGAAATGTGTGGTGTGTTATCGCTTTTATTTCTTCTTTTAAAATGCGTATTTACTTTACGAACGTCGTATTTTTCTATTGATGGTGCAACTACGCGTTGGAAGAAAAAAAGGTAGAAGAAAAAAGTCGACGGCAAAATGTTCGGTTGTGTTCCTTTTCGCCGAAATACATTTAACCGAAAGAATTTTTCCAATCACCCTCACTTTTGCAGCAGCTTCCGAGGCGAATAACTGTTTTTCACGAAATCTTGTGGGTGTGGAGTAGGTGCGTGTGAGTGTAGGATGGGTGGGTGTGGGTGTGAGAATGGATCGGTGTGGATATGCTATCCGTCTTTCATACACCCAACACTCACTGGGCAGTATGATGATGATGTCCCAAATATCATCAGCAGAAACTCAAGGTCCTATTGAAAACACTTTTATAACAATCCAACATTTACCATTGTTACCGTAGGAACAAATAACTAATGGATGCAAATTTCTTTTCGTTTCTAACTTGACAAAGACAGTGACGGTTGTCTGTTGTATTGCGCTACAAAATAAGCATGCATTAGTATCCGATGAGTTGAATCAACAAACAGTAAAACAACATTAATGAATTGAAAACTTTGCATGTTTTTTTCTTTTTCAATACGTTATGCATCGCTTCCATAGTTATGCACATAGATGTGCAAACAAATAAGTTTACTGTAATGTAAGGGAATATTGTGTGCACATAGTAGCATTTATTTTTCGTTAAAATATGTGAAGACAGAACAGAAAAAGTTCTATTTTACATTGACTGCGACAGAGATTGAAAAAATCTCGTCATATAAAGGTGGTAATAATAAGCCATCAAGTTTCATCAACTTTAGAAACACTATAAAATGGAAGTATATTAGTAGTATATAACTGCCTTGATATTAGTTTATTAGGATTTTGTCTCTTTTATGAAGAAAACGTAGGGGAATATTATGTCTATTTCGTCTATACCTATCAGTGTGGAAAAAAAACAGTACAACCATCTTGAGAGTGTGGATGCAACAGAACAACCCAAACCCAATCCATAATTACACTCACACCCTCTGTATGCGCTCGCATTTAAAATAATTCATTTCTTGTTTAAAAAGTTAATTATTTCTCATTAAAAATTTCACAACAGTACAATTTATTATTTGTTTTTTTACAAGTTCGAGGTTATTTCTCCACTGTTGAAGATTTGGGTGATTCGAAGGTAATGATTGTTGTCCAATTTGTATAGCATGTTCATAAAATGTACGGGCTTTTGTGTATATACCCATGTTGTCATACACTGTACCAATATTGTTGTAGGAAGCAGCCAAATTAGGATGATTGGGAGGAAGTGATTGTTGTTGAATTTTAAGAGCTTTCTCATAAGATGAAAGTGCTTCTGAATTATTACCCATGTCGGCATGCACATTACCAATGTTGTTGTAGGACATAGCCAAATCAGGATGATTGGGAGGAAGTGATTGTTGACTGATTTCAAGATCTTTCTCATAATAAGAAAGTGCTTTCGAATAATTACTCATTCTGCAATGAACATTACCAATGTTGTTGTAAGAAGAAGCCAAATCAGGATGATTGGGGGGAAGGGATTGTCGTTGAATTTCAAGGGCTTTTTCAAAACAAAAAAGTGCTTGCGGATAATCACCCATCTCGGCATGCACATTACCAATATTAACAAAGGGTATAGCCAAATCACGATGATTGGGGGGAAGTGATTGCTGTTGAATTTCAAGGACTTTTTCAAAACAAAAAAGTGCTATCGGATAATTACTCATTTTGGAATGCGCATTACCAATGTTGTTGTAGAAATATACCAAATCAGGATGATTGGGAGGAAGTGATTGCTGTTGAATTTCAAGGGCTTCTTTAAAAGATGAAATTGCTTTCAAATAATTACCCATCTCAGCATGCATATTACCAATATTAACATAGGGTATAGCCAAATCACGATGATTGGGACGATGTGATTGTTGTTGAATTTCAAGGGCTTTTTCAAAATAGGAAAGTGCTTTCGGATAATCACCCATGCTGTTATGCACATTACCAATATTACTGTAGGAAATAGCCAAACTAGGATGATTGGGAGAAAGAGTTTTTTGATAGATATCAAGTGATTTTTCATAGAATGTAAGTGCCCCTTGATATTTACCTTGACTATATTTGATCGAACCAAGTTGAACATAAATAGGTGCCTTGTCCTTATCATCCTTTGTTTGATTAAATAAAACTTGATAAATATCTTCAGCTGTGTCAAATTCATCCATTTTACGTAATACCCTACCCAATCTGTACCATCCTTCAGAGTCTGGAAAGCTCTCTTTTCGAATGTAATCAGTGAGTCTGTTCAATTCCGGGTCGTTTTCGGCAGTAAGTGTCAAATAAACTGCATGTAAACGATTATTTTCACTCATCTGTTCAATATTCTCTATACGAAAAACGCTATGCAATGAAAATAAGACTTCTCCTTCTCTTTGAAACTTGCTAATACCAGCAATGGAAGCAAATGGTGTTGCTGATTGAGCAGGATTGATTTTCATGACAAAAAGTACACCGACTTGATCCGGATTTCTTGCAGCATCTTGAGCAAAATCTAGAGAAACTTTGCGAACTATACTAGCGGATAAGAAGTTGTTGAATGAAATAAGACCACCTTTGGTTTTCATCGTTTGTTCAAAATCTTCTGTAGATAAACCTTGACCACGATAAACAGTAAAGGTATTAGCAGCAGTTGTACCAGCATATTGTTCTCTGTGCAGTTGTTCAATTTGTCGATGCAAATCGCCAATGAAGAAACCCATACGTGTAATGGTATCACCATTCATCAACCGTAATGCACGATTGAGCATGGGGTACAAGAACATTTGACAGGTGTACCAATAAATGGGTGTTTTGCTGCGGTATTCACGTTCTAATCTTTGAATATTAACCATTTCTTCTTGGTTGTCGACAAAAGCATCGCGACAGTAATTAAGATAATCTTGTATATGTTTTTGTTCGAATTTGATGGTTAATAATATTTCTTTAAGCATTTGAGTGTACATAAAAGAAGGATCTAATTGTTCCAACTTTTCATTTGGTCCCACGAAACTCATGGGAATGGCATTCTGCTCACATTGATAAGCAGCTTTCTTGAGTGCTTCACACATAGGTGTAATGTCTGTGAAAACACCCTTTATTTTGGGCCAATCTTTAGTCCACTGTTCATGATATGTTTTATTGCCACTAAAAATAAATACTGAATCAACTTGAGACATATTGTGCACACGAGGCACAGTATGTTGTCCAAGTGATCCAGATATGATGATACAAACCTTTTTGTCGACGATTGTTTCAATAAACTCAAAGCATTGATCAGCATCTGTAAATGTGCTGATGTCATTCACAGCACATCGCAGTTTTGAAATTGTATTTTGGCAGTCGTCGTTGTTCTCGTTAATATTCTTGTCTAACCAGATCAGAAGAACATTTTGCATCTGTTGGATATTGATACGTCGACGACCTTTTGGAACTGTAGATGAATTTGTCGTTAATTTCCCTCTATTCATTGTTTGCTACGTGAATGATTTGAATTGGAGTTACTATATAAAATTTATTAGTGAAATAATGATGAAAAATGGTTCTTTTTTTATAGGTATCTACTTCCTTTTGAAATGTTTTATCTTTAGCTGTTTATGATATTATTATGAAAGACAACACATGGCGAAGGAAAAAACAAGTGGTGAAATATTGTCATGGTTCACTAACCATCGAAGTAACTTGCGAAAAATAAGTATTTTATTGACGCCGACGAAGAAAAAGCGTGTTGAGTCATGTTTGTTATTGAAGAATCCCAAGTAAAAAAAAGTATTTGTAATTGGTAGATATTGACTGAATTACACAAGTTGATAACATAATTCGTCATTGCGAATTAAACCCCCCCCCCCCCCATAATAAAAGACCCTCTCGTATTAAAAGACCCCCCCATAATAGAAGACCCCTTTGGAGCAAAAATCGGAAAAAACACCCTATAGGGGTAGGGGGATTTTTTCACAAAAAAAGCGCGATGTGCGAAACATAATAGAAGACCAGGGGGTCTTTTATTATGGGGGGGGGGGGGTTTAGTAGGCATGAAATTTAAAGAAATGTTTAAACTAGCTTTTAGCATTTTTCTTGCTGTATCCTGTCGACTGAAAGGTTGTATATAACCATTATGTAGATAATAACGACAAACTTGGAAAGAAAAGTGCATTTATCATTAACAAACGTAAAATAAATGAAATCAACAGAAAAGTGTTCATCATGTCTCTATCTTCTTTAGGTTTGGGCAGACTCTCTTGCGAATGTATATATGGGTGAGTGTAGGTTGATTGAAAAGATCACACTCCCGCCCTCATCTGGAATTGATTTGCTGATATTGCAAAAGATAGTCCTAAATGGAAGATTTGTTTATCATATACATACGTCTGTTCAGACAGAATAATCGTTCGTAAAAAGTCATGTCGCAGATATAAACTATGAACATCTCATTTGCTTTACTAATTTATTTTGATCAAAAGAACTCAATTAGGGTAGAGTTTTTTGAAACTATCTGACTTCTTCTACGAAACCTTGTCATTTATTAAAAAAACTAAGGCTCATCAAATATCTGATACTCATCGGTTCGACGGATTATTTAACTAAAAAAAATGCATGTAACTTATATTCGAATTGAAACTTATTCGTTACGAATCTTTAGAATCGTTAATGTGCTGTTCTTGTTATTTCTTATAATAGAAGGTATCATCTTCTTGTTTTGTATGTTTAACTTGAAAGACAAGCAGTATATGTGGATTATTTGGTACAGGACTAGTTTTATTCTAAGACTACTTCAACTAACGTGTAGGTGTAGGTGAAAAAAAATCGATTCTATAGATGAAATTCTTTTTGTACATTAAAATCAAACTCTTATGAAAATGTAATCATTTTACTTCGTAAATATGTGAACTCCATAGTGGGGCAATGGAGTTTTGAGATATAAGTTGAAATTATTTTTACCATTAAACGTGCTGATATCGTTGTATTCAAAAACCATTTTTAAGCTTGTATTAAAAAATAGAGATAAAGTTGAGAGTCGGTTGCAAGATTAACAAAGACTTTTTTAAGTTATTACTACCATATTCTCTTATATATACTGTTTTCTGTTTACAGCACTATCATTTTTATTCATATTAATCCTGCTAACGTTATATACTTTCATAGATAGGCAATAGTAGATATTAATAGACGTATTACTATAACATGTTGTTTTTATTTTGAAATAAAAAAACGAGAAAAAATATTTGTATGCTTGGGTCCTAGTTTCTATTATTCGTCTATGGTCAAGTCAAGTGGCGACGTACTTTAAGTTTTGGCATGATCGATATCTTCATTTATTTCACACGACTGACTTGCGTAGAGAAATACATTTTACTTTAACATTTAAAATAGAAAAAAATATTGTTTCATAGATAAATCAACATACTTTATCATTTAAATCTATCAAAACATCTATATAGCAAAAAATAAATTTTTTTACCCACACTCCATTGGTTTTTGCTAAAAAGCGATTGGACAATTGGAGACGTTACCTCGCTAGTATTGATCACTTTCAATAATAGTTTTACACTATGTAAAAAGTACAAATACTATATGAATAGTATTGTTCGTTATTTTCCTCTACAACAGCTTGATATATCTGAATTATCCTCATTTATAAACATAAGTTTGCAAAATTATATGTACAAGATTGACTAATATTGAGTAAATTAAAATCAACAAGACTGATAGATTTCTTGTAGTGTTGAATTTCGTCATGTCTGCTGCAGAGTACAGAAACCAGTAGGTTGTGATAAAGTTCGTTATTATTGCTAAGAATAAATGAGGTTTGTGCTATAGATCAAACATATAACAATGATCGAAAACGAAATTGAGCATATCTAAATCGTACACGTTTATTTGTTGAAAGAATTGCCAGTCATCATTTTTCACCTGTCATACCGTTAAAATCAACGCATCATTACATTCGTTTACACACGACTTATAGAATAACTTGTACAGATGTGCTTCACTTATTTCGTATACTTCTTTTTACATAATCAACGATATATAAACGTTTTATCAATTCGTTCACAGATTGATAAGTCATCAATAAGAATTTTATTAAAATCTGTATCATAAACGATGATACTAATTGAAAATAATGTTTTGCTTTTTCTTTTTGTTTTAAGATACCGATAAAGTTCAATTTCCTCTAATCTTTCTAAATAGTTATCTTCGATCGGAAACAAACTCATACTCTATGTTCATTTCCAATCGAGTGAACTAAGCCTGATGACGGCGGGCATCCTTTCACTTAAAAGCGTTTCCTGTGCTTATCAAACAAGTGCACACAAAGTAATTGATTTCTCTATACTCTTGACCTATACCGCAATCGCTCTTTTTTCTTTCTATTGTACTAATCATAATAGTAAATCTTTTTTTCCTCTTGTTCTACTAATCACATACATCTTCTTCTACTTCATAATTAGTTGAACAAACAAGATCAAAAAGATAATGAAAAATGAGAGCGTATCACACAGTGTTAAATTAAAAATTTGCTCCGCCTGATTATTATTCGATTTGAACAGATGTGTCTGGATATACAAGGACATAGGTAAAAATAATTCTTTAAATCATACCGACATACTGTCTATAGGAGTTCAAGTTCATTTTACTAAGACGATAATGAAGTAAAAATAAAAGAAAAGCTCTCGAAAATTAATTCGAACGTATAATGACATCGGACTACAGAGAGGTTTTTTTTTATTCATACATATAAACAATGTTCATGTTAAATATGAACTTTATTCAGGACGTGAATGTATATATATATATATATATGATAAGTAGAGATGAGCATATCACGCGATAGAAATGAATGTTTTCGATTTCAGAAAAATTTATTTAATCATGTATTATAAACGTGACAAAAAAAATGACTATTGTGATATATGTGCTATGTAAGTCTGTGTCATTCATCAGGTAGATGAAGATTGTACGATATGTGAAGAAGAGAGGAGAAGAAAAAAAGTGACCAATGATTTATCAACGAATTTTACTTCTACTTTTTTTTCTCTCTTTTTCGTTCGTTCTTTCGCTCACCTCTATTCAAACATATAAAACAGTCATCATCATCGACATTCATTATACACATTTTCTTGTCTTGATTTGTCTTCTTCATTTATCTTCAAAATGACACGAACTTCATCAAAAAAAGTAGATATGACAAAAATGGAATTGAAAAAATTAAAATCAATTCTACCAACATTAAAACAAAAACCAATATCAACACCGATTGAAATTGTTCTTGAAACAATTCGTTATATTCGACAATTAGAAGATCAATTAATCGATCGATTTCAATTGGATATATCTCAATCATCATCATCATTATCTGATATATCATTGAATTCTTCTTTAACATTATCAACTCCTTTACAAGATATTGGAAATAGTAACTAAAATTATTTCATACAGTTTTATATTATAATGTTGTATATGTTTGTTTTCTCTCTTTTCTAATACATTTATATTGAAAGACACAAAATTTTTGTTTTATTTGATTATAGTGGGAAAAAAATGTTACTTTGAACAATCCGACAGTTACATAAAAAATTTCTATCTGATTGTTCGTATGAGATGAAGGTGATGATTGTCACTCTATATAAATCGTATCTTATTTGCGATTTCTTTTCTTATGATTATAAAAATGAAACAATCTGTTGATATATGTAATCATCAAACACAAACGGAATATAATTACCGATTGAATTTAATTAAAAAAAAAAAGAAAAGAAATTGTATATACGTATATGAGAGCGGAACAAATACTTCTTTTTTTTCAATGAGTTCATTGTGATAATGTTTATGACACTTTACTACAAAGAAAGAATAATAACCATTTCGCTTGATTTATACAATAGAGATCGCTATTTTCCCACCGTTTCGCTCTACTTGATAGATATTTGAACAGCATGAAACTTGTATACATTCAGGTGTTAATCATCATTATTATAATATGTATGTATTGTATACCAGCATATTTCTCTATTCATTTCGTCTTAAGTTTATATATTGTCATGAGCTTTTTGTATTGAAAAGAGAGAAGTGAGATTGATCATTCTCCCATTCTCACCGTATTTAAAGAAGGTAAATGAGAATACTTGACGATGAAAATGAGTAATTTACAATCGATAGACGAAGTTGAAGTAACCAGTTATTGTTTAGTGATGGTAATGATCATGATGATCGGAAAAAGGAGGAGAATGAAATTCCAATAGAATTTTATTCATGATGGTATGTGACAAATGAAAACAAAACGAACGGATACACTTATACGAAATGACAATCAACTTGAATATGTTAATCGATAAAAAAAAGGTCATAGTTTAATTATATTTTAGCATGAAAATACATAGTTGGATAAATATTGTTAATGATTATTAGCATCGTTCTATATTGTCATTTGTCTATTGCTCAGTTTGAGCATAATAGGCGAAGTAACGGATATGCAATATGTAATAGACTATTGAAATGAATAGAATCAAAGTCATTTTTAATTGTCTATCAATTGGTTTATTGCTTAATATCGTTAGAAATCAATGTACTATTGATTTATTTCATGAATATTATACTCTTTAGTTTTTATCTTGAATATAAACATTAAAAAAAACGAAGAAAAAGAATAATTGTATTTTATTGTGTATTTGATGTATCATCTAAATTTGTAGTTGATGGTGGATTTGTATCTTTTTTATTCTTTTTTGATTTCTGTTGTTGATTATTAGCACTACCACCACGACCACATTTCAAACAATCGGTCATTAATTTCAAATGACCTGTTATAGGATCTAATTGATTATTTGTACCGAATAATCCAAGACATGTAATCGATCCACCAGCGATTTCTGTTCGACCAGCATCACGAATAATTGATGTAACAATACTTTTATTTATAGATGCACGTTGTTCAATTTCAAGTAATTCTTCAGCTGAATTTCCACGAACAACAATTTTTTTTTGACCAGAAATATTCCAGAACTGCAAAGCCATCATACGTCGATTAAGAATTTGTTGATATAAACCAATAGCACAATGTGCAACTTGTGCTGCAAGTTTTCCTGAACTCATAGGCAGTGAGCCATTAACAATAAATAACATTTTATAGGACATCATATTTTCATCAGTTGTATCACTATCTGTTGGTATTACATTCTGAAGAAAAAACAAATTATATCTACAATTTAGGTTAAATTAGTAGAAAATGTTATCAATGAATGTTCAAATTTAGTATTTTCGAATAAATATGTATCTAACCTACCGATTCGTAAGGTGTTTGAGTAACCTGTTCTACTCTAGCTCCGCTAATGGATGTCGCTGTCTCTCCGGGAAAGAAAGATGTTTCACCAAAAATAACAGCCAAAGCATCTTCCAAACTTCGATTATTAACACTTTTCAATGCCTGAAATGAAAATTTTTCTATCGCAAAAAACCAAAAAATGAAATTTACAAAAGAGAAAAACCTGTCGAGCATCATCTCGATGAATCCCCATTTCCATTAAACTCGTAAGATATTGTTCATTAACATCACTATTCGAATAAGATGATGATGAAGCACCTGCTATTGGAGGACCTCCTTCAGCCATAATAACTATTTAGTGAATCTGAAAAAATGACATCATCTTTCATTTATTTATTCGAATACGTTATTCTTGCTCAACTATGATGCAATCTCCGTTTCTTTTCATGACATCATTATCTTTCATACATTAAAATCAAAATAGTTTATCAAGTTATTATTAAAATTAGAGTACTTATAAATAGACAAACACACACATACTAAGTCGGCTTAGTTTAATAACACAAACAAGAATAGCAACCCATGAACTTCGGACTTTGAATATGTGCACGATAAAATATGGAATGATTATGAATAGAAAGGCAAAAAAAGCAAAAGAAAAAAAGAAACAATCACATTTTTTTGTATATGTTCAGATCTTTCGGAACGAAAAACAAAACCATTCATTTGGGCGGAGCTGCTGTGGATCGATACCGGGCCGATTTTGGTTTATCAACATTTAATGATGGACGTGGAATTTTCGATTGGAATGTTGTTGTTGTTGACGGTGTTGCTGATGTTGCTCCAGTAGCATTCAATGTTGGTGGAGGTGATGGTGCAACAACGACAGATGGTGAAATACCTCGTCTCATTACACCTGTACGATTTGTATTATTAACTTTTTGAGTAGAAACAATAACTGGTTTATTAGGTGTGGCTGCAGCTGTTGCATTAGCAAATACATTTGATAAACGTGGTCGGTGTGCTGATGCTGGCGATGCTGCTCCACCTATGTGTGGTCTAGATGATGGTAGTTTAGCAGTTACTGCGGAAGAAGTTTTTCTTGATGTTGTTGTTGGTGTTGGATTTGCCCTCGTAAATAGAGAATTTAATTTACGTGTAAATGTTGAACGTAATGTATCATTTGGTTGAGTATTTCCAGCAGTCGTAGTAGTAGTAGAAGGAGGAGGAAGAGGCGGAGGAGTAGCTGGTTGAGCAATAGATTGAGTTAAACTTTTTGAAGCGCGTCTTGACATAGTCGCAGCCCACTCTCGTACACTACTTTTTGTTGAATTCATACTAATTGTTGATGCCATTAATTGTTCATTGATATCCGCTGGAATAGGGTCTAGTTTATAAGTTAAACGAAATGCAAGCGGAGAAAGTTTTTCTAATTGACTCATAAGACGATCGAATAAATTAAACATTGGTGGTGTAGCCGTTAAAATCAGAGCATCAGATTTATAATAACGTGGTAAAATAAATTTTTGTTTCATGAAATGATAAAGCCAATTAATAAGTTCATTTTTACTAGAATAATAATAAGAGTGATAAGAATATAAGTTTGAAAATGTTTTCGCTTACTTTAATAATATATAAACAAATGCTTGAAATTTATATAGCCAATATGGTGAAATATTTTGAACAATATTTTTAGCTTCATGAAATGTATGAAGAGCTTGTCCTATTGTCAACACAAAAAAAGCAAGAAATTAAATTAAATTTTAGTTATTTATTTTTCTTCTAACCTTGTTCAATCACTGTTTCAATTATTTTCCATAATGTAATTTGTTTCGCTAGTGGAAGATCTTTTTGTTGTGGGTGAAGACCATGTTCAAGAAGATTTCGAAGAACTGTACACAAATCATCTTTAATTATACTATCCAATTGAGGATGATGTTCATTCGTAAGAAAAAATGCCTAAAAAAAAAGAAAGTAAATCAATCACTAGTTCGGTATTATTAAAATAAATACTGTGTCGGATATTTTTATTTCAAATATACGTTTTACAATACGATTTGTTCGTTCTAAAATACCTAAATGAAATAAATTTTGTTTTTAAAATAAATATTAAATCATCTTTTTAAAATTACCATCAAGAGCTGGATCATTTGTTTCAATTAATGTTACTGTAGATGCATTCATAATTACTGATTGTTCAGGCATTTTATTTTCTTTATCATTGGAAGATGTCATTTTTTCGATTGTTGCTTTCGATTCGTCAACAGTAGAAGTTATTGGCATAGGTTCATCAAGATTTGGTATAATATTTACATGAGTCCTTTCCATAATAGCTTGATCATCTTCATGTTCAGATGCAAGACTATCAGTTTCTTGAAAGCAAAATTCATTCGGTGGACTTTCAGTAAATGAATGTAAATGATGAATACGATCGACAACAATAATATCCGCTTAAAAATTATAATATTTGTTTGCTTTTAATTAATTCAAATAATATGAACTTACTTTGACATCGACGCATTTCACCGTAACGTGAAGTAATCTTTCTTGTTGACGTATCTTTATCTCCATGTAATGCCATAGCTAGTTCATCATTCATATTTGTATCAAAATCATTAACAAATATTTCTGGTGCTGGATCAAACTGAATTGCAGGATTACATGGTGAAATAAGCTGTTTCGCAATATTTTCTGAAAAGCTAACACTTTTCTTTGTTTGATTTTGTTGTAATGCTGTTAAGTCATGATCCGAACGATGTCCACGAGAATAATCTGGTAATACATAATTATTTAAATCATTTGATGAACCGGTAGTATGCATATCTGATGGCCATATATTATTCTGAGGATTTAATGCAGCATCAGCTTCTGAACAACGACGTTTTGATGAAGGAGACAATGATTCCTAAATAAAAAATAACAATTCGTATGAGAAAATGTATAAATTTCTTCTCACTGTGTTAATTATTGGTTCAGGTATAGATAATACTGGTGCTGGTGATCTTCTATCTTGTAACATAGCTTGAATATCACATGAATTTGCTCTTGATCCATATTTAAGACAAGATTTAAGAGCTGAATTTTGCTGTTGTCTTGTTGGATATGAAGATGGTGGTGGTAGTTTCATTTTAATTATTGTACGTTCTTCATTCGATCCATTATTAATAACTGCTGAAGCTGGTACAGCAGCAAATGTCTTACGTAATTGTGGACTATAGAAAACTCCCAAAGGTTCTGTTGAATGTTTACTGTTTTTATAACGTTTAATAGCTTTAAGTGTACGTGGTCGTTCAGAGTCTTGCATTTGTTGTTGTTGTTGATTTGTCATTGACGAAGATGCTGTATTAGTTGAATTCATAGAAGATGATGGTGGTAATGGTGATGTCGTACGAGATCGAGGTAATTCTTTTGAGTATTGAGAAATAAAGGCAAGATCAGGAAGAGATTTATGAATTGTAGATGAAGAATTTGGTAATGGTGATGGATGTGAAGGAACAGTAAGATGACGAGAATGAGTATCTGTTGATAATTGATCATATGATTCAGATTTAGGTGCTATAAAAATAAAATATTAATCGAAAAAAAACAAAATCAATGATTATATTTTACTCATTGTTGATGATGGTTGAAAACGACTGTTCATTTGACTGTTCATTGAAGAATCTAAGAAAATAGATGTTTGTATAGCTTGATCTGTACTTGAATTTGTTCGTGATGATGGTCGATCAACACGTAATGGTGGTTTTTGTTGAGAAGAAGAAGAAGAAGATTTCGATTTTTCTGATAGAATTTTTTCATCTGATACTGTCATATTATCCATATCATTAGGAACAATTGAATCACTTTGTTGTCGGTAAATTTGAAATGCACTACGTGATGAAGCTGCTGATGAGGATGATGCAGCTGTTTGTGATTTTTGTTGAAAAATTTTATAAAGACTTAATGGTGATTGCGGTCGAGTTTCTTTTGTTTCAATACCGGATGTTGTTCGTTGACTTTCTTTCATACGTTTCCATGATGCGGATGATGATGATGATGTTGTAGATGAATTTGGAGAAGTATTATTATTATTATTAACTGGTATTTGTTGTTGAGGAGAAAATGATAATGGATGAGATTGTGAACGATTAAATGTTGCATGTTGATGATCTCCTGTTGCTGATGATGATTTATTATCATCTTGTGATATCGAATGTTCTAATACATTTAATGAGGAACGCATTGACCAATCATTCATATTATTTGTTAAACTTGGATTTAAACCATCATCAGAATAAGTTGAATTTGCTTGTGAACTAAATAAATCAAAAGAAAGATAAATTTATTTCGTTTTAATAGGAAGTTTTCAAATTTACTCAGTTGTTCGATATTTATGTTGTTGTTGATGGTGACGATGATGATGGTGATGATGATGTCTATGTTTATGAGGTTTATTAGATTTCGGATCAATATGATGTGGTTTATCAGTGCTAAATGTTAAACGATAGTTTGCACGTGCATCATATTGATCATCCCATGTAAAACCACCTTCTTGATCCATTAATAAACTTTGATCAACTGGTGGTGTTTGTTGTTTTTTATAATCATCATTTTCAAATATATCACGTTGATTAAATAAACTGTCCATAGATAAATTTTCATTATTAAGACCAGGTATATTAGTATTTGTTAATGAAATACTCTTGAGTAGAAAATTATCATCTGAGACATCATCAATACCCATTGCATTTGCTGAAACGGCTGTAAACGATTTTGTTATAAGTTCTTGTCGATTACGATTACTTAGTATATCTTCAAAATTATCTAAATCAAGTGTTTGTTTTTCAAGATTTCTAATAAGTTGTTCAACATTTTCCAGATGAGCAGATGAAGTAAGTAGTAATGGATTAATCGATGAATCATCCATGATTTAATTTATTACTGTTATGTAATTTTTTTTCTAATCGGATGATTGTTCGGAATGGCAAAATGGAATGTCATGAAAAGAATAGAGACCACGGGTCTAAAACAAAAAGAATTTAATCAAAATAATATTCAGTTCTATTATATGAGGAAAAAAAAATAAATTCATTTCTTTAGCACATTCACAGGATACTAAATAAAAAAAGAAAAGTAAGAATAATAATAATTTCAAAATATTTTTCTTAATATAAATAACATACAATACACAATGTCAAACAAAAGAATATATTTCTCAAAGATAAACAAAAATAATTAATTAAAATCAATTAAATTCGATCCATTTGTATCTGATGGAGGAGGATGAGGATAGACATTATTTGTTGAGGATACTAATGGATCAAAATCTGACGATAATGATGAGCTATAAACTGGTTCAATTAGTTGAGTAGATTTAAAATTTGTTCCAAAATTTGATTGAATATTTTTGAGAACGTTATTTACACGATTACTCGGAATTGTTTCATTGAGTGATGGATGTCGATCGGATATATTTATATCTGAACGAAATAAAACTGTATTTGCTTGATCAAATGGATCAAATTGTTGAACAAGTTGTTTAATTTCTTGTTGTTCTTCGGTATATTCATCACGCGGATCAATACGTTTATTATCAAACGTTTGAATTTTATTTTGTAATTCATTTTGTAAGTGTTTAATTTTTGAATCGATTTGTGGAGATTGTCGAAAGCTTTCGAGAATTAACGGCTTTTCAATAACTTCTAAGATAATCGGAGATGGTAATAATAAATTCTAAAGAAAATAGAATGTATTTAGAAAAAAAAGTTTCAATAATACTTCATCAGTATCGAAATTGATTAGAGAATTGGTTTTACACTGTTCGAAATCAGGCGTTGAAGACCGAGACGATGAAGATGCTAAGTTATCTGCTCCAGTTAACTAGAGAAATGTTAATTTAAATTATATAAAAGGTTTTTTTGATATTTTACTTGAGGAATTGCTAAATGATTTGATTCAATCTAAATGACAAAATCTTGAGAAATTAAAACTAAAATATTTCAACTTACTGGATCACTAATCTTTCGTTTAGTAGTATCATGTATCTAGTAAAAAATATTCATATTTATTATTTCTAAAAAGCTAATTATCATAAAACTTACATCGAGTGATGTTAGATTAGTCTTTACTGCTGATGCTTCATTCACAACTTTTTGTCCAGCTTTGTTAATCTATAGAACTTAATAAAGTTATGTTTTCATTGAAAGATTATCACTTACAGCAAGGTGTAATTTTTCAGCTTTATTTTGTACTTGCTCAATAAGAGGATTAGTTGCCTAAAGAGAAAAAAATTGTTGGTTTTAATTATTGAAGCGACATGAGCAATTAGCAAGAGCGAATTAGATATTAAAGCATTTTATGTGTACTACCTTATCTCTTTCATTGATTAATACTTTTTGATTTTGATAATAAATATTCTGAGTATTTGTTGTAGTGTCTTTTATATGCTAGAAAACTCACTCAGTATAAATACTTTGAATAATTTCAGTAGGAAATATTTATTTGAAGAAAATAGATTACTTACTTTTTCTAGAATTTGATAGATTCTTTTGTTGCTTTTTGTCTAAAATAGAAAGAATGTATTTACATATTACAGTCGAATATTTTTGATGAGAATACTATCAGAATTATTTCAACGAATCTATTGTCGATGACGTAAGACGAATATCTATAAAGCTACAGTATTCATCAATTGAAAGAAGTACAATTGGATACCTAATATCTGAATAAAATTTTGTTTTTTGATTATCGATTTAGATACCTCGGATACTTAATTCAAGATAAATCTAAAGTTCCTGTATCTAAGTTAAAGGTCAGAAAGAGAAACTTGTCTAAATGGCATGTTATTTATGTATTTTACCAAGATACTTCGTTTTGAAAAGGTTTCATGATGCATATTAGTGCTCTTCTCGAGATATTCGCTTCACGTTGATCCTTATTTCATTCTGGCATTGACTATAGTACTGAGAATGAAGAATTTTTACTAAAAGGTTTTTTTCAAATTAAATATTTAATTTCTTTTTTATAAAATCATTTACTTCTTCATCGGTAAAGCAATCAAATCATATGAACAATGCACGTGTAATGCCTAGGGGATAACTGATAGAGAATAAAGGTCATAAAAATCATTCCATATACGTTCGTATTCAAGAGGTTATATTAACACGAGACATTCAAAGGAAAAATTATACTATAACTATATCGAGTGATCCTAATTCAAATTTTCTAAGTATTTTATATTTAAATCTATTATTATTAAACAAATATTAACTCATTCTCATGTTCACTTTTGCTTAATGTATTAAGTGAATTGTCCAAAAGTAGATCTCCTTTGACATGACTCACTTTTTTCGTTTGATCAATCTGTTTTACTTCGAGTTCAAATTCATCAATCTCAATATCACGTTCAAGTTGCGCATAAGTCCGGTATCTAGAAAACTTTAATTAACAAAATAAAACTTCAAATTTCTTTTTCATTCATAGATTTACCTGTTCAAACATTTGTGTATTAACAATAGAAGACATAAATGGGTATATATCAGATCCAACATATTGCTTCAAATAAACATCTCTATCAAAATCTAATTTATTATTTTTAATAACAAATCCACTTCCATAATTTCCTAAAACAAGAAAATAAAAATTTTATTAATAAAATATTTTTTTCTTCTTCTCCTACCAATAATCAATGCCATAGTTCGAAGAAAAACTCTTGCAAAATGATCTCCACCTAATTGTAATGACTGTTGAAGATCTTTTTTCATTTGACGTATGAGATTTTTCGGAAATAAATTCAGATCATTATATTGAGATTCAACTGTTCGTGTATCAATATTTATTACAACTACATCACCTAATTCACTTTTATTTAAATTCGAATAAATACTTGAATGTAATCCAATTATATACGGTGCTGAACATTGTGGTGTGTTTGCCATAGATTCAGGAAGAATTGGTACAAAAATATTTTGCCTTAATTAAAATAGATATGAAATTTTATTACTAAAAAAATATTTTTCTTACCAATGCATTGGATTTATTAAACATAAACATCCACAAGCACATGCTAAGAATAGATAAATTTTTAGAAATAAATTCTCGTTATTTATTATTAAACTAACCAGTTAAATGAAAGAGTTTGGATGATATAAATAAGATTCGTCGTTCAAATAATAAATATGCAAATAAATGTAACATTATATCTGGACCCAAACGAGAAAACATGACTGAAAAATTGCGCTAAATAATAAATAAATTTTTGTTTATAAAATAATTTTATTTAAAATAAATACATTAGATAACATTGAAGGTAATTTATCCAGATCAGGTCGCATGTAATAATAAGTCTAGATAAATTCAATAATAAAAGAAAAAATAGAAATTTTAAATACTTTTGAAGGAATATGTATTTCAATTCGTTCTTTTCCAGAATTTTTCTGAAATTCTTCATTTGACAAGACTTTATAATTATATAGTGACGATAGAAATGCTTCAACTTCTGTAGCCTTCAAAAAAAAATAAAGTAAACAATAAGTAAATATAGCTATAAAAACATACTGATTTCGAATTGATGATTTGTGATAAATCATTAAGAACATTATAGAATATTTCATACCATGGGTAATAACTATCAACAAAAACTATTGAAAATCTCTGTAGAGAATTAATTAATATTGATACCTGATTATACATAAACAAGTTGATTCTCGACTAGAGCGACGACAATAACCAAAACGAAATATTGCGCCTGTTGAATCAAGAACAACAAATGTAAAATGTTCGCTTTGATCATCTCTAAATAAAAATTCTTTATTTAAAATTTCAAAATGAAAGCATTTTTCCTACAGTGGCATTTGGCATGGATATGCAAAATTAGCTGCTGTTTTAAGTATCTGATCTGAGAAATCATCTGGATATTTGATTAAAATTTCCGGAGCTGAAAACAAAAGTTTTATTTAAATATTAATAACCAAAAAATACGTACGTTCTTTATTGATCGGTTGTTGAATTTCAAGAAAAACTTCGAACGAATTATCAGGTGATTGTCTGAATAAATTAAAATAATAAGAATGAAAATATAACATATTCAATATATTACTTAATACGAGATTCAATTTCTTTGTTTACAAAATTCGACGCCATTTACAAGAGTAATAGCATTGACTAATACTAACAATGATTGATAGTTCAGGTATATTTTACCTGTTGTCGTTTAATTTCCATGATAAGTCACATACCTTTCTCTGGCAAAACAAGAATTCCTATTGGATAATCGTTGAAAACCAATAGAAAATTAGTTTGAAAGACACTCTAAAAAAATGAATAATTTATTAAAATAAATATTTCTTTTGATAAATTTTCAATTTGAAAAAATATTTTTTAAAATTATATAAAATGTTATTTTGACATGATGAAGATGAATCATTAAAAGAATTTAACTATGGCGAATACACTTCTAGACAACATACATTAGCTGTGTGTATGAAATAAACCTTTACACGTAGTCCTTGAATTGCTCTGTAGATAAAAGAAAGAAAAAAAGTTATTCAAAAATTCGGAATAATATCATCAAATTGTTTTTTTTTTTGATAAACTGATATAATTATCTTTTGGAGACGTAATGAGTTTTTGATAAATATCAAAAAGTAATTTTACAATTGGACATAAAGCATATTTTGAGGTAATTAAAGGTAACGTGAGAATTATTGATGCAGAAAAAACTGATTAAAACTACGCATAAAGGGAAAATCATGATATTTATACAATTAAACGATTGAAAAACATAAGATTCTATGACGTTTTATTTTTTAAATCTTTTACAGAAATATTTCAGACTTTTATCGTTTATTGTCGAATTTGATTTTTAAAAAAACTGATAAAATCGATAAAGATATCGCCTTGATTTTATCATGTTATCAAAATAACTGACATGTTTTTGTAGTTCAGATCAATGTATTGATTAAAAATAAAAATATTCCTGTTGACTTTAAAATACAAATTATTTTACTTGTCAAACCTATCGATAAAATCAAGAGAATATATGTTTCTCGTACGAATAAATAAAGGAATAAGTTTTGATAATAATATGATCATCGCTTACGTATTTGATGGTATATAAAACAAAATATTCATTGATTTAATGCATGGAAAAGTCTTCAAAACACAAAATATCAATCGTTATATATGAGATTCGCATCGATAGATCGAAAGTTTATATACGAAATTATGTCACGTGATAGATAAGATAGTTTGTAAAAGCTAAGGAATACCAATACAGGTATTGATAACTATATCGTACTCGACAATTTTCTTACTATTAGTATCAAACATTATGCCTGTACTGGCATTTTTGAAGGAGTTACACAAAATAAAGTGAAGATCGGTAGTAGAATGTGTAAATATATCGAACTAACAATCATCTTTAAAACGTTTTTTAAAATTCGAATCTATGATTATTACTTATAATAAACGCGTAATTTAATCATGGATAACTTGACAACTTTATGATATGATACATCATTTCATAGAAAAACTAATAAATGCCTGTCTTGTACATAAAACATATCGTTACAGTTGATTATTTGAACAAAAAATCAGTATTTTGTTTTTCGAAAAAATATTTTACTTAAGTGTTATACTTGACCAACTATATAATATAGGATTTCACGTTATAGATAGTCTTTTGGGAAAGAAGTAACTTAATAAATTAATATAACAACCAACGATAAGCAGAAATATGAATAATCTGGTTTAACTTTCTATAATAAATATTATTCATTTGTAATCGTAGTACATAAATCCGATTACTTTTCCTCAGTGAAGCATCTCGAACTGCGGTGATTATTGTTTATTTTGCAAATTTTTTTTTCTATAAGTTATCATAATAAATTCATTTAGTTCGTATCTGACATAAGTCGTTTCTTTTCTTGTGTACATATTTGATGTAAATGTATTACAAATGAAAATTTAAATATAGATAAGAAGTTTAGCTAGAATTTCATATAGACCAATGTGTCTTTTTATGATTTATTAAATCTAATTTTTAGAAATCATCAAAAGTAAAATCCATTTTTCATACTGTTGTACAAACATAATGTTAAATAAAAATGCGTAGCATGAATTAGAACAAAACAAAATATTTATTGACAAAACTCAGAAATAAAAGCTATTGAAAAATAACATATTATCGGCTGTACCACATAAGGAAACAGTCCGGATGCTTCCTAATGTGAAGCATTTTACAAGCATTAGGAAACAGGAGATCTATGTCATTTAAAATCTCACGTATTAAAAGCAAAGACTTCATCGAGACGATTTGTGAAGCACATGAGTTCGATATATACGATCAGTTTAAACAAGAATTAACGCACAAATTGTTAGAATCGTTAAGTTTGTGACGAAAAAAATTGACAACATTATATTGAATTGGTATTACTTGCTATGAATGTCGATATTTATAGTATTCAAGCATTTTAGATTTAATAATCTCTTTTACTATACTTCGAACATCATATCATGTAATATTTATTAGAATAAAATACCTATTTCATACATGATTCTCTATGGGTTTTTTTTAATCTCTTCTATCTTAAATATATAATCCCTTTTCATAAAAAGAAACACATGAAAGTATTTATTGAATGACATGAGACATTCAAATAACACTAGAATAAAATAAAAAGCCTAAAATACTACTATATTCAATGGTACATATATATTCTTTGCATCCATGAAATAGAATAATCAATTGAATCATTCAACATTTGATTTCACGTTTATTTCTTTACATATTAATATTTAATATCGTTTTAAATCATCATTAATTTGTACGAAATCTTACTGATCCTGTTACAAACGGTACTATATAATATTGAACAATGATATTCACAGTTGAATACAACTCTCATTTCATCCATGAACATCATCACAGTATATAACTGATAGAAGAAGAAAAAAAAGAAAATCTGTTTAACAGGAAATATAATTTTCAATAAATACATTTGATTGATTGTCATTAATAGCACCGGATAGATGAATGAATAAATGTCTTCTAAGTCTCTCTTGAGAAATAATTTTTATTTCTTTGATTTCATCCGCTATCATACCTTTAATAACGATAATGACAAGACAAAATGACAAAGAAAATCTATATATTTATAAATAGATATATGCTTGAATATTTTCTCAATTAACACTACTGTCATATTATATTCTCAGGTGATTAGAAATTTCTCTTTTTTTTTTTTTTTTGTTCATTCATCATCATTCAATATTTCCATCTTATGTGACAACTTCATTATATTATTATATTGAGACAAACATACACACACACACACACACCAGATGTAATCAATAGAAAAAAATATACTTGAGTCTTATAGAGAACAAAATACAAAGTCATTAGACGCAAATGAAGCATAGTTGATCTAATACACAAAATTGATGACGTGTCAAAAGAGAAGAAAAAAATATTTTTTGTTTACCAATAAACCTGTTGCTGTTGTCCATGAGTATCACTGAAAAAAGCTAATTTTCGTATAAAATCCAAATCATTTGTATAGAGTAAATGTTGTAATGTTGAACTGTTTGTTTCTGATGATGGTGGTGATGATGGTGGTGATGTTGACGATGATGTTGATGATATAAAACTTGTATTTGTATTTGTATCATTACCAAGAAGATTATCAATAAAAAATGAATTTTTTATTTGTTGAGATTTATTTGGTGATGATGATGGAGTATTAACAAGAGTAGTTGTTTTTATTGCTTTTTTTTCTTCTTGGGCTTTTTTTTGTAATAATTTAAAACGTTTTCGTCGTCGTAAATAACTTCCATTTTCAAACATATCACCACATCTAAATATAATCTTATAATTAAATATTCATATTCATTTCTAGATGTAATTGAATCTTTCGTTTTTTAATTGTAGCAATTATCAATAAGCTATATATCTCATTGATATAAAAAAAAGATCAAACGATATTGTATTTTCAAGTGAAAACAGATATGCTAATTTATCAAGTGTTTGATAAGATATGACGGCTTCTGTTACATGAAATGATTTTTATTGTTCTACTTACTTGCTGTGTAATGCCCAGAAATTGCCTTTACCAGGTCGATCCATACGACGTGGAATTTTAATAAAACAATCATTAAAAGATAAATTATGTCTTAATGAATTTTGCCATTTTTGTGTATTTGTTCGATAATATGGAAATCGATCAGTAATAAACTAAACGAAAAATTTTTTATGAAATTAAAAAATTTGTATATATATGTATTGTACTTTATAAATGTCACTAAGTGGTAACATCTTTTCTGGACTTTGTTGAATCGCCATTGCTGTTAAAGCAATATATGAATCTAAATATATAGAATTATTTCGAAAAAAAAACAAATTAATTAACATTGATTTTACTAACATGGAGGTTTTTCATCTGAATAAGAAGATTTGCCGGGTCGTGGCATTGTATGATGTGTTAAAAGCAAATAGACTTATCAACACATTGAATAGTAACACCTGTAAACGTAAATTTGATTGGCGGTGATAATATAGATTTTTTTCTCACTTATTTTAACCAATCGTAATACACACACACATATATATATATACTCTTTCATTCATCAATTTGCTTGTTCGCTCTTTCTCTCTTTCTCCATTTCAATCAATAACACTAACACACATATAAATATATATATATATGCATACATCTCATCAATGAGTAATTTTTATATTAGACTCCCTCATGAGTATTGTAGACTTTTCACCTGTTGTGTGCTTATGTACAAGACATTTCTTTTTTCTCTCTCTCTCTCTTCCATTTATATTCATATTCATTGATCCCTAATGTATAAAAGAGAAAGCTCATTTCGAACGATCAAATTAAAAAAAGTCAGTCAAGAACAATATAATATAAAAGATATTTGAACAATAAAATTGTTGTAATAACAGTAAGATGAGAGAAGAAATATGAATACATTCTTAACTCTTCCGGATGAATGAATAAATAAAATATAAATCTTGAGAAATAATATTTTTTTATGCCTGCTGGGATCAAAAAGATTTATGTGTAGAAGATGATTGATAGAGAAACATAACTTAAGTAAATTGCTTGTCATTAGTGAACAAACATGCTATTAAACATTTTTTTTATTTTTCGTTTGACAATTAATTGTTCGAAAGAAAATAACAAATTGTTTGTTAATTCAATGTATACGATATTGAGTTAATATTTCGATCAACTGAAGGTATGTAGGATGAATATTTAGGGGGGGGGGGGCGATCGCCTCCCTCTTTAGAAGATTTTTTACAGCGAAAAATAGGTTCACACTACTTCGATTGGATTCAAAAAATAGTTTTTAGCCAAGATCGCCCCTCCGCCACTGTGAATATTAGAAACAAGTTATTAATTAGGATCATTATTTCTAGTGCCAGTAGTATCGTATAAATTGATTATACAGTACGAATCTTTTTATTTTTTTAAAATTTAATAATTGAATTTATATAGGAAAATAAATATTTTTTATTTACAATAATAATATTAAATTATGTTGAATAAGAGGAGCAAAATAAGAACCAAAATCTTCATAGAGTTTCTTTTCATTTGTTTCCTTATCATTATAAACTGAGCGATAAGCAATGGTAACATATTTCTTTACAAAATAGAAAAAGTATTTCGAAATATTAACAATAAAGATAACTTACAACAACAGTTTCTGTTATTTTTTGTGATAATTCAATATCTGATATTGATTGAATTTGTTCACCTAATTGTTTAATAAGAGGAAAGACAATTTGAATAATAACCTAAATAGAATCCATGGTAATTCCTTATTTAACAGAAATGCCATTCAGTTTACTTTATGACTCATTTCACAAAGACCAATAAAAGCTCCATATCGTGTTGGCCATGTATAGTCTTCATTGTTTTTACTTAAAATTCGATAGAAAACATCGATTGTACGTTGTTGTAAACAATTTATTGCCGTTGCATATTTCCTATAGAAAAAACAGTGAAATAAATTCTTTGTATTATAAACTTTCATTCAAACCGAATGATTTGTTTACAACATTTTGCAGCAAGATCTCGTAATGACCAATGATCACGTGATATTCTTCGTTCAAGTAAACAAGAAAGTATCGCTGGTAATAAATAATGTAACTAATAAAATCAAAATTATTATTTTATTTCTATATTTATTAATATCGATCTTACATATCGTTCTAAATAAAGTTCTTCATTTTGTAATAAAGCATCGCTCATTTGCATTAAATATTTCAAAATAATTGATCGATCAAATGTTGATGTTGGTGTTAAATTTACACGTACTCCTTCGGATATGAAAAGAACAAGACGTGAAAGAATTTGTTGAAGACTATTATCTGCTGAAAGAATTAGTAATGCTTGCTAAAATAAAAATTAAAATATTGAAAATTAAAATATAAATTATACTTTTCGTTTTTGTTCATTTGGACATATACACATTTCTGTTAATTCTTTGTAATAAATTTGTTGTTCCTAAAGATAAAAAAAGCAATTTTTCAATGTTTTAAAAACTTTTTCATTTACTTTTGATATAATATGAGATGTTTTATTTAGTTTCTTCTTTAAAACTGTAGAACGAATTGGTATATCGATAATAGGATTTTCATTTATTTCCGGTTGTTTACCATTTACTGCTAACCAATGTACTAGAACAATAAATAAATCATGTTTTTCTTTGTGTAGAAAAAAGAATCTTGTTACTCTACTTCGAATACTTATATCTAAAGGTATTTTTGATTGAGGTATAATTAATTCATCAACTTGAACAATATTATCAGTAATATGATATAAAATTCGATTATCTTTTTTTATTTTATGAAATAATAAACGTTCAATACTCGATGTTGTATAACCACCATACATAGGCTTTAACAAAATATATAAACTATATTCGAAAATAAAATATAGATTTACTTCTAAATGATTTAATTTCAATGCAAATGCAAAATCTTCTGTTGTTAAATCATTTCGTCGACATTTTCTTAAGACTTTACACGCATCCTTAAAGTAAAATTCTTTCGAGATTATTTTTTATATTTATTTCAGTTTTTTTACTTGTAAAAGATTAGAAATAGTTGCACTTATTTGCAGAGTTAAATACACAAGAGATTCATCGCATAAATATCGACAATCACTCAGTTTTTCAGCGAGATATTCAATAGATTCAACTGAAAATTGGATAGTCATCTAAAATAAATCTAATTATTACATAAGTTGTTAACTACAAAATAGTAAAGAAATCATTTCATTCAAATGATTGGTTCATGTAGAATACCGTTATGGAAAGAGAGAAAAGTTAAATCTTAGTCATTACAGAATGAATAATAGTTAAAAACTCTTAATTGATTTATTATTGAGATAAAACTATATATTTTTTGTTTTGTATCAAACATAATATCTAATATATTTTAATGATGGGTATTGTTTCCTTCAATAAAATGTATCAAAATATATACAACAGAGAGAGATCTCTAGTATGCGTTCCCAATTTCTATCTGTTTTATTCTTTTTTTTTCCATTAAGTTTATTGTTTCATAAATAAGGTTCACATTTACAAAGAAGATAATAAAAGGATGATAACAATCATATACTTTTCCATTCGTGATAATGGAAAAAGAGACTGTCGTCTGCTGGAGACACCTGTCATTTGTTTTTTAAACGACCTTTGGGCGGTTGATTTCTTGTTAGTATCCAGGTTATCAAAGCATTTCTGTTCACTATAGAAAGAAAGAGATAAATAAAATAAAAATAGAGAGAAAGGGAATTATATATATTAGTTTAATCTTTGTTTATTTCATTTCTTTGTTTTAAGTAGTCTATCTATTTTATTCCAGCCAGTCTACAATTCACGGTTATTACGACGTGTAGACTTTATTATTCGTTGTACCCAGTGTTCTTCAGTTCGCATGCCGTCTATATATAGTCTTACATACGCATTTATTACTCTTTATTTAATAGATTTTTAAAAAAGTATTATGTCACATTCAAACGTTACTAAAGAAATGTCTGGCGCTGATGTCAACTCCGAAGGCAAACCATATCATGGTAAAATAAGTTATTTTATGGTTAATTAAAAATATCTTTTAATACAATATCTAGAGCATGGTGATAAGATCGAAAAGAAGAAACATGAAGTAAGTCATGATCCTGATGCAAAATATCCAGCACCACATCATGGTCATGATAATCAGGTTTGATACATTTATTTAACATAAATAAGTTTAATCTGTTTGTATGTTTTTCTTTGTTGTAGTTTCACAAAGTCAGTAGAATGGTCAAACAATTTGATTTATAATATATATATATGTATTCTAGGATTTAAAAGGTAGCATTGGTAGTGGATCAGCAATTGAAAAAGGCGATCGAAAGTAAGAAGAATTTCTATGAATAAAAACGAAGTTTATATATTTTTTTTGTATTTAGAGCTGATAAAGAAACTTCATAAAATATTTCACAACTGAACATATATCTTATTACTCAAGCATTTTTTCGTGATTGGTGTTTTTATTACTATTTTTTCTTTTTTTTGTTCATTTAATTTAACAAGCGGTTTTACCGATAATAAATTGTTATGTATGAACATCAGAAAGCTTCTTATTTATAAGATTTTCAACAAACTATGGACCTTATAAAGGGTGTGGGTGTGGGTATGAGTTGAGGGCAGCGCTTGCACCCATCCTAGTTACCCTCTAGAATGAATAATAGTTAGAAATTCTTGATTGATGTATTATTGAGATAAAGCTATATATTGCATCTTTGATTATATTATTTTTGAAATTTATTGTTTTGTATCCAACACAATATCTAATATATTTTAATGATAGATATTGTTTACTTTCGAAAAATGTATCAAAATATGTACAGTAGAAAGAGAGGTCTCTAGTACGCGTTCCCAGCCTCTATCTGTTTTATTCTCGCCAATCAACAATTCACGTTTATTATAACGTGTATATTTTATTTTTCCTTGCACTCAATGTCCTTCAGTTCGAATGCCTTCTATATATAGTCTTACATACGCATTTTAACGCTTTCATTACTCTGTCTTTAATAGATTTTAAAAAGTATTATATCAAATTCTAACGTTACTATAGAAATGTCAGGCGTTGATCTTAACTCTGAAGGCAAACCATATCACGGTAAAATAAGTTATGTTATAGTTAATTAATAATATTTTTTAATACAATCTTTAGAACATGGTGATAAGATAGAAAAGAAGAAACATGAACCATCTGAACATCCTGAAGCAAAAGATATTACACCACACCATGGTCATGACAATCAGGTTTGATACATTTATTTAGCGTAGATACATTTAATTTATTTGTATATTTTTCTTTGTTGTAGTTTCACAAGGTTAGTAGTATGGCGAAACAATTTGATTTGTAAAATATATATTTATTTTAGGATATAAAAGGTAGCGTTGGTAGTGGATCAAGTGAACGAGGTGATCGAAAGTAAGGAGAATTTCTATGAATAAAAATGAAGTTTATATTCTTTTTTGTGTTTAGAGCTGATAAGGAAGCTTCATAAAATATTTCATAACTGAACATATATCTTATTACTCAAGCATATTCTCGTGGTTGTTTTTTTTTGTTATTATTTCTTTTTTTGTTTTTGCTCATTTAATTTAACAAGCGGATTTACCGATAATAAATTGTTATTTAAAAGATGTTCAACAAACTATAGACTTTATAAATAGGGAATGGTACAGACATTGAAAGATCTTGTAGTAATCATAAAATATTTATTATTAAAATGAAATGGATTTATAAAGAAAAAAAATGTATTACATTGAATATACACTACACATATATCACAAAAGCTATGATTGAAAAAAAGACATATAATATGAAACTTTTATTTCTTGAATTTATTATTCCCAAAAAGCTTGATATTCATATTCACCGGATCCAATTTGTACGGTCATTAAACCAGTTTGTGCATCATGTGAAACAGTATTATCTTTATTAGTAATTGACCACATAACTTTATTACTTTCAGTTAATAATACACATTTTGCATTAGGAAATAATGGTTCAAAAACGACATGAGCTTTTGCATTTGTTGGTATTGAAACTCGTAGTAAAATTGAATTGGCAAATGTATTACGTTCATCACGTGTATATGAAACATGAACAAGACCATATAATGTATTTAATTGACAATCAATTTTTGATAAAAGATGTTTTTTATCTTCTGATACCATTCGTGGATGAATAACAATTAAATCTGATTGAAAATCAATACCAGCTAAATGAGAGTAAAACCATGCGCCAATACTTGCAAACATATGATGATTTCGTGAATTCATTCCTGGACCTTCCATTGGTGCATCCCATAATTCCCACATAGTTGTAGCATTTTCATATGGATTATTAAACATATAACCATATGATGGATATGTTGTAGACGAAACTAATTGAACGGCTAAATTATGTTGACCATTATCAGATAAAAGTGGAAAAAGTTGTGCAGTAGAAACAATGCCTGTTGATGTATGATTTCCTTTTGCATTTATATCTTGAAGTAAATGTTGAAAAACAGAATCTCTTGCACTTGCTGGAACAACATTAGGTAAAGCTAATGCAAGAATTTGTGCTGCTTGCATACCATCAGCATAATAACCACCTGATGGTGTGAAAAATACACGATGAAATTCTTCTGCTAATTGTGTATAAAATCCTGTATATGCTTGTGTATCATTTGTAAAACCGATAATTTGTGACATATTGATTAGTAATGAAACATCATGCATAAATGCAAATGATGCAATAAGATAAACATTTGTCATTGGTTGTGGTGGTGGTGGAACCCAATCACCATAATGATAAGCTAATTTAGCTAAACCTGTATTTTTGTATCCAGCACGAAGTGCTTCAACATATGCACGAATAGATGAGTAATGATCACGAAGAATTTGTTCATCATTATAATGACGATATAATTGCCATGTTATTGTTGGTAATGCAGTTCCCCAATTTGGATCTGAAGGATAACCACCAAATGTTACTGGTACAGTATCAGCAATAGAACCATCTGCTAATTGAATATCAGTAATTAAATTTAGAAAATTTAAATAAAATTTAATTAAATCAAAATTATATAAAGCTTCATTAACTGTCAAGGCAGCATCACCCATCCATCCTTTTCGTTCATCACGCTGTGGACTAAGATAAAAAAACAAAATATGTATTTTTTTTCTTTGGCATATATATTCTATGCGATAGATATAAAAGAAATTTTCTTCTTACCAATCAGTTGGTAATGACATTGAATTTCCTAATTGACCCCATTGAACATTATGTTGAATTTGATTAATGATTGGATTACTTGAAGCAAAATGTCCTTTAACAGTTGTTTGACTATGTACAACAGGACATTCAACATCATTAACTGATAAACCAACAGGTGAACCATAAACTGAGATATAACGGAAACCATGAACAGTAAAACTAAACTCAGGAATGTAAAAATAATAAAAGTAAAAACTATCTACAAAATCTACCGTGGTTCATAAATTTCACCATTTGGATCTCCACGTAATATATAACTATCAGTTTGTGTAGCACCACGAAGATTTTCTGTATAAATACCACCATATGATTGTCTAAAAATATTGGGAATATATATATTTACTAATATAAACTTTTTTAAAGAACAAACTTTGTTGATTCAACTGGTTGTGCTAATACTTCTGCATGACGAATATATATTCCAAGACCACGTGGACCATGGAAATGAAAACGACACCAACCAACCATATTTTGTCCCATATCAAATGTATGAACACCTAAAACTGGTGTTGATACACTAATAGGTTTTAATACTCCGCCATCATGTAAATTTCCACCTTGAATACCAGCTAAATCTTCTTTTGATAAATAACTATTCTCTAGATTTAATGGATTATCAATTTCAAATTGTAATGCATCTACACCAGCACGTATTGGTGGCATATCTTGTAAACTTAATTGACCATTTGCAGCTACATTAATTGGTGATTGCATTATTTCAGGTGTCACCCAAAGTGAAAAGCTATCATTAAATCCAACTTTAGCCCAGTCTACACGATCATTTCGACTATCAACTATTTCTCCATTATAAACACTATCATGTACAATTGATCCTTGACGTCCTTTCCATGTCTGATCACTAACGACTGACATAGTTTCAGAACTTACGAAAACAATACTCAAAGCAAACATAAGACGAGGTGGACCTAAACGAAATTTTCAAAAACTATTTATTTCAGTTTGTATTTTCTTTACCATAATTTGGTTCGCTAGCTGAAGGTGGTACATATTGTTCTTGACTATACCAACCATTACCTAATTTAACACCTACAGCATTCATACCACCCTAAATAAATATTTAAAATATAAAACTAACTATGAAAAATATTTTCAAACTTTAATCATTGATGTAAGATCATATGAAACCATTAAAGTACGTTTTTCATATGTCGTCCATCCTGGATCTAATTTTCGACTAGGATCAACACTTTGTCCATTGACATATAATTCATAATATCCAATACCAGAGATAAGAACAGTTGCTGTTCGAATTGGACTGGTACTAGACACATTAAATTCTTTTCGTAATTCATTCATATATATTTGTGTTGAACCAATCCAATAAACATCATCATTTTTTTGCATAATATATTCATGTAAATTAAATACTGATGTTCGAAATTGTATCCAATTTGTCCATGAACTTGCTTGACCAGATAAAGTTGTCCATACGCGAAGACGAATTTGATAGTGTGTTGATGATTGAAGATCTTTCATATTTTCATGCGAAACATGTGTTGATCGACTTGAAAGAATTTTTTCGCTATCCCATTTATCTATATCAGATTGAATTTGAATTTGATATGCTGTTTGTTGAACATTACGCTCTGTAAATATAGGTAATTTCCATGATAATCCTGGTCTAGGTGTATTAATTACCAAGTCTTTGGTTGTATCAACTTTATAATGATCAATACGAATATCAAATGGTGGTGGTGCTGATTGCTGTGCGCTTGTAGCTACCACAGAGCATATCACAGTTAAATATAACCAAAACATACTGAAAAATATAGAGATATGTTTGTTGAAGTCGCTTTTATATCTACACATTCATCTTATCAAAAAACTCTAATCAGTTTATTTACTTATACCAGAGAGAAAAAAAGTACATCAACGGACTAAGGTCAAGCCTATATATATTTATTCCAATGAGTAAACACTTCTATACATTGTAACTATAATTTTCATTCCTATAAAAAAATGAGTTGAAATTCTCATTGAACAGTCTTATCAATATGATAATCTCAAAAATATTACAATACTCTATATTTTAAATGTTTAAAAAATCCGTTATTATAATTTGTTGTTATTTAATTTAAAAAAATATTTTTTTCTTTCTCCTGTCGGTTTTCTATTTTAATGTTCATTCGAAGTTACATCCTATTGGTTGATATCAACGAATGACATTCTTCTTGATTTTACCCTAGAAAAAATCAAATCCATAATAATAATCCAAAATCAAACTGTGCTCAAATCGAAATGTCTTCAAAAGGTTCAGTTTCACTATTAGGTAAATTCAAAGATCGATTTTTTCAATGAAACTATTTTCTTTGTTATTATTCTAGAAGCTTTAAAAGGATTTTTTCGAAGTCCCTATTGTTGCGATGATATTCTTAAACTTTTCTCAAATAATAAATCCGAAATATCAAATGTTCTCACATTAACATTAAAGTAAAAATTGATTTTTTCGAATAAATTAATTTATTAAAATTTCTTTTTTTAGTTATTGTAAATTATTAGAATATGATTTTGAATTAGGACGACTTCTTTGGGATTTAGGATCACGTGCTCGTTATTTTTTCGATAAACTTACTGAAGCATTTAAACAAATAGCTATCGAATTATCAGATTATTCATTAGTAAATATTTTTATAATAAAATAAAATTCGATCAAATTATTTCTAGTCTGAAGATATAACAGCAAAAATAAAAATAGTTAAATTTGGAAGTAATCGATCAGATCTTGTTCGTCATGAAATTCCAAAGTATATCTTTTTTTCCTATTAATTGTATTTATAAAAATAATATTTAGTTGTCAAGATCGTGGACATTTTATTTGTTTTCATGGTACAGTTATTCGTGTTGGTACACCCTATGTATTTGATGCTACACGATCATTTCAATGTGAAGAATGTGGATCAATTACAGCAGTAACAAAATCGAGTAATATGGAAAAAATTAAATTAAAACCAACACGATGTTCAAATGAAGATTGTACATCCACTAAATTCAATCAATTAAAAGAAAGTGTGTATTAAATTCTCATTAGAAAGAAATTTGATTAGAGTTGCTTTTTAAATGCTTATAAAATAGTTTTAATATTTTAGCGGAAGATAAATCAATAAGTCTATCCGATTATCGTGAAATCAAAGTTCAAGAATCATTACAGCGTGTTTCATCAAGTAATTTACCACGTTCGTTTAGTGTTATTCTCGAAGATGATCTTGTTGAAGCATGTAAACCAGGCGATGATGTTGCTATTTAGTAAGTTTAATATTTATATTCTTCGAGAATGATGAAAAATAGATCACCCTATTTTAAAAGATTCATCTAAAATTCTTCAAGGTCAGATTTAATGCTTAAATAGTTTATTTTTTTTCTAGTGGTTTTGTTCAAGATCGTTGGCGTCCAGTACAAGTTGGTGGTCGTGGTCAAACTAGTCTATGTTTAGAAGCAAATAATGTTGTTGTATTAAATGATCAAACTGTCAGTGTTTCTCCAACTGCTGTTAGTTTTCAAATGAAAATTTTTGTTTTAACAAAAGAAAAATATTCTTATTTTTAAAGCATGATGAATTTGAACAATATTGGAAAGATAATCATCGAACTCCACTTTCAGCTCGAAATCGTATATTAGCTAGTATATGTCCACAACTTTATGGTCTTTATATTGTTAAATTAGCGATTGCACTTATTTTATCAGGTGGTGTAACTGTGAGTTGAAAATTTTGTTTTGTAGATATTTTTATTGAGAAATAATTTAGATTTCAGATGAAAAACGTGGTATTCGAGTTCGTAGTCAATCACATTTATTATTAGTTGGTGATCCAGGTAGAAAATAAGAAAAATTCTCTTTAAGTAGAAAATATTTTTTTTAGGAACTGGAAAATCATTTTTTCTCAAATATGTTGCAAAAATGATGCCACGAGCTGTGTTAACAACAGGAGTTGGTTCAACAAGTGCAGGTTTAACAGCAACTGCAGTTCGAGTAAATTTATTTAAATAAGAATTTTAAAAAAATTAATGTTCTTTTTTTCTTATAGGATGGACCGGGATGGACATTAGAAGCTGGTGCTTTAGTTTTAGCTGATGAAGGTATTTGTTGTATTGATGAATTTAATACAATGAGAACTCAAGACAAAGCTTGTATACTTGAAGCAATGGAACAACAAACAATTAGTTTAGCAAAAGTAATTTCAAAATATTTTTTCTTTTGTTAATTTATAAGAAAATGAAAACTTAAGGGAGGAATGCTACGAACATTACAAACACGTTGTTCAATCATTGCATCAGCAAATCCAAAAGGAGTTTATGATAATGAAGATCCATTAACAATCAATACAGCACTTTCATCACCATTACTTAGTCGATTTGATTTAATTTTACTAACCCTCGATACACCAAATACAGAATGGGATAATGTTGCTGCAACATATATTATTGAAGGAATTGATTTACTTGGTTCGTATTTATTTTCTCTGTTTAAATAATAAGTTAATTTTTAAATTTAGGTCACGGAGCTTTAAAAAAACCATGGTCAATAGCAAAAATGCGTGATTATTTTATTACAATAAAATCTGCTGAACCTGAAATGACACCAGAAGCTGAAACAATTATTAAAACGTATAAACGAAACTATTCCATAACAAATCATTTAATTCTACTAATTTATTTAGTTATTATTCAATGTCCCGTCGAGTCACTGAAAATACTGAGCGACATATTACTGTTCGTCAATTAGAAAGTACTGTTCGTTTAGCACAAGGTAAAAAAGACTAAAGAACAAAATTTTGTTTATTTAATGAAAATTATTTAGCACATGCGAAATTATGTTTTTCAAAAACTGTAAATATTCTTGATGCTATTGTTGCTGTTCTATTAATGGAAGCAAGTCTTAATGGTTGTGGAAAATTATTAGATAAAATGAATGCTCTTCATACAACATTTGCACAACAACCGGAAAAAGAATATGAAGGACATGGTAAAATATTGTTAAACAATCATACTTCAAATCGATCAGTTAGCACAGAATGATACGTAATGGTTTTAATTTCTCGTTTCAGTTCATCTCGTTCTCGATTGGCTTAAACTTCCTGAATTACGTGATTTTGAATTAGAACGGATTGCTCGTGAATATGATCAATCAATGCCATGGACTGAAAATGATGAAAATGAGAAGCGAACAATGCCTTGTGAATTTAAGAAACCATTTATACCACCACCACCTCCAGTTGTACCAACACAACCACAACCATCAATAATAAATAAACCTAATACTCTTCTTTCATCTCAAATAGCACATAAAGAAAAACTAGAAGAAGTTAAATCACATCAACGTACTCAACAATATTCCACACCATTTTCAGCTAAACCACCAGTATTAAATGAAAAATTAAGTCCAATTGATAAACAAGGACCAGTAACACGTATAAATACTCAAATACTTATTCCAATTGATGAGAATTCATCTCTCGATGAGCAATCACAAGTAAAACGTCGTAAAATTGATGATGATAATAATACATTTGAATTAAATTCCAAACATGAACAAGCAGAAGAAGTCTGTTTGAGCACGCTCGATGATATTGAAGATGATGATTTTAATTTGTGATATATTGTACAAAAACACATCTACATTTCTACACTATTTTTATTGAATTGAAATTACAATAACGATCAGATATTGATGAAAAAATTTCTTATGTATTTTTTAGATAAAAATGCCTTTCTTTATTCGTAAACAGAATTCTGAACCAAAAGATAAGAAACGAAAGGTATATTTTTCTATTAAATGTAAATGTCGTTTTTTATGATTCTATTAGAAATTACTTAAAACTCAAAATGGAAAGAAGAAACAAAAAACTTCATCTGAATTAACGAATGGTCATAGTACTAAAAAAATAAAAAAACAAAAAGAATTAATTGATGAAAACGAAGAAATATTAAGTGATACTGATGAAGAAAATGAACAAGCAATGAATGGAAATGTTCGATTAGATAATTTATTATTAAATGAAGAAGAAGATGATGAAAATGATTTCCATGAACAACGACTTAAAAGAGCTAAAGAATATATTGAACAGATAGCAAAACAAGGTTCATTTCTTAATTTTAAATTAAACAAAAAACTTTATTGATCTTCTTTAGAACACGAAAAAGAACTTGACCGTGATACTGTCTCCGATCGTCTTCGTGATGATGTGGTATGTTTAAATGATATAATATATATTTGGGATGATATCAAAATCTCGAAAAAACTCGATAATCGAAAGAGAAAATTTCGAAAAACCATCTTGAGGGTTTGGTTGAGAAAGATAAAATCATCCACGCCCACCCTTTGAAGTTAGCGTAAGAAAACGTCATAGCAGAATGCTTCCCTACGCTTTGTGATTATTTTCTAGCTTCTTCCAATTTCGAGATTTTGAAGGTAATTCATATATTTCTTTGATTTATTCATCTTTTGTAGCTTGAACAAGCTGGAAAACTTCATCGTCAAGTTGCTTCTAATGTAAGATAGAAAAAAAATTGACAATGAAAATATAATATTTTTTTATTTATATTAGTATTCTCAACCAATTCTTCTTCATAGTTGTCATGGTCATCAACAAAGTGTAACCTGTGTGTGTATTTCGAATGATAATAAATATGCATTTACGGGAGCAAAAGATTGTAGTATTATTAAATGTAAGTTATAGAAAATATTTTACAAAAATAAATATTTCAATTAGGGTGTTTATCAACGGGAAAAAAACTTCATTTAATACGTCGAATTGGTAAAAT